GACAAAGCGCGTGAGATATAAACACTTACTAGTTAGAGTGGGACGGCAAGCAATGCACGATATCAGATATCGAGCGACAAAGCGCGTGAGATATAAATACTTACTAGTTAGAGTGGGACGGCAAGCAATGCACGATATCAGATATCGAGCGACAAAGCGCGTGAGATATAAACACTTACTAGTTAGAGTGGGACGGCAAGCAATGCACGATATCAGATTTTTAAACAGATATTATGAATAAGTTAAGTAATTTTGAATCTTAACACCATGCAAATAAGATCCGTTTCATTTAAATACTAATCTTGGTATCAGCGATTACTACAACGATATTATTATATTTTTATTGTTTTGTTTAGCCTTGAGCCGTAACGGGCGACAAAGCGCGCAGTTAAGTAATTTTGAATCTTAACAGCATGGAAAAAAACTCTGTTGCATTTAAATACGAATTACGGTATTAACGATGTCTTTGAAATTTTGCTCAGCCTTGAGCTGGATTGCATTGGTACTTAACACGTAATAGTAAGGGATGCCAACTTACTACTTAAGAATTTTCTGCCTAAATTAAGGAAGAAAAATATACAATGGAAATTTTTTAGGAGGTAAATTTTTTGTGAATATTTTTATTAGCTAAATTTTATTCATATTTTTGGAAAAAAATAAAAGTACACAAAAAGAAAAATATAATTTAATAGTACTGTGCTGCTTTGGTGGAAATCAGACCAAGGCTTATGTGCCTTGTGTGTATATTTTAAATTCTTCCGCCCTAAGCCCTTCCGCCTTCTAATACTGAATGTATTATTTCTTACACAAATAATAAAAATATTGCCACTCGATTGCGTGTTCTAAAAATATGTTAAAGTCAATTATTAAGCGGTATATAAGATGTTAAAATAAATCATTTTTATATTACTTCAATTTATATTTTTAATGAAATGTTTAATTTAATAATTTAAAAAAACGCATTTTTAGTAAGACAGCGTTAATTATTAATGATCGTCGAACAAGACTTTCGACGAATAAAGTCAGAGAGCTTACGTTCCTAAACGTGAATTTGAACCCGGAGGGATATAAATAATTATTAACCCTAACATAATTGTAAATATATAATGTTAAGTTTTAAATATAAGGAAAATTATGTACATAGAATGAATCAACTTTTAAATACGCCTGCACAATTTTATATTTATAATAAGTATGAAATATTGCAGCCAGTCCTAAGCCTGGAAAAAGTATGAAGGGAAGTTATTTCATTCATCTTATATCCACTCCCTTAAAGTATACAATTTGTTTTTTTTTTTTTTTTTTAGAATTCAATTAATCAACGTGGATAGGGAACCGTAAACTAACTAGATATTTAAATACATAGTTTCGAAATCTGATATTTGAAATCGATATCGGGTTCAGATACGGTACTCAGAAAAAGCGATACGACCCATCCCTATTGGGCATATATTGGCTGTTACTATACTTTTTTTTTTATAAATTTGGTAACTTTACCTTTAATATTTTAATTTATATATGAATTTATAAAGAACTAATAACCTAATTATAGCAATTAAATAAAAATATACCGTAGGTACGTAGTTATGAGGTCGGAACAATCCAGTCTTTTACCGCCTCTAAATGAAAAAATTTCTGAGAAAATAGCATTTATTATGACGAAAATCTGGTTGAGCCTATTCGAGACAACATTTCTAAAAGTGGTCTTTATTATCGTGCATAGTGTATAAGGCAGGTTTAATGTTAATTCTGTTCATTTATCTTAAAATATCCAACAGTCAGATTTGGCAAACATTACGGTAGATACTGAATTTCTAAAAAATATAATGCGATCTGCAACAAGCGTACGTGTTGCCGCATGGACCTATCTATTATTGTTATTTCATTTTTATTGGTACATGGAGGACCCTATGAAAGATATAAATATTAATTGTTGGTATTATTATATAGTTTTACTCATAATTCTGCACTGTTAAGAAAACATGTGTTTCCAAACTTTTTATCCAGGAATCATCAACATTTTTTTCTAAAGTTATTTCATGAAAGACATCACTGCTAGATTTCTCCTGAAAACCTAATTTTTTAAATAGAAATATACTAATTTCATTATCCATGTTAATTTTTGCTTCAAAAGTTTTAATTGCGATATACTTTATTCCATAGATTAGCATTAAAATAACTGCTTCCCAGCCTCTTCTTTTTCGTCTAGCAGATTCCTCAGCAATCATTATTTCTATTTCACCCACCATTCTGTCTTTGTCTGTTATAAAAATATTTGTGTCACCAATCATCGAATCTGAAAATAAAAATGGGGTTTTTAAAAAAATAGTGGTACATAGGCTATTCCTACCACTCTGCATTTCATTCCTTGTTAAAGGTCATCGCAACATAAAAAATAAAAAGTAACATATAAATATATATATATATAAATAGCCTATAAATGTCCCACCGTTTTAACAATTATATTATTTAACAATATTCTACTTAATTCTTATACTGTCTATACTTAATTCTTGAACAAATATTTTATAACATAAAAAATATTTGAAATTGGTTTTTACTTTGTAGAATTTAAATATGTATGATCCATAGATTACTTTTAATTATTTAAACACACAAAGGTGACCTTTATATTAAACTATAAATATGAAAAAAATGGTAGTTGTCTATGAGTAAATTTTATCTAAGATGTAGCATTAGCATCATTTAGAGTAACATGATTATAGGAAAATCCTATTTTTTTTTCATAAATGTAGGCTGGGACTGTCAATATATATTATTACTCAGACTTGAAATTATTGTAATAAAACATAGTAAACTAATAAAAATTTTTCTCTTTACTCACCAATTTCATTAAATTGTTGGTCATATCTACCCTTATCCAAAATTATAAAAGTACATTCTGAAAATAAATTATCTCATTAATAACAAAAAAAAGGCTAAAGATTAACACAAACATAATGAAAATATTAGGTACTGTCATCATCTTCTAGCCATGTTTTTTGCATATGATATTCTTCTTTCAATGTTAACGGTTCTGACGCAGTTAATTTTTGTAGTTCTTCCGATTTCATCCAGGTATGGTACCTTTAAAAATATTTTAGTAATAAATATTTCTGTCTATGTTAAATGAGAGACATGCAATAATCTTCTTTTATTTTTGTTTATTAAAAACTGGAAAAATACTTTTAAAAATTTAAGAAAACCATATCTGTGGGAATACTTAGGCACATGAAGTTCTCTGTATGGCACTAAAACTATATTTTGCCCCACTATTTTCGTATTAACATTTATTCTCATGTTTACAGTCACTTGGTGATAAGGTTATGATAATAATGGGTATGCTGTTTCAGATATATAAAAGTAAACTCATTGGTTATACTACGACTCAGTTCCAGCGTACAATAGTCTTTGCTCTAAATTCTGATGATCGGTTCATGCTTTAAGATATATAAAAAGACTGGCTCTGTCATTCTCACAAAGCCTGAGTTTCATTTGAGCTTGTTGGTTGGGGTCATCACCCCTATAATAAGTTACTCTAAGGTTGGGTGGGCAAAAAATATCGATATTTTTCCATACAATTATCGATATATATATATCGCGATGTATCGATATTTAGTTAAAACTATCGAATTCGTGTTAATTTTGATATATTTTTAACACAACTCTGGTTTCATGTTTAAATTTGAATGCATATATATATATATATATATATATATGTATATATATATGTATATATATAATAGCAATATTCTTTGCATGCTCCTCGCGTATCGTTTACTTTTATAACTGTTTTCTTCATGACTATTCTATTTTATGAATTTTGAATGGTTTAAAAATATTATGTATTAATAATCATGCGATAAATTACGTTATTTATATCGATATTTCTCGCTCGATAACTATCGATACTTTTTTAAGTTCGATACGATTTATATAGATATATTTTATTTACTTGCCCATCCCTAGCTTGATTTGACTAAAAAAGGAGTAAGATAGCACATAACCACAGATATCAGATAGCTAACTTTGACAGCACACTGTAGGTATGCGGTAGTGGTAGGGTAGTGTTTATTGTTATAACTATTCGATTCTCAATCATTATTCGCATAGAACTTGGAATCGATAGTTTCATGGTTTTTATGCTTTTTGGATTACAAAACAAAAAAAAAACTTATTTTCCTATGAAGTTAATAATGCACTAATAATAATTTTTATTAATAGAAGAATATCGAATAATATTAGTAATTAGGATAGTATTATTATTAGGAGTACACTTAATTCATCGAAAAAAAATTCGTTCCTTCATAGGCGAGATCTGCGAAAGTTATTAAAACCTTTTGGCTGAGGATATTTAATAACGAATAACGATCATTGATTGACTTAATATCGATAATTGAACTAGCAGTTTTGATATTTTGATTTGTTTACTTCTTTGCATAGTTTTCTTATTTTCTTTTCCTATTCCTACTAGTATCGAGTGTATATCGAAAATATTATTTTATTGATATTATAAATGGTTATCCAGCAATAGAACACGCATTTCTAAACATAATAATAAATATTTTCCTACTATTTAATTGTTTCTGAAAGTGGTAGCATTCTTCAAGATAAATTATCATAGATGATTCATGTTTCGTCACTTTAATCAAGTTTTTAGGAAATAAATATTCTTTGCATATTGGGGTATCAAGTGAAATACGAGAGAAACATTTAATATGAATCAATATCAGACAGAGAGACTGCTTTGTTGGTGTTATAGCCTCTTGGCCGTATTACTTGTTGTGTCAGTAGTATGTGTCGCGATACCGTATAATCATTGGCGTACTACTCTTGACGTTTGTCCTGGTGGATACTTTGAAAACACTAACTGTGGATGCATTTTGTATGGCCTGAACACTTTTACATATTTTAATGGTGGCCATAATTCATATTGCTTATATGCCATTTTTGCACCTCTGCCAATCCTTGTGTATGCCATAACTATGGCCTTATTTCATATGTATAGAGTATGCATTAATAACATTGGACAATATGAAGGAGAAAAATCTACTACTGTGGAGGAAATGTAAGTCAAAAATGTAAACAAAAGAGATATACAGTTGCTATTACAACTCCTTTGTTAATTTAGTATAGTCACAAATAACATATCGTGGGCGTAGAAGGAAAACCCGCTAAGTCCAAAATTCGTCATTTGGAGATAAATGGGTTTGAAAATTCAATAAGTCGTGAAAAATCGCAATCACTAGCAATTAAATTTGAGATGTATTTATTGGAAAGACACGAACTTTGAGAAAATCTACACGAAGTGAAAATACAAAAAAAATCATAGGAACAAGAATTGAGTACAAGTTTCATTAAAAAAAAAAACACGAATAGGAACTAAGTTGAGATGGGACGAATTTTGGGATTAAAACTGATTGAGTCGGGGCTCTATCAATCATCTTGTTGATCTCCCTCTTCTTCTTTAGAGTATAATTTTTTAATGGAGACCCGGTACTCTACTGCAGAACCCCCCAAACATTATGTGGACGCAAAGAACGCATTTTTAGGCAAAAATGGACTTAGCGAGTTTTCCTTCTATGCCCACGATATGATATAGGGGCTTTGCCTTAGTATACGGTAGCATGATTTTCGTTATAATTTCATTTTAATAGGTAAGTAATAGGCCATTGAAGTAACTATTAGTAAGATTTTCTGTCGAAACTTATAGTTTACGAGAAATTTTTTTTTTTTTAGTTTTATAGGTTAACTACTACGAATCGTATACAGTATTTTTTCGGCTTTTCAGCAAGAGATTTACATAATTCCATTCTAAAGAATTAGAAGGAGACAATAGGTATATTACTTATTAACATATGTTATTCCTGACCTTTTTGACTGTTTACGGTTATACTTTGCCGTTTTATATATATAATTCTTCTGTGGGTGTATGTCACTGAACTACTAAATAACTTCACCAATTATAATGATCATGTGACAATGTGTCGGGTCCACTAGTGACATATAAAATATTATTAATTTATTTTAAACAATTTCAGAGAGGGAGAAACTATTGTAGTATCTTCAAGAGCGAGGATATCCCAACAGAATGATGCAGTGATTTACTGCTGGATTCCAACTTCATGTATTGCAGCAATATTTGGAATTTATACTTTAATACATGCTGCTATTATAACCGACGGTTACCTCAAAACATGTTTTCAGTATAGAGGAAATTTAGTCACGGTAAATTGCAAGATTCATTATTTGTTACAAACATTTGGCAAATAATATTAAATAATATTTGGCAAATAAATTAATTAGCTTAGGAGTTACAGTTTTAACAACTTTTCAATACATATGACTACTTGACAAATAAACAAGTTTGCTAATGTAGTATACCATTATTATATGAAATAATCACACAAAAGCCTTACTTTTGATTAGTAATGTTCTGATTAAATAAATAAATTGAAGCTCTAATTATAACATTTTCTTGTAAGGAAAATGCTGTTATAGCTAATAAGCTTATTATCAAAATAATCTTATTCAATAGCCATTTGTAATGCTTAAATAGAACAAAAGTGCATTTGGAAATATGACCAATCATAATATTACGAAGCTTTTCACATTGCATAAAACTTTAATTTATGAAAATTGTATAAAATAAATGTACTATAAAAATTATGTGTGTACCTTGCTAATCTGTTTACATGGAAGTGCCTGCTTATCAGTAATGTTTTTTTTAAAAACTATTATTCATAAGCTAATATGTGTTACATATTTATTACAGAAAATGCAAGCCGCAGGTGATCAAGCAACAGCTATACATTTTCGATTAACATGCCAAGCAATATTCGACTTTATGGATTACATTCAAAAAGGCGCGCCAAACAGCCAACGTGGAGATTATATTAACACTGGAGTCGTTTTACAATTAGCAATCATCACTTCTTGGATATCAGCCTGTCTGTGGGTAATAATCACTATTTATACAGCTTTAAGGGCCTACAAAGAACGTGATGTTTTAACATGTTGTGGAAAATGAACCTTTTCCCTTATAAAAATATCAGTAAAGTAAGTTATCTATGTTTATACTGATTTGTTCTATATATACAGGGAGATTATTTGAGAAGTGCCCAAATTTACACAGGAGGTTCAGACTTGGTAGTATAATCGTTTATTGTAATAAAAAACGTTATTTATTTCCAACAAAAATGCCATTCTATTCCCTAAAAAACAAAACGGGTTGACAATGCGGTAGTCATTCATAAATACCTAAATTTTACTGTGCACGAACTTGTGTGCGTGTTAGTTATGAATGATCGCGCGTAAAATAAATGAGTTGCGTATAAATCACGCACTTTTTGGGATAAGTTGAAATTAATGTAATTAATTACTTACGAGTGATTTTAGATACGATTTTTTTTATATAACATTATTTATGTCTAGAATTTGATAATAAAATGGATACACTTAGAAAAGCCATCCTGTATATCCTTAGTCTGATAAAAACAATTGTTTAAAAATGTTATTAGTTTTTTAGGGTCAAAGAGCGAAAAGATAATAACAGTTGCATTGATTTATTTGGTGTCATGTTTCTTGATTAGCATGTATTTTATAGTTTTAAGTACTATATTTACTATAATGTTGACCCTCAAAATATAAACACTCAAGACTGATCTGCCAAGCTATCCTGCCAATAAAAAAGAACATAAGTCAAAATAGCCTTTACAATAATAGTATTTTAAGAGCTCTTGAAAAACATATTTTTTAATGCTTGTTTTACTATATTAAAAAAGTAAACAATTTTTAATGTTTGTGTTAGAATTAATACAATATAGGTACAAAGACATGAAATAGCACACAAATTTTAGAATTTATAAAGTAATGATTCTGTAGGACTTAATTTATCCCAGATGTTCGATTAAGTTTACTTTTAATTTCGAGGGCACTGAGCATTTAACATAAATTATATCATTTGGCAATGACATCATTTAGCTGCCCTTTTTATTTTGTCTTTCCGATATTTTCATTATTTTGATTTACTTGGGTAATTTTATATACTTGTTTTAATATTTTTTTTGTGTCATGTGATAAATGTATAATGTGCCGTCCATTTATTACTTCTTAGAATGAAAACTAAAATATATTTTATGACTATATATGAATTATTTCATTTTATGACCTATCTATTATTGTCTCACATGAGACAATGGTTCTTTCGCTAACATTTCCAGTCCAAATCAAATGAATTTTTTCGTAGAATTTTTAGTTAATATTTTAGTTGTAGAATTTAATCATTGATATTTATTCACACTTTCATTGGAAAATTTCTTTTCATTAGTCTGCTTAATGAGGTTTTTTTTGCTAAGTTGCTTTGGCTTGAGCTGGCCGGGCGCTGAGGTCGCCTTGCCTGTGCCTCGATTATGAGTGACTAAGCTCGAGAACTCCCGTGGGAGCCTCGGCATGGACGTCACACTATTATTATTTCCACCAGTTTGGAAGGCCGTCAAGCTCTTAGGTTGTTTTTGCGGATGCCCCATGGATTAACTAAGCTCAAGGGCCCCCGAGAGCGGACCTCGGTTTGGGCTGTTACTCAGTACCCGTTTAACATTCCGATTCGAGTATGCCTGAGGGCCCAACCTCGACTCGACCGTTAGCTGTAGTCAGACTAAAAGAATTTCTAAGGCCATCATTACAACCAGTTTTGAAAGCGTTGGCGCTGGGAGAAGTGGCGGAAGAAACTCCATTCACGCTTCTATCATTACGGGGTTAACATTAACCTATCATTAACCTGCCAGTTCCTACACGTAGGAACCTAGTATATGTTGCCGCATTTCGGCGAATGAGCGACAAGTTGTCGCCAGCGGTATTTGCGGACCGATACGACTTAGGGACCTTGAAGAAGAGAACCTTAAGACATTAAAGTAAGGCTGTTAAAAATGTATGATTTCGCTTTGACTAGGAGTCCGACACATTTTTACTCAGTATGCTATGCTGCCTATAAATTTTTTTTCTTGCATAAAGCAAGTTATTTTCTAAGTGTTGTAATGCCCTATCATCTATAAACGATTTATTTTTATATCTGACTAAAATATTGTGGGAACATAAATTTTCTACAATAACTAAAAATGTCATAAATATTTACCCTTGTACTTTTGCTTAATTTTGATACTTTCATTTGTCATTTTTAGTTAAATCTAGAATCATAATTTTATGTGTTTACGGGTTTTAACATATGGTCCGCGCATTTCAAGCTATTAAGTTACTCATTTTTAGTTACCACCTTTTTCCCAAAATAATATCACAATAGTGTAGCAAAGTTATGAAAACCAAAGAAATCTGGTTTTCATAACTTTGCTACACTATTGTCAGTGCTGGCTCATGCTACATCTATCCACGGCAGACTTAGGAATTTTCTTCCTGAAAAATTTAAAATGAAAGTTTTCAGGAGGTAAAGAAACCAAAACTTCCTAAATGAGAAACATGAATTTTCGTGGGTTTTTGAATTGCTTATTGCTTTTGTTATTTTTTCATAGTCGGTAACACTGCATCTATCATCCGTCGGCCATTTTTCACATGTGCGAAATTAAAATTTGTACAAAAAAGAAACGAGAAAAGTTTTTCGCCGCTGCAGAAATGGGATTCCGACGGAAGACGTCTTCGAGATTCGCGCCCAGACAGTTTAACCACTTAGCTACAAGGGCTGATAGCTGAAGAGCTGCACCGACTAAAACTCAGCGCCTTTTATTTACATTGATTTTTCTCATTTCAAGAAATGATAAATTGCTATCCTTTACAGCATACAAACAACTTCAAATATCGTTTCACAATGGCTCATTTAAGATGAAACGTTCGTAATTGTTTGGTACCGATGGTTAATAAAAGTACTAGGTGTTTCCGATTACCGAGTCTTCAATGACAACAAGAAAATATTCTGCTGCTTATTTGGAAGCTTAGTATTATTATTTGATTAATAATTAAAGTACAACAAAACGTACGAAGTTTCTCACCGCGGCGGGAATCGTTTCAATACTTCATCTTAAGCGCAGAGATTAGCACTATAACAAGGGATTTAATAATATTATTTTCTTTAATAACACAAATTATTTAATAAATTCAATGCTTATCTTATAATTAGGATCTGCATACGTGTTTGTATTCAGATTGTAACTTGTCAAATAGAAAATCTTTGTTGAGAGGTATAGGTATAGTACATTAAGTTACTTTTGTTTGACGTATGTTACCGTATCACTTTTAAGTTACATAACATAAAATTGATGTTAACATTAATCCATAATAGATATTGCAAAGTCAAAGATCTCAGTGTCCCCTCACGACAGCACCCGAGAGTGGATTAATGTCTAATATATTATTATTGTAATATCTTAAAGGGTAGAATCGTCATCATGCAACTTGGGCAGCCCCCGCAAGTTTGCCAAGAAACAAATAGGATGGGGCACAGCACACAGTTTTGTAATAGGTGAGATGTTTTAGTCAAATTTAGAGCTAAATTATGTGTTACACTATGGCAAATTTGCAAACTGATTTCGGATCTATCGTGTTGAGCGCTCCGAGGAATTCTTCCGGTTGATACCTGCTGATTAATTTCATCATCGTAAAACTCGTCAAACCGCCAATTATCATAGAAACCACCTTTATGGTTGGTCCACCACTGTGCGTTTTTCACGCAATGTTCTGCCGAGCACAACTACTTTGTGGAACGAGTTGTCACCAGCGGTATTTCCGGACAAATACGATGTAGGGATCTTCAAGAGAGCCTACTCCTACCTTCAATGCCGGCAACGCAATTTGGGCTCAACTGATGTTCCCAATGTACATGGGTGTCTCGCATGCTAGTTTGCGTCCTATTTCCATAAAAAAGCCTTAAATTAAAAATTATATGTGAGTAGTTAAAAATAAAACAACACACCTATGTTCAATGATTTTAATAACATAATATTAATATTATTTATCAGTAATATCTACGGGATATTATCCGCATAAATATACATTGCAACAGTGGAGTGTAGTGCGAGTTAAAAAATGCTTTCATAAGAAGCAACCTTAATTTTATAGTACTAGGCAGATAGACAAGAGTATAACAGTGTCCATGTATAAAATAATGGAACAGATTTAACACAGACATATAGTATTATATTAAGAAGTTATTTGATAAGAGTGTTGAAGTATGCTCCAAAACTTACACACTTTTAAAAGTATGAAACATACATCAAGAATGTTATAACAAAATCCTTCATAAAAATCGACATTGCTATAAAATATTAATAACGTTATTCTTATATTCAATCTGTCGTGGCGTGTATGGCCTGTGTAGCATAGGTACATTCAGAGGCATACAGTAGTAACACGACCTTTTTCAAAATTATTTTTCTTACACCATTAAAATCGCAAGAACAAATTTTACAGTATAGCATTAAGTCCTACAACGTCTTATTAATAAAATATCCAATAGTATATGACATCATAATGCATTCAAGGACTTACTAAAGCACTTTGCCTCTCCTGTAAAATTTGTATTTTGTCACATAATGGTGTTTACTGCTATTGGTCGCAGATCCCATGATCTTACAAGTATCACGTAACATAGAATTTACCTGACCAGAAAACTTTTTCATAAAGTAACTATTTAAAAACAGCATACATTTTTTTTATTTTCTTAATTCTTATATCCAAAATTACATTATAATAACATTTTTAATGTATTTAGTTGTAGTCGTTATAATCATGTACAGTTAATTGCAAAAATCGCTTAACGGACAATAGCTCGGTTAAGCGATTTGGTAAATGAGCACATTGACGAGCGCATATTGCATTAAATTTAACGATAAGGAAAAATCACTAATGAATTATCAGCAGAATAATTATCCGGTCGCTCATAGTTTTTCTTGAAAACTCGTTGTGCTGAACATTTGCCAGCGATTTATACACTTAATAATATTGAATACAATATTTATTTTCACGAAATCGAATAACAGCGTTATCCAAACCGACCATGTATGCATCCATCTACATTGATACATACCTGTAAAATGTAAATATGGAAGAACTTCACGAGAAGCATTTAGTTTTTCCCGTACTATAGTAGTTTAAAAAAATGAGAATTCACTGACATAAACATTACAGTTCTTAGTTATTTTTTCTAAAGGCAAATATAATTAAGTAAAAATACGTGTAAAGGTTATGACATAAGTCACACCTGTAAAAATTACTGTATAAACAGTTAAAGTTTCTGGTTTTTACGTATTTCAATGATATAAAAAAAATTTTAATATCATAATTAGATTAGGCTATTAAAATATGGCACATTGTTTACATTTTTTTAAATACGAAACTGATAAAGTGTAAAAGAATATTAAGATGTTTGTGAACACGAACTAGTAAAATAACAGGATTGCGAACCACGAATATATATCGCAACGCAAGTGAAGGATCGTACGTTATAAATTATAAAGTGTAAATTTTTTAATATTTTGCCAGTTTATTCATTTATTATAATAAAAGTGTACAAGAAGTCCACTTACATATTTGAATAAAACGATAAAACTATGCTTGAAATTTAAAATTAAATATATATTTTGTAAGTAGTGTAGCGTACGCACTGAAACAAAACAACACACACTTGATGATAAAAATGCATTTTCCATTCGATTGGGTTTACGTCTTTTTAGTGGTCAAATGGCTCGTCAATTGGCTTCCCTCATGTAAATGGTCCATAAACCTTTGTGAACGACATGTAAGGCTTACTATGCTTCAATGTGGCGCGGATAGCTATTATTTTACTAGTGCGTGTTTGTGAATTTTTACAAAACTGATTTTCTTAAATTACATACTTGTCTAAATAACCCATTAGCCGTACCGAACGGCGCCAAAATATCTACTAAAATTGGTAGACCCAAGTTTCACTTACGTCAGTGTTATTTCAACAATTAAGGGGGAAAACGTATAATAATACTAAAATCACTTTTCATCGGTAAGTTTTGTTATTTAACCACTATTAATTTAAGAAAACACGATTTTTATATTCGTCATGTCGTAGGTTAGTCTGGTTAGCCGGTGTTGTCAGTTTATTATTAGGAAGTTTTGAGGAAACTATGAGAAACGAAATAAAATATCATTACATCATCTTTCTATCAAAACATTATTATTTTATAAATTACATTATTTATTTAATGATAATTTACCTACAAAAAATAAATTTAACCCATGACGTCATGCACTAAATATTAGTATGCATGTATACTGCAGATTTTAGAGACAGATTTTGATTTATAAACTACAGTACATTTTTTATTGTATTTTATGTTGTTAATGAAATAAATAAAATTACTAAATAACAAAATAATTACTTTCTTAAACCTATTTTGACTAACTTTCACCTTATTAAATAACGGGGAAAACTTTACTTAATAATTTGGAGCAGGCATCCCTGAACACGCACAACTTAACAACAGTTTGTTTACAATAAGTACACGAGCGGCACACATATCACGCAATCGGAGACAGTTTTAACGCGTAGTTTGTTATTAAGCATTGCTCAATCTAGACAAATATATAATCTAAGGTTGGTTTGGTTATATACTTGTCTAGATTGCTTTGTTGTCAATCAAAGGTATTGGGCAAAGGCCTCTTCTATACAGAGGGTATATTAGAGGATAGTCCAGCACGAAACTCCACCCGTCTGGTCCCCATTTTTTTGGCAGATTTCGCATATTATCTTCGAAATATTTTTTGTTATTATTTCTAAAATATGCAGATTTCCTCACGATGTTTTCCTTCATTGCTGAGCATGTGATAAGTCAACACTGGGATTTGAACTCGGGTTGCTCAAGTACATTTAATTAAAAGCGAAGGCTCAAACACTGAGCAATCACAGTTCATGCAAGCATTTATAAAATCAAGCTGAACAAATTGATGCAAAATTGCTTTAAGCCTTATTTGCAATTAAATTGGTATGCAAAAACAAATAGCAACTCACAGATTTGAAATATTTTTAAATACAGTAGTTGCAAAAGCCTAAATTACAACAATTTTCCCATATCAAAATTCAGCACTTAAATAACCAAACTTAACAAATAGAACTATCATTGTAATCTCAATTTTTACATTCTTCTTCCCATTTAGTTGGTATTAAGGAGTCAATGTAATCAATGAAGCGACTGTATGTGCAAGGGTCATCACAAAATGGCATATCTAGCTCCATCGGAACTTCTATCTTTGTGTTGTTACGGTAGAATAACTAAAACAATAAAAGATAATTAGCATCTTTATATTGCCATCGTAACTGTGGTAGTTATATTGTCCGCACGCAATCGTGATCCAGTGTGTGATTTTTTTTTTATTTTAATTCTTTTTATTTTTTTATAATTCAACCTGGCTAGCACTTTACTGCCATCCCACTCATTACTCTAGACATCGGATAGAGAAAAACTGAGGCTCATCTAACAAGCACTTGTTAATAAAGTTAACAAAGTATTTGAATAGGTTGAAAAACAATTAGTTTTTTAATTTCAAAATAGTAAAAGATATGTAAAAACTTACTTTAACAAAGAAGCTGTCTTGTTCTACCTCTTCATGAAGCTCTAACACAAGGCTAGCCCCATACTCTGGTTCCAACAACTCTTCGTAACCAAGAGTCCTCCATAAAGCAACCACATTAACATCATGTCCCGAATATATATATAATGACCGATCTAAATTTGCATGTATTACTGTTTCCTGTAGGTTCCTCTTTATTTCGGCTAAAAATGGCCCTGTAAAGTTAAATATAAAATTTTAATACCTAAATCGAAAAGTACTTATGTTAAATAATTCAATGGCCTTGATATCAATGTATTTATTGTTGAGCTGTGTGCTGAAACCATTTTGTGTTAGTGGCAATAATAATGATATTTAAAAAACCTTATCATATACAAATAAAACAGTTAACTAATATCGTAAAATATTGGCAAAAATGTATGCTAAATTTCAGTTCAATGCATTGTATTTTGTATTTTAAAACCTAAATTTTAAAATTTTGTTATATTAACATGTTGCAAATGTACATAGGCGGTGATAATCATTCACTATCAGGAGGGCCGGCCACGTTTGCCACCTGCTCCAGACATTAAAAATTAATTGCTAAGAATTTCATTTAAGAAAAATTTACGCTATTGTAAGTCACAACTTTAGCAAAAATTTAATTTCCAGAGCCGTGATAGCTCAGTGGCACTCGCCATTAATTCAGCATTCTAGAGCAACCTAAGTTCGATCCCCGGTGCCGGCACCAATGAAATTGATATCAAATGCTCAGCGGCGAAGGTAAATATCATGAGGAAACCTGATATAATAACAAAAGAAAATATTGCGAAGATACATTAAGTCCACGAATTCGCAGTGGGGTCGCGTGGTAGACTATGCCCTGATACCCTCTATACAGAGGCCTCTGCCTAGCAGTGGTTGTTTTTAATTGCACGGACATTATTAGAAAGTTTAACGCAGTGGCGGATTTACAAATTTTCCGCCTATAGGCTGTTCAATTTTGCCGCCATTTCAGAGGTCAGTAGACCTCTATAATTGCGAGACTTCAAATTGGCAAAATCATCATCAACTATATCGTCATGTGAAAGCTTGTTCATTAGTTCTGACTCTCTCCTCCAAATAGCTATTGTGTTTAATTTTTCTTGACTTAAAGTCGATCGTAAATATAGTTTTTCACCCGTTTTAAGCAAGTATATTTTTAGACTTATGATCACGAAAATATATTTGGACCCAATTAGCCGGCCCCTAAAATCTGCCGCCCTAGGCTCTAGCCTACTTATCCTGCTGGTAAATCCGCCACTGGCTTAACAGAAAAAAGATTTAAAAAATACCAGTGAAATTATATAACTAACTGGAAATTCAGGCGAGCTAACTAAAGTTTCTATAAACTACATTTTATATTATACATGAAATGAAGCTGTCGAAAGTGTTACTTTGGAGGAAGTTACTTTGTATGTTGGCAATATGTAGAAGTTTAATATTATGAAGGCATAATGTTATGCCTTCATAATATTGTTACGTGTTAGGGGTTCGAAGGATTTGGAGAGAAAGACCTGCTGACTCTTTAGAAGACTTTATTCAACTTTAATTTGGCTCCCTCTATTTTGGCGAAAACTCGTTCAAGTTTTGCAAATGGTCCTCGAAGTCACGGCCGACAATGACGTCATCTAAGTAGACTAAGCAAGCCTCTCCAACTAAGCCTGCCAGTACACACTCCATGAGTCGTTCAAATGTGGCAGGTGCGTTGCACAATCCAAAGGGCATGACGTTAAATTGCCATAAACCCTTACCGGTCGAGAAAGCTGTCTTCTCCTTGTCTTTTGGATGAATTTCCACCTGCCAGTATCCAGATTTCAGGTCTAGGGTCGAGAACCATTTCATGCCACTCAAAGTATCCAAAGTGTCGTCGATTCGAGGTAACGGGTAACTGTCCTTCTTAGTGACATCATTGAGACGCCTATAGTCTACACAAAATCTCGTGCTACCATCTTTCTTCTTCACTAAAACAACAGGTGAGCACCACGGACTTGTAGACGGTTCAATGATCTTATTCCTTTTCATTTCCTCCAAAAGACCCTTCCTTCTACTTCTTTTTCCTTTGCGATTGGTATCCGTCTTGCTCGTTGACTAATTGGTCTCTCGCTTCCGGTATCTATCCTGTGCTGAACCATCGACGTTCTTCCAAGGTCCCCTTCTTGACTGGAGAAGATATTGGCGTAGCGCTGTAAAAACTTCCTAGCTTTCATGCCCTGCGAATAAGTCAGATTACTCTTGCAGTCATCGAGTAGCTCAGTCACTAATCCGTAGTTGTTGCTGTTTGCTGGGTCTGCGCCAGTCGTCGAACTACACTTTTTCATCCAGACAACTTCCTCGCACTTTCCAACGACGTCACCTTTGTTCAAGCAGACCTCGCGATCACCAAGATTCAAAACCTTGACCACAGCGTTACTGCTTCCACTAACAAGGGTTCTTGCCGTCATCAGTTTTTGTGCCGATGTCTTGGTAGGTGTGTCTTCGATTAACACGCATCTATTTGACTTTTTCTTTCCATCTGGCGGCAGTTTCACCAGAACCCGAGCTTCCGCTCGTCCAGGTATAATGACTTTCTTTACACATGCGACTTTCCCGCAGGCGCCTCCAAGAATGAAGATTTCATCTTCACCACACTTGAAAACTCCGTCAGCGACATTAACTCTGCAGTTGTGTTTTCTCATGAAATCCAAACCCAAGATGCAATCATCCATAATCTCAGCCACGATGACGTTATGAGAGTATGAGGACCCCCCTACATACAACGTGACTAACATTTCTCCCAGGACGGGTATTGGCTGACCGGAGGCAGTAAGAAGCCGGCAGTTAATTCTTCTCTTGAGTCCCCTTGCTGCTTTTACCAGCTTTGGGTTCAGTATTGTTCTAGAGGCTCCTGTGTCTAGAGTCATTTTGCAATCCGTTAATAGTCCCCTGGATCACAAGACTATTCCCGCTGCATGCCTGGGAGATAACAGTTATCGGGGCTTCCTCCGCGTCAGCCAGTACTCGCCCCTTAGTACTGGCTTTAATTCGTTTCCCTGATCCAGGGAAGGGGACGAAGCCTCTAGCTTCTTCAGCTTCGCTATTTGTTCCTCGATCCATTTCATCCTTGCCATCTGGGTCTCCTTCTGCGGGCAGTTGAGCTGAATATGGCCCCTCTCGCCACACTTGTAGCACATGGCTCCAGAACTTCTCTTCGTAGGAGCCTTAACCTCCTTGACTACCTCAGAGACCTCGCGGATCTTATGGGTCTGCCGCATGTCATAGCGAACAGCCTGGACCTCCAACGCGTGCGCCAATGCCTCCTTTAGCGAGGTATGGTGACGAAGCCTCACTGCAGCTCTGATCTCTAGGTCTTTGATTCCGTCCACAAATGCTTGAACAATATTTGTGTCTACCAGCTTGGTGTCGGCTCCTGGGTGTGCCTTCCTGACGAGTTTTTCAATTTCCAACGCCCATTGTTGTAGTCCTTCTCCTGAGCGTTGGACGCGGTCACGCAGTTGGGCACGGGACACGTGCTCCAGGTGTCGCTCCCCGTATCTGGATTCAAGTGCCTCCATCAGGTCTTGGAACCCATTTCCTGTACGTGGCAGTGCTTCCAAGACCGACAAAGCTTGCCCTCTAAGCGCAACAGTAAGAGCGGTCAGGCATTGCTCTTCTGTCCACCCGTTGGCAGTAGCAACAGTCTGGAATTGCCGACGATAAGCGTGCCAAGAAGTAGTGCCGTCGTATGGCGGCACTTTCACTCTTGGTCCTTGTGCCACTCCAGTAGTGCCACTAGACATCGCGACTCCCGTGGTTTCAAGGCGCATTACTTTCTTCTGTAGTTCAGTGAGGCCGGTTTTCACATTTTGAACGTCCAATCCTAACCCGGTAACTCGTTCTTCCACTACATCGACATCTTTTCGAAGCTTAATCACGGTGTTACTAACATCATTTATAGCCCAAAGCGCTTTTTCTTGGAGGTCTTTTTGTTGCTCTTGTGATTCTCGAATCGCTCTGATTTCCGCCTTTCAAAACTCTTGAAACTCTTGAATCGTAGTCAGCTTGCGTTCCCGTGACTCTTGCAAAGCGCCGAGCTTGCGTTCTTGTGAATCTTGCAAAGCGCCGAGCCTGCGTTCGTGTGATTCCTTCATTGCTTGAATTTCAGCCCTTTGCAGCTCCATTAGTTCAATTAAACTTCCTAATTGAAGAGCCACTTCAGAGGCTGCTGAAGTTACGGTGCCGTTGGTGGGCGTGGCAAGGTGGGCGGGGCCAGTGGGCGTGGCCCGGTGGGTGGAGTCAGTGGGCGGGGTCTGAGCCGGAGTGGGCGGGGCCTGTGCCAAAGTGGGCGGAGTTTGGGCCCGAGTGGGCGGGGCTTGGGCCTGGATGGGCGGAGTCTGAGGGGCGTGGTCGGTGGGCGTGGCCTGGTCGGTGGGGCCAGTGGGCGGGGCTTGGTCCACAGTGGGTGTGGCCTCCGCAGCTCGTGCTCTTGCCCTGACACCCTCCTTGAAGTCCTCTCTCGGAGTCAATGGCATCTCCAAATCCCGCTTCTGACACCAGTTGTTACGTGTTAGGGGTTCGAAGGATTTGGAGAGAAAGACCTGCTGACTCTTTTGAAGACTTTATTCAAGCACTAGGTCCAACACAAAGCACTAGGTCCAAACACTAAGCACTAACGATGTCCTATTTTGTAGCCAAGTCGTAGGTTTCACTGGTATCGCTCTTGATCACTAGTTTTCGCTCCGAAGTCGCCTCGAAGGTAGCTCAAACTGAACTGTCATCGCTCGCCTCCCTGCGGCTTTTTTATGGGCCGAGACCGGTTCCGGACTAATCCAGAAAGATCCTTCCTGGAACGTACCCGACACGCGCGAACATGTTCGTGATTCCGGAAAGTTCGCGAATGTACCCGGTTTTCGAGACTATAGTTCCACAGCAGTTCCTCTAACGCCATCTAGTGTTGAATAGGGGGTTTTATGTCGTCTTTGTTCTTTAGTGGTTTTAATAGTTGACGCTAGATGGCGTTAGTTCCTTTGTGTGTTCATAACAATATAAAAGTTAAAGATAAAAAAGATATGAATACACACTATACTTATATAGCAAAAGTGAAATAAAATAGAGTGGCAAATTATTAAAAAAAAATATATACATATCTATGTGACAATTACTTGCCTACTTTCAGCCTTTGCAAAGTTTTATTGTAAGATAATAAAGCTAGGCTGAGCATGAATGGCGTACGCATTTTATTTGGAAATACATTTTTAGTCCAATCTGGAAGCTTCAGACCAGCCTCTTGTTGTGTTTGTAGCGTGCTGTACAAGAAGTCTACATCTAAAATGCTGCGCATGCTCTGATTTGTATGTTTGCTTAGGTAATCAAACAGCTCAGCAAACTTTGGATAGGAATTTTTTTCATCCAACAGTTCCTGATACATGGCTTTCCAAACTTTGCATGGTTTGGTCTGTGCTACTATCTAGAAAAAACACAATGATTAATCAGGAGTATAAGATATGCAATCTAAACATGCTTTAATAAATATATACTATAAACTTAAAACTCTTAGTGTTTTATATCACACATACATATTTCTATAAACTAGGAATGGACTGACATATACTTTAATCTATAAAGTTTGACACAATAAAGATTTTTGCCACTATTATACCTCGCCTTGGGCTGTCACTCAATACCCGTTTAGCATTCCGATTCGAGGGTGCCCGATACGGCCGGAACTCGGCTCGATCGGTAGCTATAGTCTAACTACCACTTCAGAAAGCGTTGGCGCTGGGAGAAGTGGCCAAGTACGTGGTGGAACCTAGTATATGTATGCCGCACTCGCCGGCGAATGCGGTGTTCTGGTGTGTTTGCGTAGTTTTTTAATCCTGTCGATGGCGATATTCGTCTCATTGTCAGGGTAGTCGAGGACGTGTCGCGGTCTACGCCAATTGTAGCGAACGTACCTAGTGGTGGGCATTTGTAAGTGACCGCACTTACAATGTAATATGGGCCTAATTCAGAACTCACATTGAACACCAAAAATGATAAAAATGCATTTTATTAGGAATATTTGATTAATAGGACATTGGAAGCCACAATGGATTTTAATAAATTACCATACTTCAATTTTTGAGGACAGAAGTCAATGTTTTATAAAAAATAAATATTAATAAACTCAATAATAATAAATATAATATTGAGACACGATGGCAAGACTAAGACAGATGGACTGGACTTCATAGATTTATCTTATGCCAATGTTTTTAGTAAGTAATAACATTTTATAATAACATTTACAAGCTATACTATGTTACTGAAGTATTTTTAATCATAAGGAACACCTAGATTTTAGGGCTTTACGTGATTTGTTGAATTGAATGTGATTTGCGTGAATTTAAAGTGTTCTCACATCTCACTGCTCTATGACAGATGCTTTTATCTAGTGTACCTCGAAATTGTCTAAAAGCTTTTTAAAAACTTAAAATTAACAATCTTACATCATCCAAATGCTTTGGTAGAGAATGAACAGGTATAGGTTGCCATGATAACTCAGGATGCCAAGTTTGACGTTCCGAAGGAGGATAGAGCCCAGCCAGAAATGTATAAGCACTCATTAAGCACCGAGACTTATCACTGCTCTTTATGTAGACATCCTTCTCATAATATTCTTCAGGAATAAAATTAGCATAATAGTTACGGTACTTTTTACCCAATTCATATAACTGCCATTTACCAGTCTGAAAAAATGACAAACTCGCTAATAAATAAAAATATTAACAGGAATAAACACAATTAATAAACTTATTTATAAGTAGCATTTTGCCCACGGCTCTGCCCGCATGTACTACATTTTATATCATGCTTAAAAAGTACCTACGAAACCCTTCGTGCGCAGGTCCGACACGCACTAGGCCGGTTTTTATTATATGTGTCGATTTTCTAGCAAATTTTAAGATTACATTTGTAATTATTCCAAAAACAATTTTCAAATATTAAATTTACTATGAGAATTAATATTTTCAACGGAAATTACTATTTTGCCAGGTCTATGATACTTATTTATGTCATTGTAAGGGTTTTTGTAACTTTACTAATAATAGTATTTTATTTAAAACAGACATATGATTGAAATAGGACTAAACTAAGAAAAGATGGAAATTCGCCAAAAAATATAAAAAAACGAAATATATCCAAGATTATCAAGTGAAGCGGCAATGTCACATATTCAAAAATCCAAAGAGATTGCTTGACGAACTGATAATTGATGGTGAAAAAACATTCACAAGTCCTGATCACAAAATGGAATACATTGTCAGTGTCACCCGCAAACTGGATATATACATATAACATATGGCAGTGTCATTCTTGTAGCCTTTTAAGGGGATGGCCTTTGATCAACAGTGGTATATTTGGACAGATGATGATGACGATATAATATCATAGATAAGTATGTACTATTATGAAAACTTTTTCATTTAATAAGTACAAATTCAAGCACAGCTTTACTAATCTTTACATTTCATACTTATAACTTGACTTACTTTTGTTAAACTTCCAAGTCCATCTGGCCACTGATAGTTCTTAAACGGATCACTCTTGTAGGTGGTAACTGGAGTTCTTGCCCCATGACGGAATAACTATAAACCAGAATATAGCATATGAATATGAAACTATATTATTAAAGTAACATAATTTATATATTCATATTTTATATACTTACAACTATCACAAGACGCAAGGTTTTAGATTCATATGGAAGAGTTTCGCTCAAGACGCAATATCCAAAAAGACAACTGAGAACTGCTAATCCTAAGACAATAACAGCTATAGTAGTTGACCTTCTGGGTATTGGTTGACAGGTTGTCTGCGCGAGTTTGGGTGATAATGACCTCGTCCATGTATTTTCATCATTGTCATACTCCATCATATTAAGTTAGCTAAATTTTATAATAATTGAACTTAATTAATTCATGTAAACAATTAGGTCATTAGTTGCAAATAAAACTGTTATGCGAAAGTAAGCAAGGAAAATAGAATTTTGTTTATTTTTCTGTTGGTACATAATATTAGACAGAAACATTATTAATAAGTAAACAATATTAAACATGATCAGTAATGCTATTATGTCTCGTATACATTAGTAAAATTTTTTGACTATTTAACTTGATAAACACTTTAACCGTTCAGGGCCATAAATATTAAATAAAATTCCAAAAATTAACTTTATTACAATAGTTTAGTTATGAGTTAATTTAAAACGTATAAAGATTATATACCTTCCCGATTGAAATTAAATACAGATACCTTTATTTACTATATAACATGCAAATAATAAATATATTATTTTGAATTTTCATTGGAGTATTACTTGAATATTTCTTTTACATGAATAAAAAAATAAAAATACATTTTAACAATTCTCACATAGATGACAATGATCAGGCCAATATCGATATAAAAAATTGAATATCGAAATCGTATCAAAACGATATATTTTTTTCAAACTGATTCAAAGCCGTAAAAGATTAAAATGAACGGAAAAGAACTATTACTAAAATCGTCGAGGATGCAGAGTTGCATTTTGTACTATAAATAGGATATTTATACCACAATTTGATGCTTCGTACTTTATACTATCTATATCTTAGGTACAGCATGGTATGGTAACACCTCTGTGTTACAAGTCATTAATATTGAATGTCATTAAATTGATATATAAATATATATATAATCTTAACTAGATTCCGATTATATATATATATATATATATATATATATATATATATATATATATATATATATATATATATAATCATGAAATCTATTATGTGCATTGATACGGGGGCGAAAAATCGATCTAGCTAGGTTTCATTTTTAGAAATTGTCCTTTTATCCCTGTTTTCAGAGATTGAAAAATATCATTCGAATATGACGGTAAATTTCACCGAGAAAAAAGTTATAATAGCTCGGTCAGTAATCGGGCAGCCCCGAAACAGAAGGCCGCGCTTCGTGTCACGATCATTTACACACTATTTTTTTTTTTTACTTTTTTTCCATACAAGATCATTGCTTTCTTTATTATTTATTTTTATAATTTCCAAAATACACGATTTAACAAAAAAAAGGGTCCTCCAGGTACTATTATGTTAATTTATAAATAGCATGCAAAATATTAATGGCATCAACTAAAGTTACTTTAATTTAATATGTAAATAAACTGAACAAAAATTTAATAATAATCGAATTCTCAATTATTAAATGTCACATAATATAATATCGAGTTTTCATAAAAGAATTATTTGACGTCGTAAAAATTATTATCATTTGACCACATAAGTAACTTCTTTAAATTATTGTTTAGCATTTTCATGTCAATCAAACAATTATTACTAAATTCAGTTGATCAAGGCCTGTCTTTTAAGACAAGTCGCTGCGGATTTCTTTTTGACTCATTATTAACAATTCTTTACGTATTTTTTACAACATGTTACATGTTTTTTAATTAGTTAGTTTTTGATTCGATTCAAAGCTAAAAAACTGATAAATCTTACTAAATAAGCTGTTTTTTTTATATAATAACATTTTATTATGTTAGTTTATAAATAGAAAAATCTAATATTTACAAGTTTAAATCTATCTAAAATTACATATTATCTAATAAACCTAATCCACGCGGCATGGTGCCAAGAATGCTAGCTGCATTTCCACGCTGAATAGTTATGCTTAACCTTTGAGCGAGAAAAGAACCAGCTCTCTTGTCACCAGCCAAGGCGTTAAGCCTAGGACATAAAGTTTAAAAAAAAATTGATGTGCGGGGACCCCACGGACCTAAAGTTTCAACAGCAAATGGCACAAATACATAATCTAAACATAACGACTCATATTTGCTTACTTCATACTTCAGCTGCCTCCGATGCCGCCCCGGCCCTAACCGAAGTACCCCTTAGATGAGAGGCCAAAGTGGCCAAAGTGTCTACACAAGTGGCGTCCCAAACAAGGGCTTTGCCTCTGTCCCAAGGGATCAACATAAATCCGTCGGGTCTCTTACCATCGTCGCGAAAAATGCCACAGGGCTCTAAAATAGATGGAACATGAAACAAGAGCCCTACGGATGATGTCGTTCAGGGAACCGTGGCTGTTTGTTTTTTTTCTAATGAAGTTCTTGATGAATAATATACCGCGAAATTTAGATTAATAAAAAAAATGATTAAAATGTAAAAAATAAATAATTAACGTTTTATTAAAATTTCTCATACATTTAAATAATGTGAATTTGGTCTAAAAATTACTATTACTTATTTGAATAAGACTTAACTAAATACATTTTTTTTTTAAACTGAAAATATGATCAATATATCGATATTTTTTTCGACTTTCGGCATCCCTAAATGATAGCATACCTGATATCTATTAAGCGGCATGGCAATCGATATTTTTCCATACAATTATCGATATATGTCATCGATATATTTTATGGCTATATATCGATATTCGATATTTATTTCAAACTATCGAATTAGTGTCAATTTCAATATATTTTTAAACCAAGTTTGGTTTCGAGTTTAAAGTTACTAGCTCTATGCATGTTCCTCGCGCATCGTTAAGTTTAAAAATTAATTTAAACATTTTTCTTCATGTCTATTCTATTTTACGCATTTTGAATGGTTTAAAAATATGTATGCATAATCATGCGAAAAATGATCGTCATTTTGATATTTTTCGCTCGATAATTTTCGATACGATATATACCCTAGTATATAGAGTTCTCAGAAGATGTCAAATCGACTATCAACTTCAACAATAGTTAGTCAATGTTATCAACTCTCGAAAAAAATATGTCCCTAAAGCTTAAGTCAAAAACCTTTAAAACCCCCAAGCAAAATAATATTGTTAAAAAAATACACCTGGTTTGTACACTTGTCTTTCCATCGCTCTATTCGGCGCAGAGACATGGACTTTCAAGTCCGCAGATAGACGAAGAATTAACACTCTTGAAATATGTTGTTGAATCCGTATTCTGCAAATACAATGGACGGGAACAACTCCATCTTAGAGCAGCTTAAAATAGAAAATGCTCAACGTCTGTACAAAGCGTGGTTACAGCGCATACTGCGATACTATAGCCATAATGCACGCAGAGGAGCAGACAACTTTGAGCGGTTGATCGTGAAGGGGATATAAGACTAAGAGGCCGTAATCCTAAACGGCGGGCGGATCCAATTTCTGAAAACCTAGAAATCCTTATAAGCGCCGCATTCCACCAGGTGACGGAGCGAAACCGATGCTCTTTGACCAATTGAATAGGAGTCACAATCTTCAGCAGTGAAAGAACGACTAAGTAGAAGAAAGAAAAAAATTATAAAATTTCCAAATGAATGGATGAAAATACAGTGAAGGAATTGGATTGTAGGAATATGGAAAAGGATTGCATCGAAAATGTTGGTCTTATAAAAAGTTTTCAAAGAAAAGTTGTAGGGAATTTAATTTTGTAAAAAATTGTCTCTTTTACCAATATTTTTTTCCGTTATTCCATAAATGAAATTCTTTATGAATGATAAGAAACTAATTACTTTTGGCGCTTCCTTTAAAATTTATCCTGCGCTATTGAATGCGTTTTGACGGACACTTTCACAGAGACTGTTCTCCGCATGCTTAATAATAAGAAACCGTACTAGATGTCGCTAAGCCGTTCAGTCAACAAATAAATATGATTGAGTAGATTTATTCCAGGCCCTTTATTTTTCTTTATTAAAAATAATAAAGAAAAATGAAAGTAGACTGTTGATAAAATATGAAATATGTTGGTATCGATATTATTTTTAAAAAGGTTTTTATTTTTCCTTTGTCGCCTAAATTAATAAACTAAAGCAGATTTTTGATTAGGAAAATATTATATTATTCATCAAAATTTTGGATCGGGAGTTGTTATTTTACTCTTATTCTATCAGAAATAGCATATATTTAAATGCTATGATTTAAATGCTATATATTCTTTTGCAGCATCTGCAGCTTCATCGCAACCACTTTGTGGAACCACCGGTGGTCTATAAGAATCGTTACGACCTGGGATCCTTCAAGAGGAGAGAATATTCTTTCCTAAAAGGCCGGGAACGTATTTGGAAGCCCTCCGGAATTGCAGATGTTAATAGGCGGCGGTGATAACTTTCCATCAGGTTGTCCTTCTGCCCGTTTGCACCCTATTTTCCATAAAAATAAATCAAAAGACATTTTATTTTGTTGTTGATAGAGATAATATCGTGTGCATGTATGGTTGCCAACCATACATTAATTAATATTTATTTTTGGGAAATATACTTTATAGCTTTATACTTTTGCGTAAAAATAAAGTGTGTGAAAATACTCTATTTTCAATCTTTACTGTGATGCATAAAATAAAGCACAATGTATCTTTATTTTATCGATGCTTCTAAGTTGAAACAAAACACTTTCATCTTATAAGCTTTTTCTTGTTATTAAATATAATTAAAAAAAACATTTTCATACCGAGAAAATTCTATACTTTTTTTTCTTACGTGATAATTTGTTAATTTGTCATGGCTTCCAAAAATTTAAGTATAGTAAAAAATAAGTGTGTGCTAAAAAAATTCAAAAATATATCTTCTGCGAGAGAAATAAATAATATTTTGAAAAATACTTTATTTTTTCTCTACATGAAAATGAGATACTTTATTTCTCTCAAAAAGAGTTGGCAACCCCATGTGCAAGTGACTTTTGTCAGTTAGATTCCTTAAATAATTTGGTGTGGACTTCGCAAATTTGGAAGGAAAATGAAGGCTTATTTGCGATAATTAACGTACCAACCATTAAATTATAGGCATAACACGATCTAAGGGAGGAGATGGAGGTTCAAACCTCTGCTGTTGTAGTAATCGTTGATACATGATTAGTATTTAATTGGAAAAGGATCTTATTGAAATGGGTTTTAAGAATCTATCGTAATTCAACTAGGGGACCACGCGCCCAGAGTAAAGAATAAGGTTGAATTGAAATTGCAATTTCATCCCGAGACGTATTGGCGCTGCACTATCGCTTATGAATGAACAATTATACAAACAATTATTATTCATGAGAGCAATTTTTTTACAAGATTTGTTCATATTTATTAACATATGCTAACAATGATAATAAAACAATTCAAGAGAACGTCGTTTACAAAATAAAAGGTTATACAACTAATCACGCAGCGACTACTCGTCATTAAGTAACAATGACAACACCTCGTAATGATTAAAAAACGACGAGCATATCGCGTGTAGGCCGCGAATCTAGGACCCCGCATTCGCCGTCGAATGTACTGAGCTGTATGCACAGAGCACTAATACTCTCACGAGGCTGCATGTATGTATGTTATTGCATTGTGAGTGATGTGACGTACTGCGCGGCGGTGGCACCTCGTTCAGCGTTATGTCGACGCGGCTACGTGGCGACTCTGACCGTGCTATGCCATCTAGAGCTAGACCATAAAGTAACTTATTATAGGGGTATGGTCTAGACATAGCGGCGTTACGTTATCGGGCGGCGACTGATTATTAAATATATTAATCGCGCGCATAAGCGTATCGTCTGGATCGTCCGTCTATAACGTTTATCGGGCGGCGTATTCTCGGATGCACGGTCCGAAGGGGTGCGGGATAGATTCGGGACCGAAAGCTTTTACCAACGGATTATATTTACCTTAATTCTTTTGAAGTGTCTTATTTACGCTTCTTTGAAGAGGTTGGACAAAGATCTTATATTTAAATCGCGATGCAAATCGGCGATCCGCACGTACCAAGATGCGCTTTTTGCGCAGCGAAGAAATTTATTACTGAGACTGAGGCGCCTAGCCTGAATCTCGCGTATTATTATTACGCGTTATGGTGACTAAGCTCGAGGGCTCCCGAGGGAACCTCGGCTCGAGCCGTCACGCTATTATTTTCACCGGTTTGGGAGGCCGCCAAGCTCTTAGGACGCTTTGGCGGGCGCTCCATGGAGTGATCTGGCTCAAGGTTCCCTGAGAGGGGACCTCGGCTTGGGCTGTCACTCAGCACGCGTTTAGCATTCCGATTCGAGGGTGCCCGAGAGGGCCGGACCTCGGCTCGATCGGTAGCTATTATCTGACTGGGATCATCATCATTTTACAGACCGTAATATATACCTAGTTAACTAGGTTAGTTAGTTACTTTTTCTACATGTTTTAATAGTTACATCCAATTCAACTGTAGCTATTATATAGCTTTTTATCAGACAAATCTTCAATGTGGTTCTTTAAGTTGATATAAGTTTTTTTTTTATTTATGAACCGCTTTAAATAAAACTAATACTAAATATTAAGTGAAGCTTACTACAATGCATTAGTGCTCGTGAGAGTATTAGTGTTCTGTGCATTAGTGAAAGTTGCACCCAAATCGGTTAAGAGACTAGCGCGCACAAACAAACAGATAAACAGACAAAAATTTTAACGATCATTGGTTTTGGGTTCTAATGCGTTGATAAAGGTCCCCAGTAATAGTTTTTCTCAAATATCTTCTATGTACAGACAACGATCAGTTACATTTTTGTTATATGTAAAGAAGATTATTTGTAATGGGCTGTCATCTATGAAGAGGGATATGCGCGAAACAGATAGGCATGCAGACAGGGTCTTTAGAGTAAGGCCCTAAATAAGGTGCCTACTTCTTTTCGATTTGTCCTTTGTATTTTTTATGGTTGTTTCACGAAATCAATTAAATACCAAAGTTTTTCCATGTTTTTGAATAGTTTTTAAAAATAATAACGTCATCAAAATATACCAGACAGTGTATTATACATCAAGGACCCCTAAGGACATTGTTAATTTCCCGGAACGTTGCAAGCGCCAATTTTAGGTCAAATGGTATTCTATTACACTCATATTATCATATTTTTCTACCTCTTAGTTAAAATATTATACAATTCTTAGCCTTGACGCAATAGTTTGGTTAGTTGTACAGACATTTTAAATAAATGAATCACTATGTACCAAGAGATTATAGTAGCTAGTAACGGATACCTATGCAAGAAACACATTTTTGTGTGATCGAACAGTCGTACACGGAATTGCGGCCCGCGACAGATTTGTTGGACCAGAGATGCATTGCACAGGATAAGCTTCACAACTCTAGTAAAGTTGACTGTTCCTGCGTCATGCTGCGTGTGTATACACGCCTCACCGGAGAACATTATACATATGTATAATGATAAAACACACCACCGAGACCAACCTATAGCGCACAAAAGTAGATCCACTTTCTATTGCGGTACTCACTGTTCCCAGCCAACGGCTATCTAGTTCGGGGTCCGCGCCGAACCCCGAAGGCCCGTATTTTACAATGAACGGCCATTGGGGTCACTAACTGAACTCTGATAGCTTGTAGGAGGGAAATTCTACCCTAATACAGATAACGCGTACTGGACATGTGCAACCCAATGAGGTTTGTATTAAAGCAGTGAAATCTGGCTATCACACAAGTTCTATAATTGAGGAAGCAATAGTAGTCTAAGAACTGAGAGGTATAAAGATTTGCAACTCACACTCAGCCAACAGTTAGTTTGGCATGGCCTATACAGCAATTGATTTTTTGTTTTTCCTGATCCCAACTGCAATAGGTAAAGTCTTACTTAAATACAAAAATAGTATCAAATTAAAAATTAGAGTAAAAGAGTAAAATTGTGCAAAACAAGAATAATTTATTAAACAGGATGGAATATTCAATGCTAAAAATGTACATTTTTAGTTATAAAGAATAATAAAGTAATTAAACCACTGACAACATGAACGAAAATACAATTTAAACCTTAAATACAATCTCAGTTACTTTATACATAATATCAGTAACAAAAGTAAAGAAGACTAAATGTTTCTTACCATGAGTTAGAATATAGTTTCGAAAGGAATAATTTCAAAGAATTACAAAAATAAACTGGTAGCACCACTTAAAAATAAAAATCTGTCCAAACTTAATATAATTATTTATATCTACTCATAACGTGGGAAAGCATATAAAATAATAAATTATATTAGAAACAAAGCATTGTGCAAAGAAAAAAATATTATATCATCAACAATAGTGCATTATCTATCTTTTAAAATAAATGTTTACTATTATGCTTATACATTTATTATAGTTGACTAACAATGTTATTGAGTTACTCCAGGATCATTTGTTGTGAATGGATTATAATTCTTGAGATTAACAAGCTCCATTGAAACATCCCAGAGTTGTTTGGCATATTCATCATTTAAAGCATTACGATGGGGGGTTGTAACTGAACAGTCACTGTAAAACCAAAACCAATGTTTAATTGTCACAAAATTGTAATGCAAAGACCTTAATAAACAATGCAGTTGTAAAATTAATCAGTGAATATTAGAAGATTTACTAATTTACCTAATATATGATCTTGAATGAATGACCAGGTTTAACAACAGTCCACAATTTTACAGAAAATCAGTGTGAAGTGGATGTATTATTATTAAGCATTTGTACTTAGGGTTACCAGGGCCAGTACATTGAAAGGTTGGCAACATAATAAATATGGTGGGGATCACTTCATCCCAGATGAACCTGCAAGCTTGTCGCCTCATGACATAAAAGAACAAAGAAATCAATATTTGAAATCTTTGGCAGGTAAATGGTTTTAATATGTGCAATAGTTAGATAATTTCTGTGTATTGTAATTATGGATTGGAGAGGTAATGAAATTGGAGGGAAGTTATGAGTCGAGGGCAGACAAGGCCAGATGGAGTAAAATAGGCAATTTGTGTTTGCTTGACCATTACTACTTTAAACATTCATACAAAGTGTCCTTATTTTATTGTAAAAGAAAATCAGTGATGCGCCATCAAATATATTACCTGTAATATAGACCTGTTTCATTAGCACATTTCTCATCTACTGCACAATAAATTGTTGTTTGTGCACCAAGCTCGGGTGATTTCATAAAAGGCCCTAATATAATTCCAAACAGTTTTCTTGCACCCCAAAATAAAGTTTCATCCATATGACGTCCAAGCTCTGTTTTTATTACTCCAGGATGCAAGCTGTAGGTATTAACACCCTCAATATTATATTCCTAGAAATAAAAATATATAGCATATTATAGTTTTATTCCAGGAAATTGCATAGTGGATAAGATCTTAACTTTAAGCACAATGATGAATTTGAAATCTAAATTGGCATGAGCAAAACTGCAGACAGTATATAGTATATTATATTTTGAATTGGTTGAGATAATTTATCTTATTAATTACCTTCAATTTAACTGCTAGCTCCCTAGAAAACAAAACATTGGCAAGCTTACTCTGAGAATATGCTAACCTAGAGTGATATGGTCTTTTCTTGTAATTCAAGTCATCAAAATGAATGCCAGATCCTGCAACAAGTATTAATTAAAAAGTGAAATGTTAATATCTCAACATGCAGGCTCAACTGAACTACAACAATCTAAAGTTAACTTCCTTAAACATGTCTGTATGTGATTTTTAATGAAAAATGTGAGTCACAGGTATTGATAACTAGGCTTTTCCATAGTATGTTAGAAAATTGGCAAGTTTCATTTTTAATACCCCCTAATAACTGTTCACTATTTATTTACTGCTTTTAATATATGATTTTCAGTTTGTCTATATTTATAGTCTTCACAAGAGCAGTGTGTATCTGACAAAAGCCCATATAGTATTTAAATTAATATATTTATAGGAACTTTTAATAATTAATACTCATACAGTGCTTGACCACCCTTCTACCTGCAGGTAAGCAGTGATGTAGTGTTACTTCCATAAAAGCCTATTGTTTTTCCTTAAGGACTCATAAGACACTTGGAAAAATTGACTGGGTTGGACTATATTTACTGAGCTGGCAAAGTACAAATCTTATCTACACCCAGAAAAGATCTGGTAAAACTTAACAATAAATAGATTAGACATTTTACCATATAGAATGCAAAAGAATATAATGTGCCTTACATAGGTTTTAAAGTGAAAAAAAAAAAAAAGATAATTCACATAAAATCCTTTTCTGCTATACTTATGAAAGTTAATTTTGTTTCATTAGAATTACTAACATATGAAGCATTATTTTTATAAATACAAGCCTACAATATCCTACTGGGTTAGTATAAAAGTTGCTTTTTGAGTCCCTAAATTTATTTTTAACACTAGTAATAATAGTATTTTAATGCATACTTGAATGAGCCATTGATGACACAGTAACGATCCTAGCTGGAGTACTGTTCTTAATACGGGGCAACAGGAGCAGGGTAAGCAGGAAATGTCCTAGATGATTGGTCCCAAACTGCATCTCAAAACCATCCTCAGTCTCGCCCTTAGGGCACATCATAATACCAGCGTTATTGACTAAAATGTTAATGTTAGGTTCTGTGTCTAAAATTTTTTGGCTAAAATCTCGAACAGATTTCAGAGAAGACAGATCGCATCTCTCTAGTACTAAATTGCCCGTCTCTGATAGTCCCTTGCATCGCTCCTCAATTTCTCTTTTTGCTTCAGTAGCTTTATCCAAGCTTCTACATGCTAATATTACCTTAGCACCTAGAATATATAAAAACGTTTTAGTGTTTAAAAGGCATATATTGTTGTATAAAGTACCACATAACTATTAAACATATAAAAGAACAAGTGCAGAACATATTTTTAAAAAATATATAGTTATCCATTATTTGTGCGTACTATCGCATCAATATAATAGTGTATGCACACAATATTTAGAGTTTGTTATATCTTTTGTTGTAGTTGGAGGGTACAAAAGGTTTTGTAAAAACAATTTGTGTTCAATTATTGTTGACTTGCAATGAAATAGTTAATTTGAATATCGAATTTAAATAACGATTTTTCAATTAAAACAGTAACAAGTTGCAACCAAAAAAGTGTAAGTTGAGAAGGTAAATTATGTTATTGAGAAGATAAGTACGGTACTTTGTTTACCTTCCCAATTAATTATTAATATTCATAAAAGTACCTCTTTTATAGAAATCTAAAGCGGTTTCTTTGCCAATTCCTGTATTACTTCCTGTTATAATTGCAGTTTTACCGATTAATTTCGATGTACTAAAGCATCTGCCACTAAATAACGGCATTGTATAAATATAAATGCTTTTTCAAATCAGAATAGCAGAATTCTACACAACAAAGTGTGTTACTTAATATTAATATTGTTATTCTTAAATATTGAGCGTAAAGAAAGAGGTAGACAGAGAGAGGTTGTAAACAAATTAATTAAATTAAACTAACAGTAACATTAACAAGTTAACAACGGTTTCGGTACAGAAACAGAAAAAATGTCATAAATAGGGATGCCGCAAAAATCGATATATCGATATATCGATATTTTTGGGTTTGGCTGATATATTTTGATGCGATATTAGGAAATTGAATATCGAAATCGTATCAACAAGGATATTTTTGTTAAACTGATACAAAGCCGTAAATAATAAAGTTGGACGGAAAAAAAAAATGTTGTCTATGACTAGTATTGTCGCGGATGCAGCTTGTTTTTTTTTTTTTTTTTGGTTGGATTAGCCACTGTTGGTCTTAGGGGCCTTTACAGATCCGACGGACTTGAGGGGGGCCGGGCGCTCGAGGCGCCTAGCCTGAACCTCGCGTATTTATTATTACGCGTTATGGTGACTAAGCTCGAGGGCTCCCGAAGGAACCTCGGCTCGGGCCGTCACGCTATTAGTTTCACCGGTTTGGGATGCCGCCAAGCTCTTAGGGCGCTTTGGCGGACGCTCCATGGAGTGATGAGGCTCAAGGGTCCCCGAGAGGGGACCTCGGCTTGGGCTGTCACTCAGCACGCGTTTAGCATTCCGATTCGAGGGTGCCCGAGAGGGCCGGACCTCGGCTCGATCGGTAGCTGTTAACTGACTGGGATGCATTTTGTACTGTAAATATGGTATTTATACTACAATTCATGCTTCGTACTACTTTATACCATATCAAAGGTACAACATGGTATAGAGGTGTTAAAAATCATTAATATTGAACTACATGCTAAGCTCATTTATAAATAGCTTGCAAAATATTAATGTCATCAACTAAAGTTACTTTAATTTAATATGTAAATAAAGTGAACATAAATTTAATTATAATTAATATAATAATATTATAAATTAAAATATATTTATATTATGATAATATAATTAATATTCATAAAAATTATTAGCATTTAACCACTTAGGTAACTTTATTAATTGTCGATCAGCATTTTCATGTCTACAAAACATTGGTATGTTTTCGCAGTAATGGAATGAAATCAATAGTAATATTCCTTTTTGGCGAGTTGTAGCATAGTTATAGATAATAAAGTTTAAATTTACTGTAACCAGTAAGTATGTAACTATTAAAGCATATTATATGTATTTTCGTGAACTAAACTTTAGCATTGTGTAATTGCATGATGCTAAAGTTTTGATATGATAACATGATTACGTGATGTCACAGAAGTTTGTGTCACGAAAGTTGTTTGTGTAGGCAATGATGTTTAATAATATAGATAACGGATGTCCATAGTCCATACTGCGCGGCGTTAAAAATTTTTTCCACACTATATGATGTATTATGTAGGTTAATGTAACCGATGATATAGAACGTATGATACGGGAAGAGATAACAGTCTATATAATCGTAATCTAATTACACATATTGATTTGATTGCCTCAGTTTCGGTGCGCTTGTGTCATGTATACCTCGTATTTGTTTACAATAACGTTGGGTGTAGGTGCGTCATGGGATAATCTGGGTAAGCTACTATTCCGTGGACAATCCCGTGGTGCGATGCTATGATGCCGGAGGTTAAATTTCGGCAAAGTTCAGTTCGCTAAGCACTTCTTTTTCTTGGGCATCCATAAGTCGAGTGAGCCCGATGGCATCTCTCCAATCGTGTTGCAGATAGACGCGTCTTTTCCTGTACTCCTATACTTTCGGCGTAGTCCTGGTAAACCACTTTAGTGCATAATGGAGTCTCTTATTAACTGTCAGCTCCTGCGGTTCCTAGAGCTGATTACTGACTGCACCACCTCGATGTCCAGCGTTCCACAAAGCGCCATTTTCCAGGCATTACCTGTCCAACCACCACCTACCTGTGGAACCAGATGCCGCCGGCGGTCTTTCCGAACCGTTACGACCTGGGATCCTTCAAAAAGAGCTTGCAGCTTTTCATGGGCGGCGGTGATTATCTTAGCATCAGGTGAGCCTCCTGTTCGTTTGCCCGTTTTTGGCATAAAAAAATCTTAATTCATTTGCCTTTTTGGAGAACGGAAGAAATAAATGATTAAAAGAACGGAAAAACGGAAGAAATAAATGATTAAAATATAATCAGCATATAAAAACTAAAAACATTTCAAACAACACATTTTTGGTTAAAATTTAATTATTTTTAAAGTAATAGGAATACCCTAAAGAGATAAGGGTCAAGGACAAGCGTACACTAATCAGAAAGCATTTTAAGGTTCACACTATTAAGCGATATAACTTAGAAGAAACATTGAATATTCAACCATAATAAAATTGGTTAAAATTTGAATTTTCAGCAAAAAATTGCTCACGTTTACTCACTTCACCTTAGCATTCAGTGAATAAAGATTACTACAGAAAATTATATAGGAAATATTTTTACCTCTTAAAAAAATATTTCTTTATATATCTACGTCATTTAATTACTTATATTCATCTAGATTCCTAGTACGGCATGTCCAATTGGCAATGTGTACAAATACAATGAAGTACCTGAATTGAAGTTACTGTGTACAGTACCTACTACAAGGATAAGTTGGCACGTGGTCGAAATCGTAACTAAGGCCGCGATCTTGTAAAACGCCACTACAATGACATAGTTCGCTACTATCGTTCGTTTGTTACGCTCGCTGCTTTTACTTCAATAAAAATAAAGCAAAACAATGACAAAAGTGATTAAAAGTGGTTATAGACAGATTGTGCTAAAGGATTAAGTTGATAAATTTAAGAAAAACAGTCTGATGCTCAAATAATTCCATTTGAGAGAGTTTATACTAAATGGATGAGTCGCCGTTGAGGCTGACACAGGTAAGTGTTACCATATTAGGAGGGACCGTACCCAAACACTATTTTGCTGGAATAGACGAATAGTATATACAATACAAAAGAATACGTGTATTTTTTATGTGATAAAAACTAACTGCAGGTATGTCTTTAAGCACAGTAGCAAGAATCATAAAGGTAGATTGGCTTAAGCATCTTCAAGTTAAATGGTAAGAAAGAAAAAGAACGGAAAACAAGAAAAGGCGAAATTTTATTGACTAATTTTCGACTAAAGATCGAAGTCACAATCAAGTCTATATTTAAATAAGAAATCGGATTTCGAAGCAGTGGAGAGATTTCCACGCAATATATCAAAAATAATTGATTTCCAATTAAAAAGGACAATAAAAAGTATTTTAACAACAAGAAGATATAATTTAAAAAACTAAAAAACCCAACTGCGTTTCTGCCTAATTTGGAAATGATTTTGATATACCCAGTATCATTCTCACAGTAAACATGAATCTACCGACACCCCTCAAGCTAAAATCCATCAAGTCGGTCAGGATGCAGAGCGCGCCACACTCAAACAAAAACATAACGCTCCTTCTGGTGCAGTCGCGTAAAAAAAGAACAGACTTCAAAAAAACTCTATATTATATAGTACTTAAAAGTTTTAAAGAATTCTAAATCTAGTATAATCAATTCTTTGAAAATCTAACCAACTTAACCTAACCTAACATCTTACAAAATTTATAAATTTTTGGAGTCGATGCCTTCACATTCTTTTAACTTTTTTACACAATTTGCAAAGTGGATTAGATATATGACAGGCCTGTAAAGTATAATAGCCTATACATATCAAACTGCTGTACAAAGACCTCCTCTGTACAGATGGCATTAAGGCATAGTCCACCACGCGACTTCACAGTCAACATTTTTTTTGTTATATTTCAAAAATATGCAGGTTTCCTCATAATTTTTGTTTTCCTTTATCGCTGAGTACGTTAGCACTTTTGGTGCCGTCACCGGGGATCGAACTCTGTTGCTAGAGTGTATCGAATTAAAGGCGAGTACCCGGATACCTTATACCCGGATTGAATTTATAAATAATAGGCTATCATTATTATACATTTCGACAGGCAGTGTGATGTTAAATGGATGTTCACTCGGCTCCTGCTGCGGTGTTAACCACAGCGCCGGTAACCACAGTCCTATACGTTACGGAGGTTAAATGACGAAAATCAAGAAAATTACAATAATAATCTTAGTTTAATTCTTACTCGTTTGGCTTTATAGACAACTTATGTTTACTTATACTTTTATTATGTTTATGTAAACTTATGTTTATTTATAAAGATTTGACAATGGCTCAACTTGAATTGCTTTGCGAACGTCAAGGAATACTGTTGATAGAAGATTTTGCCAATGGAGTTGCAGTTTGAATTTATCCCACTTTCAGACAAGTAAACGCTTACAATGCACACATGATAGCTAGAAATCGAAAACAGCATATTAATTGTGTAATTACGATGTTATGTTGTGTGATTGCGCAACACAATGCATATTCATGCGATAGCAGCAATCGCGGTTGATTAGCTGTCATTATTTGAAGAATTTTGTTGTCTATCTCCGAAACTCATCAGCAGCTCTATATGAAATTTATATGGGTCTATTTCGGAATGAAATCCTTTCGAGCAAAAAATAATTTTGCAAGTCCGTATATACATGACGGAGTTATGAGTATATATTTTAGAGCGCTTATTTTAATTCTGGTTTAAACTTACGAGTATCACTGCGGTTGGTGATAAGAGGGCTGGTTCTTTTCTTGCTCTAAGGTAAACCGTAACTATTCAGAAAGGAAATGCAGTTAGAGTTTTTGGCACCATGTCAAATGGATAAGGATGGTTAGATATTTTTTTTTTTCACTTCATTTTTTTCAATAAATTTATACGTCCGTAATGTTTTAGTAATAAACATCCCCTTTTATTCAATTATTAACTCCATATAACTGGAGTTACTATGTGAAAAATAATTATATTAATTGTAAATATATTATTCACCCTGAAACTAAATAGACTCTATTAACTTCTGACTAACTGAGGGCTATGCTCGGGGTTTCTCTGCGAGAATCAGGAATGAGGAGATCCGCAGACGTACGAAGGTTACCGACATAGCCAAGCGGGCAGGGCACATAGTTCGCAGAACTGACGGCCGATGGGGCAGTAAAGTTTTCGAGTGGAGACCGCGTGTTGGAAAACGCAGTGTGGGGCGGCCACCCGCGAGATGGACTGACGACCTGTCCAAAGTCGCGGGACTTCGCTGGATGCAGGCCGCTTCAAACCGATCGAAGTGGAAATCCCTAGAGGAGGCCTATGTTCAGCAGTGGACGCCTACAGGCTGAAATGATGATTGAACTGACAATCCCCTTATTTTGACCCACCACCCTTTCAATGTCACCTAAGTGCTAACTATCGAAAGTGAAGAACTATATCAATATATCGATATTTAGGAAAATATCAACATCAGCGTCGATATATCGAAGATAAAATATCGATATATCGGATAAAGTCGTTGAAACCTACAGACCCCCACCGCTAGGTATGTACGTTTCGGGCACCGTTGAATCTGAATGCTAAACGGGTATTGAGTGACACTGACAGCCCATGCCGAGGGTCCCTCTCAGGGACCCGTGAGCCTAGTCACTCCATGGAGCATCCGCCAAAGCAACCTCCCAAACCGTTGAAGATAATAATAATAGCGTGACGGCCCCAGCCTCCCTCGGGAGCTTAGTCACCCGTAACCGCGGTACAGACTAGGCGCCCTCAGCGCCCGGCCACCTCAAGTCCAGTGGATTTGTAATGGTTCGAAAGCTAGCAACGTCGGGAAAACAAGAATTTCAGGTAGGCCATTTTCGAGATATGCTATCTTTTTCACTCTCGCAGACGTCATACGGGCTACCTGGCTGGCGGTAGATGTTGCGTTTATCAGTGCGCATCGTACCTAGGGTTGCCAACTGTTTTTGAGAAAAATAAAGTATGACATGTTAAAGTAGAGAAAAATATACTCCTTGGGAAAAGAGAAACTATTTTTCAAAATTTTATTTATTTCTTCTTTTGATGAAAGAAGAATTTCTTCTTTTTTCTTATTTTTGTATGCTTCTAGCACTCGTTCACAATTTTCACTACCTTTAAATTTCTGGAAGCTATCTTTGCATTCCCAATTTAAATAAAAATGTAACTCATTTTTAATACAATGAAAATTTGTGAAAACATGTATTAGCACACAAAGAAACTGATCCCACAATGGCTTAAAAATACATCAAACGACAAATTATCACATAAAAAAATTTTATAAAATTTTCTAGGGAAAAAATGTTTTTGTTTAAAAATAAAATATAACTAACGGCAAAAGCTTCTAATTAGAAAGCGTACTGTTTTAACTTAGAAGTATTGATAAAAGTTCAGTAATTATTCATAGACGTACATACATTGTGTTTTATGCATCACAGTAATATTTAAAATAAAGTATTTTCACATACTTTATTTTCATGCAAAAGTAAAGTATATTTACCAAAAATAAAGTAAAATACTTTAATATATAGTATGGTTGAAAACCCTAATTGTATCTGTAGAGGTAAAATATCAATTTCTCAAATAATTTTAACAGCGACAGTGAGAGAGATAGCATATATAAAAACTGGCCTACCTGCAATTCTCTCTCGAAAACGTTGCTAGCTCTTAGACTATAAAGGGTTTCCATTTCAAGGCCAACAGTGGTTGATCTAGCCTAAAAAAAAGTGTTTGGCCTTGTAGCATAAATGTGTTTGTAGCGAACTGCCGTCATACGACGTACGTTTTCCGCAAGACACAAAATATATATATTTTGGGCTCCGAAATAATAAATAAATATAACGTTCTGCGCAACATAATCTTGCAAAAACTACTAGCAAGAAATATTTAAAGGCTAGGAAGATAACTTCTCATGAGTAAATATGTTGAAGTCATATAATAGTCCTTAAACTGTTGTTGCATAATATGAATGAATAATTATGGAAACTAAATTAAAGGACAAGTATTTGTTAAATAAATCTTTTTATTTTATCACGTAAAGGGATTAGTTTTATCATATCATATTATTTAAGTGTTGTAAACACACAAACATATTCAATTAGTTTTCAATAAACGTTACGTGTTTAGAGAAAAAGTGTGTATCTTTTTTGGTTTGTTTGGTCGCTTTGCAAACAACTTCATCATGTCGCTTATACGGTGGTAGCGCCACGCAGCAGCCTCGTCTGTTGCACGAATGGGCAGGCTCGTCCGGTGAAGTACCACGACCTCACAGAAGACCGGCGTTAAGTGGAAGTATAATACTTTCGCGTTTCGTCTGGTGAGTGAGGTAGCCGGGACCCAATTTTCGAAAGGTTGTCAACGCATCCGGAACCCTCGGTTGTAGCAGATGTCCATGGGCGGCGGTATTCACTTAACATCAGGTGACCGTCAGCTCGCTTGGCAGCTTTTCACATTAAAAAAAAATGTCGCTTTTTGGCTATAGGTGTGCGTAGAAGTGGTCTCATAATTTTTTCATCGGAAAAAAATTCTAATTCAGACTAGTAAACAATGGTAAACCACTTTTCCTTTCATATTTATTTTTCGCATTTTACTTTTATCTACAGTACTTTGTACAAACATTATTACATTAAATATTAACAGAAATCAATAGAAAATAATTTGGGGCCAAGGGGCCTCCACTTCTTTGTTGCCCCGAGGCCTCCAGACCTCTAAATCTGGCCATGTGGTCACACAAATACTTGTCCTATGTGAGAATCATACCCACGACCCACGACGCCGAAGTCAATAGCAAGCAAAGATTTCCAATTCAACTAGTAATTTAATAACTTTTTAATTATATGGTGCGTTTATATTTAATAATAAGCTTAATATAAAATGTATTATCCATTTCAAACGAAGAAACTTAAATAACAGTTCCTGTTCTACACAAATTTTCACAGATGATGTATTTCTGTTGCCGCTATAACATCAAATACTAAAAAACAGAATAAAAAATATTTAAGTGGGGCTCCCATACAACGGACATGTTCTTTTTTCGTACGGAACCCCTCGTGTGCCAGTCCGACTCGCACTTGGTCGGTTTTTTAATGCTTTAGTTTTAGGCGGGTTTACGGCTTCTGTTTTTTTCTGTATTCTGTAGATGAGGTTTTGTTGCGAACGATCGCTTAAATTTCGTGCACATTTTTACACAAGTTCTCTAGTCCCAAACTGTAGGCTAGTACTAGATAACTGATAAACATACTTTTGCAAATAAATACATATTATGCATATATAAACACCCGGACAGTGGAAAAACCCGGACACTGTTCATCACACAATATTTTCCCAGTAGCGATCACACAATATTTTCCCAGTAGTGAGGATCGAACCCACACCCTCTGACTCCAGAGGCAGATTCTCTGCTCACTAATGGCGCCAGAGGCCAATTGGATCGGAAGAATGTCGCCTTTGTATATAGGGAGTACAGGGTCAGCAATAATCCGGACTCTGGGGCATTACCCACTCCCAGGGTGTTGGACAGCCTTTTTAACAAATCTGTGAAACGGGACCCGTGATAGCTCAATTTCCGAGCGCTCGCTTTTAAATTCCAAAGTACCTAATCGAGGAAACTGGGTTTAAGCCCCGGTGCTGGTTAAAACCAATGAAATTGTTATTTTTAAGTGCAAGTTTTAAAGAAAAACATCGTGAGGGAAACCTGAATATTTTCGAAATACCATAATTTTTCGAAGATATGTGAAGTCCGCGAATTTTCAGTGCCTTTCCGCAGCAGTGGGGTATAAGTATATAGGATGTTAATTTACTTTTCTACTTTACGAATCTTTTCGGTACTAGCAGTGAGAAGTCGTAGTCGATTGTCTTTTTGAGGGTTATCATAGTGACGATTAGAAAATACGTGCTTGTATGTCCCACTTTAAATTCAAACTAAAAATGCGTTCAATAGCTAAATATAATCTAGTGATTTTAAGCCGTATTAGAATACTGCGCTTGTAAATTTTCCCCATTACGCAGAGAATACTAATAAGCGGGTAATTCGACGCAATCACTTCAATTACGCCTTTAGAAGGCTAATGATGGGAGGAGTGTTTTAATCATTCGATAAGCAATGCAAACTTGAAAAGCGGTTTTTATAGATCTTAATAATGGACCTCATTAACCTCATTAACACTTCCTCGTCCTCTTTTCGCATGTAGATGTTTGGGTTAGTCGGTTGCGTAGGCGTACTAGGCGAGCATTACAGTTCGACTTCTTATCGTCTTCGGACGCTACCATCGGACCGACTCCGAGAAGGCATCGGGGAGACGTTCTCATATTTAAGATTTTTTTCCAATTGCCCGAACGCACTGTCCAACGGTGAGATTTTCTCCATCAGTCTGCCATCTCATACCTGTACGTACTGCTCTTTGACCTCCCAGCGCGGTTTTCGTCTATACCAGTGATTTCCAAAGTGGTCTATATCGACCCCTAGGGGTCTATGACAACGTGCAAGGGGTCTACGTCAGCGAAAAAAAATTTGGGGGTGTATAAAATGAAAATGGGTTGACATCCACGATAGTGGATGTCAACACATACACTGATAGTACCTATTTATTTACATCATACTATCTTATAATATTTTATGTTTATTTAATATTACGTGTATTTTACATAACAGATACAAAATTTTATTTTGAGTAGTTTTAATTTAAATTCAATTAATAAATGTATAAATTAACATGTGTTTTTACTTTAAGTTTTTAACACTAAACTTCACTACAGTTAGAAATTTACAGGAAATCAATATCAGGTAAGTAGGGGGTCTATCCAACACGGAAAAACATGGCAAGGGGTCTACGACACAAAAAAGTTTGGGGAACTCTGGCCTATACGATATCGCTCTAAAGCAAAGGTGGCTGCGTTTTTGACCCGAAACATGCGTCTGACGTTTCGAAGCGGCGATCATTAGTAGCGAATGTGACGATCCGTTCGGTCGGACGAGTCTGCTGTTTGGGTTCTTTGATGCGTTCATCGCACGCGGTTTGCGACAAATACATTAATTTTAGTCTAGAGGATAGCAGGTTAAAAGTAACATGTTTAAATAGTCCCTGTGGTCGTATTTCAAGGACAAAAAGTGATATTTATATTGTAAAACCTCGTTGTGAATAATCTACTAGCCGTGGCGCCAGCAGCCATTTCAATAGCTCCTGAAACGCGGTTTAAGTGGTCATGTGTTTAGAGATTACCCGACGGAAACGCGTCCGTTATAATTCGACGTTTATATTTTCTGGTCTGTCATAAGTTTTTTTAGTGATCGATATAGTATTTCATTAAATTTAACAGTATCTATGTTATAATTAAAGGTTTTTTAAAATTCTTGTCATCATCATCACCATCATCCTCTTGCCCTTAAACCACCTAGGTGGGGTTGGCTCAACATTTGAATCAATTAATTATTATACATATAAGCGGTTACGGCGTTGTTTTTTACGTTTTGTAAATCCTTCCTGACGTCAAGCCTCTTTGGGAATTAAAATTGTCATGTGTAATATATTTTTAGATCCAACAAACTGTGTATAAAGGCTCAAGGTGCCGCATTACAGCTAGTTTCCTGCTAAATCAAATTTTAACCCATTTTTGTTATTCAGGAAGAGGATTCACTAACGGAATATTCAAATGCTTTTTTCGTATAGTAAGCCATAAATAATGAACAGCAATGTATCAGATCCTTCAAACATTAGTACCAGTGAGGACAGAAACTGCTCAAGAAATTAGCTTTTATAATAGAATTACTAAAAATGACCACGCTTTTAGCCGACGGCAACTTTTCTCTGGGTATGAACTCTAAAGCCAGATTTTCTTCCTTTCACCAGAGGTTAGCAGATCAATCACTAAAGCACTCCTCGGTTACCTGTTAGATAATTAACGACGCACCAGGAAATCAGCTGTTCTTACTGACACACCTGAAAAGAACGCCCTATTAGAATAACAAAGAAAAGAGACCACGAAGCAAAAGAAAGGTTCCAAAAAGAAGGCAAAAAGGATAGAAGACAGTGTACAAGCTGTAGAAGCTAATATAAGTCCTACAGTTCGTAAGTATAATTTATTATTATTGTATTTATAAAAGTTATAATTTTTGTATCACTTGGTAATAAAACCGGTAAGTGCGACACATACCCTGGTTATTATTTGATTGTTCTCATGATGAATGTCTGTGTATTAAATCCATACAAAGTTTCATCGGGCACATAGTTCGTGGAAAGGCTACGTTTCTTCGAGTTCGATTATGAGATTTTTGAATATTAGGTCCCTCGCAATTCTAAATATCGCATAATTCCAAGATTTTTTTGAAATGATGAAAGATGAACAGATAAATCGAAATCATCTTTTTTGAACACATTTCTGCCATTTACACAGCTTTTAGTGTTAATGGAAGAAATATATATTTACAACCTGATTGTTTGCACTTTGAAAAAAAAAAAAAACCAGATGAAACGAGTACAGCGAAAATTCGGACTCCTTTCTATTTTTATGTGAGAAAGTGGCAAGCGAGCTCGATGTTAAGTGTTTACCGCCGCCCACGGACACACAACGCACCTGAAACACCTGTAGGGTTGCAGATGCGTTGTGTGTCACCGTTGTACCAATAAAGTGGACCCCGGGAACCTTACTCATCAGACGAAACGCTGAAGGGAACCTCCACTTCTAGGTCTTCTGTGAAGTTGTGACTCTTGAATCCGGACGGACTTGCCCATTTGTGCAACAGCCGAGGCTGTTGCGTCGCCCCACGAGGACAAAACAATGAATGAATGAACAAAATTCCTTACTGAATACATTATTACCACATAACTTTAGTCTTAAAGTTTAAAGTTTTAATTTTATAAATGCTTCTGGAATATAAAACATGGGTCTTAATACTCCATCTACATTTCAGTTCAACCATGGATTACATAAGCGGATGGTGTAAAAGTAAACGACTTTTGGAAGGTCACACGATCATAGTCACAGGTGCCAATAGTGGAATTGGAAAATACACTGCACTAGATCTGTTTCAAAGGGGTAATTCTTTGTAGTTTTGCTACCTATTTAAGTACCACGGCTTCCTTTTGTTTGTTCAATCAAGGAGGAAATTGCAGGGTCCTATATGCATAAAATGTATTGTCTATTCCATAACATGATCTGTCGCTATGTGATTTAATTGAGAATTTATATTATTTTAATATTCCACCAATTAAAAGTAATTGAATGGCGTATAAGTAGACATTTGCTATAGGCAAAGTGGCACAAGTGTAGGTTTCAATGCAGGAAAGGGCTCCTTTAAAAAATTCTTTTTACAATTCTTAGTATTCTGCATGATGCAAGTCGCAAGTCGTGAGATACAGAATCCACAAAATGTGCGTGCGTGCTGGTGAATCACCAACTATCAGGGTATAGAAGTAAATGGCAATTTAGCCGCTTTACTCCAGTACAAATAATGAAATTGACTTTTTTTGTTTTCTGAAAAGTTGGTAAGCGAAGAATTCGATTCTAAACATGCGTTGCCAAACTTTAAAAAAGTAGACTCTGATGAATATCCCATTCATCAGACGAAACGCGGTAGTAATAATTCATCCACTTCACGTCGGGCTTCTCAGAGGCTGTGGTACTTTCCTGTTAGAGATTGCCCATTCGTGCAAGAGTAGAAGTAGCTGCTTGGCTCTATCTCAAGAAGATTTCTTCTTAGTATAATAAAATTATGTCGTAATTCCCATAAAGGCGCCACAGTTATCATGGCATGTCGAAATACGACCAAAGCGGAGGAAGCGAAAATCGAAATAGAAAATATGGCTGTCAACGCTAAAGTGAGAGGAAAATTAATAATAGAAAAACTGGATTTATCCAGTTTGAAGTCAGTGCGCGGCTTCTGTTTGCGAATGCTGGAGAGCGAGACACGTATAGACGTCTTGATAAATAACGCGGGAGTTATGTGGTGCCCCAATGGAAGGACGGAGGATGGCTTCGAAACTCATATAGGCACAAATCACTTCGGGCATGCGCTCCTGACACTGTTGCTGCTTCCAAGGCTTATTAAAAGCACCCCCGCCAGGGTTGTCACTGTCGCATCAATGGCGAATATTGGTGAGTCATCGAATGAAAGCGAACTGATACTGCCGGCTTAGCTTTAACCCTGGGGCCGTCTAGCCACAATCGAAAGAAGTCCAAGTTATTTATATGTTACTGTGGACATCAGTCAGATGAAATTAAATAAAAAGATGAACATAAAATTATACAGATTTACTAAGTCAATCTAATAATATGACAATACTTATGAACTTACTACTAAACTTATGAAAATTATTTACCTACAGATTATGCTTAATGTGATTGCGATTATAAATGAATAATAAATAGGATTATACGTACATGCGTCATGGCCCCTAGGTTCAACTAATTAGTGGTTTAGTGACATTAATGTTTTATTAATACATAAAACAATTAAAATACAAATTAGGACAAGTAAGGTCAGATGAAACAGAAAAAAATCATAAGTAGTAACTAAATATCAGAATTTGTAATATAGATGCGATAAACGCTACTAAAAATGCTGTGGTGCACATTATTATTAAAAGGTTTTGTCTAGTAATGAAATATAAAAATTAAACACGCTTCGATGATTTTAAGTCAGACTTGAAAGGGCAGTGTTTTTGCACTCATTTTAAAATTGTTTATTCTCTACTCATTGTAAATGTCTATTCCGTATATATTTTATTTGTAATTTCAGTCTACAGCCTCGATTTGGATGACATCAACGTGGAGAAAACTGGCTACGGTGGTTTTAAAGCATATAGTAAAAGCAAGTGCGCAAATATACTCTTCTCGAGGGCTTTGCATTTGAAACTCCAGGTAGGTTGGCGAAACAATGTTGGTTGTTAATAACTTAGTTATGTAATAGGTTGATTATGTATGTCATAATAAAACAAAAACTAGTGCATTTCTTATTGGACCCGACGAATTTCCCGCCGTAACCTGTTAATTGTCACTTTTTTATATGTAGGTATATAAAATATGTAAAAAATGGCCATAGGAATAATGATGCAAATACACAGAATCATAGTTCAATAACTAAATGGTGAATCACGATAATCGATCGACTATTCCTAGTCCCTCCCTTCTATCTCTTTATAATACCATCTTTTTAAACATCCTTTCCTACGTTATGGCTTCTGATGAAATGCTGAACTTTTGTTGTTTTCTTCATATTGTTTATTTCTTCCTGACCACGAATCATCGATTGCAGTCATTTATCGGCAATTCGTCATCAGGTTGGCTCAATCTGGTGACTGTTGCAGCCCAAGGCAATCCTTTCTCCTCTTTTATTTTCAATATATATAAACCTCGCTATGACTATCATCTTCATGCCGATAATCTACAACTCTATGCTCAGGAAACCACTGATAGCCTCCCAAAAGTCGACGTCGAGTTGAAAACCGACGTTTCACAACTTTCACAAGATTCTACATGAGCACCATGGCGTGAGGAGGCTAGTTTCACGCCAGGTGCCGCACAACCTTACCGAAGCTCAGAAGGCCCATGTAGAATGGTGCCGTTACATGATTAGTAAATTTAAATAGGCTAGTCTTGGCAGGTTTACAACATTGTAACACGACGATTCCTATATTTGTCAATACGATCCAGAAACAAAACGTCATTCGACACTTTGGCTATTTCAAAACGAACAAATGCCTACGATAGTGAAGCCCGAGAATCGCAGGGAAAGTTTTAATCACTAGTTTCTTCACTTTGATAGGGTATCTGGTATCAATTCCATTATGGAATCAAAGTAGCATATCAACGCCGATTGAATATTAAAAATTTCCTACCGACGGAATTTAAAGCACGTGCGGGCCTTAATATTCTTAGACTATGGTGACATGTGCTACTTCTACCTGAGTTCAGATCACTACAGTAAACTTGACTTCTGAATAACTGCGTTCGATTGACTTCAATCTTAGTAAATATCTTAAAATAAATTGAGAATTAGTTAAGTACTTATCAACTACTTACTTATAAATGACATAACTGTTTTCTTCACATGACTTCATTTTAGGCACTCCTTTTGCCGGCTTATTTATTGCGGAAATCGTTTCGGCGGAAATTCGCAGGTCGATCTCCCTTATATTTTTTAATTATTTTAATGTAATTGCTTCAGGAACATGGTATCAATGGCGTTACGACATACAGCCTACATCCGGGTATTGTAGGTACAGAACTCGGTCGACATCTGGATTCGTCGATTATTAGTGGGGCGACGTGGGTGTTTAATAATGTTTTGAAACTGATGATTAAATCGAGCCGTTGCGGCGCGCAGACGAATATCTACTGTGCAGTCGATGAGGGCTGCGCGAACGAAAGCGGGCATTATTATAGGTCTGCGAATTTTTGTTTATAATGTTTCTCTATGGTAGAGCCACGTAGCAGCTTTTGCTGATGCACGAATCGACAGGCACTCCGGGGAAATATCGAGCCTTACAGAATACCGGCGTGAAGTGAAAGTATAATGGCGCGTTTAGTTTGGTGAATGAGGTACCGGAAAAAAGTTCCCACTTTTTTAAAACTTAACCCTCCTGCAACAAATCTGGTGTTTTATATGTCCATTTCTGTTTTAAGTTTTAATTAGGTGAACCACCTGTTCACTTGTCAACTTTTCACCTAAAAAATGTAAACTCTTTTTCCTTTTTTGTCCTCATGGAAGGTGGCGATGTTCGCGACACAAAATCATATTGGACCTAAACTAAGACTTTTCTTAAATTTCTCAGGTTTTCCATTGTTCTATTTTCATTTTAATACTTAGTTCCTTTTTTGTATTTGTTGCTAAAGTTTGAAAAAATGGTTTAAATCAAGGATGAGCAACGCGCCGCCCGCGGGCCGCTTACGGCCCATTAAACATCTTTATGCGGCCCGCCAAGCATTTTTAAAATTGAATTTATTTTATCGAATTTCTCCCATCAATATAGTGTTATAAAATTAATTATAATAAAATGGTAGTACATACTGAACCGAAATATTTTTGGTTCATTTTTCTCTTCTTTTCTTGTTGCATTTTATATTTTTTTATTCTAATATTTATTATAAATAAAGTTTCGTAAATTATTATGTGCGGCCCGCCAATAAAAAAATTTAAATTTAAATTGGCCCATTGATTAAAAAGGTTGCTCACCCCTGGTTTAAATGAATTGTAGCCGAATCTAAAAATTTGGACTAAGCCGTTTCTCTGAAACAGATACTTTAATAGACCGAACAGATACTAGAATAGATATAATTAGACCGAGCTAAATGTAACATCTAGTGATATTTTAAATGATAGTTGTAACAATAAATTGTAATATTGCAGTGAATGCAGTAAATCGATCGTGTTGTCCAAACAATGTAAGAACGATGACTACGCGTTGAAGCTTTGGGATTTAACAATTGAAAAGTTGAAATTGCAGGGGTACGATCCGTTCAACACCATGAGCCTGGACAGAAAATATTTGCAAGTGGAATAGATATTTTTTGTTTTTATGTTTATGGGGAATATATGTAATTTTTAATACTTAATGTAGTAAAATTATAAATGTTAATAAAACATTATATATCTTTTAATCTATAGCTTATATTGTACCTGTATACTAGGTTAATTTGTTTTTATTAAAAAAAAATGGTAATTATTTACGGGGTATGAATTTTCGTGTATTAATCAAATTTTTATTGAAATCGACTAAGTACCTAGTACGAAGTGCAAACAAAAGTATCTCTTTTCAATCTGTTTGTAATTGAATGTTGAATATGTAAAATACGAAGTCAGAATGAAAGGATTTCTAATCGTAGTTCCTGTAGTTTTGGTATTGTCCATTATGCGGTGTTGACAAATATTTTAACGAAGTGGGAGAGGACTAGAGTGACTGGCTTTGTTCTTTGACAATGAGAACTTTCACATCATATGCAATTCTTGACAGGGATGTATCCTGCAGTAATTTTTATGCGCCAGCTTTTAACTGTAATCATCGTACAATACAACGTATTACAATAACTTTTTCGATTATCATACATGACTAAGTGTTATTAAAAATGACAAACCTATTTTGAATGTTTAACTTCATGCAGAATTCATTTGTGTGCTTATAGAAGTCAAGTTTCGATGCCATATTGTTATGTTTTTTATTAATTCGATACGGTAGCAGAACAAGTTCCATTAAAATCCATTCAGTAGCATTTGCGCGAAAGATTAACATTACATGACAAATTTAGGCCTTCCTACTGATCCAGAACTGCATTTTGAGAGTCACATAAATAATGTTATGAAGGATTGTTATTATAAATTAAAAAATTTATACGGGATTACAAAATTTTAAATATTGAATTAAGAAAACGGTTGGTTGAAAGTTTAGTGCTTTCGAAATTTACTTATTGTGACACTGTGTATGGTCCATGTTTGTTGTCTAGAACAGGGGTGAGCAACGTTTTTAATCAATGGGCCAATTTAAATTTCAAATTTTTAATAATTAACGAAAATTTATTTATAATAAATATTAGAATAAAAAATATAAAATTAAAAAAAAAAGTAAAGATTTCATATACAAATTTTAATGCAATGTAAAAACAAATAAGAAAAGAACAGAAAAACGAACAAAAAAATATTTCGGTTCAGTATGTACTACCATTTTATTATAATTAATTTTAGAACAATATATTGATGGGAGAAATTCGATAAAATAAATTCAATTTTAGAAATGCTTGGCGGACCGCATAAATATGTTTAAGGGGCCGCGGGTTGCTCATCCATGGTCACAGAGTACTTTAGTATATACTGAAATACTGTCCATGGTCTACAACAAAGCGCTTAATTCAAAGAGTCCAAAACGCGTGTGCCCGCTACTGTTTTAACATACCGCGGCGTAGTCACATTACGCCCATTTTGAACGCAAATAACATTTTGAAAATGGAAGCAAGGAGAAAACTTCATTTAGCTAATTTATTATTCAACGAAGCTTCAAGCATGACGCCACTCGCTGTGGCGTCATGCTTGAACTCGGCGGTGGTATATCATTCCATGATATACCACCGCCGATAAGGCCTTTGAAAACCAAATTTTCCTTTAGATATCATTTAAAAAAACACCTTCTATCTGAGCAAAAAAAGCCTTTATAAATTAATGATTTGTTTTTTTACATAAATTTTGGAAATATGATTAGATCTGATATTTTTCATCCCGACTTATTTTTTTACAACTACCAGTTAATTTTTTTTGTACATTTTTTAAATTGTTTCATGTTTCTTTTGATTTAATTACATCATATGTTTTTTGTTACTTTTTATAACATTTATATGTTAATTTTTGGCCTTTAAAAAACACCTATCTGAGCGCAAAAAAAGCCTTTATAAATTAATGATTTGTTTTTTAGATAAATTTTGGAAATATGATTGGGTCTGATATTTTTCATCCTGACTTACTTTTTTTACTACTACGACAGTTACTTTTTTTGTAAAATGTAAATTGTTTCATGTTCCTTTTGATTTAATTACATAATATGTTTTTTGTTAAGATTTCATGTTAATTTTTGTCCTTTTCTTTCTGTTTTCCCGTTTCTCGCACTAAAACCGTACCATTAACTGAAATTAAGCACATGCCTGACGCACGCACATGTATGAATTGGTGAATAAATTTCCGATCCTGATTTACATTCCCATTTTTGTTGTTTTTTTTGTTTTTATTATAATTTTAGTTTCTTACTTTTTTTTTTTATAAATGTATTGGTTTTGGACTCGGGACTGTATTCCCCAATTTTTTGGTCATTACTGAAAATCAGCGTTGCAGTTTCACTGCAACATTCTGTTGAGTGATGTTCTTTTTGGCATGAACCGCGACGTACTATAATGAAATGGGAAAATATGCATATTGGAGTTCTATGTTCATGTTTTTTTTTGTCTAATTTTTATTGTTTGTCTAATTTGATTGTTGTTTACATCAGTCTGCTTTATGTCAAATAAATCTCTTTCTTTCTAACAAACATCCATCCATAAATACATACAAACTTTCGCCTTTATAATATTAGTAAGGATTATTATAGAAATTTGTTAATTAGTTAAAAAACTGTACATTATGAAAAGAAATATAAAATTTAAACTTTTTGAAACAGAATTTATTTAAATGAAGGAAGATATGAATATCATAAGTTACAACGTATTAGTGAAAATAAGATAATTTTTCCCAGAAAAAACTGACATTTTATTAAAAAGAAATTTTAACCAACTATTGATCGTCGAAATTCGCAGGTCATTTTCTTTGGATCGTCCGTTAATCAGTCATTATTTGCAAATCAAATGATGATGATCACAATCATCCTGTAAACATTCATTCAGATGACAGTAGGTACTGGTCATCCTATAAAGAGTGTACCAGCCGGGCAAATATTTATCAGGAGTATTCCGGAATAAACTTGTAAAAGTCGAGATTTTATTAGGCAAAATCTTGGAATGGGGCCCGACTATATCTAGTCCAGTTTAACCCTAAGAAGACACAAGTTTAACGCAAAGGAGAAACCTCTCGCCGTTTCTCCTTTTTTTGAGGGCAATCTCCTCGGGAAGAAAAAGCCAAACTGGCTTCTCAAAAGCTTGGTGTCTTGGGTAGAGCGAAGCAGTATTTCCTGCCGTCCCATCGCCTGCAGCTTTACGAAGCGCAAATTCGGTGGCCAGGTACAATATTCCATGTCTGTACTCATTTCTCTCTGGGCTAGGGAATACCAGGTCCTTCCATTTAACCGCATCTCAACCAACTGGCAAGGCTGCTCAAATCGTCCAAGTCCTTTCCAATTGTCTCGGCTCTTTGGCTTTGCGCAGAGATGTTTCATCTCTTTTTTTTTTGTATAACTGATGTTACACTTTCAGTCCTTAGACTATTAAAGCTTCATCAAACGTAGAACAGGTGGGCTACCCAGAACCCACGGGTCTGAGGCCCTCCTCAGTGGGTAGGGCCGCGCATGCCATGCGTGCGTTAATTATGGCATGTCGCCTACGGGCCATAGAGGTTCGGTGCAGACCGTGACCCCGATGGCCGTTGACTGTCCTTATTTAATCGGTGGCTGGGGGTGGTGAGAACCGCCCTGGAACGCGGGTGTACCTAGTGTATGCGTTGTGTTGGTTTCGCCGTGCTCGGAGGCGAGGGCGAACTAGTGTGTTTGTTGTTGCACTAACTGTGGGTGCAGTGTTATCCGGCGGGACCCCCGGCGGTGGGTCCGACGTATCAAGTCACCTTCCTGGACCGGGTCGATGAGGACGTTTCGCGCGCGAACGTCATCGGAGGATTGGGATGATGTGATTGGCTCTGTCGAAGAACCGTTTGGTAAGATTTTTAAAATTTTCGCGAATCGTCGGAGTCCGCAGTCACTGTGCACGTCGACGTTGCGTTGATACCACTGCGCACCGGTTGCGCGGCGGATGAACGTATTTTGAATTCATCCGATTTGCAACTTTTGCAAGTGAGTAGGAGTTTCATCACTGAGTTTTTTATCGAATTATATCACGTCAATATATATAATACCCTCACGATTAATATACTCACTGTTGCGTCCCAATATATTTATTGTAATATTTTGTATGTTAGAAATAATCTTAATTGTTAAGAATAGTGATAGACATAAATTGAATAATAGAAATTACGCCATTGTTTCGTCTACAAAAAGTTAATAGATCGTTCATGGGGCAAAGTGTGCGCATGTATATTAAAATCCCACAGTCGATATTAAGTCTGCTACTAGATCAATTTAAACGCAAAATTAATCATTTTAAAAAAAGAGCAACTGTTGAGTTTCTTGCCGGTTTCTTCTCAACAGAAATTGCTTTCCGAACCGGTGGTAGCTTACTTACGAACGTATTCATTTTTATGTAAAATGTTGACGTTTCATAAGAACGCGCAAGCGTCTATGTGAATAAATATATTTTTGATTTTGATTTTGGTTTTATCAATCTATCATGGGGAGTGCTCTGAGAAGTCGGTTTCATACCTGCTACTGAATTTCAGCCCCCTACGACGCGTCAAACTGCCAAAAAATATCTTAGCTGCAACCTCGACGTTGGCTGTCGCGGACTGTGCGTTTTTCACATAACTTTTTGCCACGCAAAACCAAACGGCTCGACCGATTTTCGTGAAATTTTGCCAGGGTGCACATTGGCCAGGGTGGAGAATCGGCAACATCTATTTTTCATCCCCATAAATGTTAAGGGTGGTCCACCCTAAACATTTAGGCGGGTATAGTTTTTTCTACCCTACATATTCCCTAGACATAATTTATATGGCAGAACAACGTTTGCTGGGACAGCTAGTATTATCATATAATCTTTTGAAGCAATATTATTAATGGATCCACTATGTGCAAATGACTTAGTAGAGCTCTTTTTTTTCAAAAAAAATTCCAAAATTCCAACCTGAGATAATTTAGAACTCTGGATGTCAGCCTCTTCGATTTTCTTCGTTTTCAGGATGATTATGACCATGACATTTACGGTGGTAGGGCCATGCAGCATCCTCGGCTGTTGCACGTATGGGCAGGCCCGTCCGAGTAAGTACCACGACCTCATAGAAGACTAGCGTAAAGTGGAAGTATGACAAATACTTTCGCGTTTTGTTTGGTGAGTGAGGTAGCCGGAGCCCAATTTTCAAAAGGTTGTCAACGCACCTGTAACCCTCGGGTGTAGCAGATGTCCATGGGCGGCGGTATTCACTTGACATCAGGTGAACCGTCTGCTCGTTTGGCAACTTTTCGCATAAAAAAAATCAACCCCATAGACACCCGGGCTAATGATTTACAAATTCAAACCGTTGTGATGAAATAACGCAGCGACTTAGGACTTTGTTTGACTGTACCAAATCGATTCGTATTGATCTAAACTTCATTCATATCGATGTGAAACTTTTGCAAATCATATACGGAAATGCTCGCCAGCACCCTAACTATAATGTTTAATTGATAAGTCAATTGAAAATAAATACAGGCGATATGCGCAAAAACGCTCTCTTTATTAGTTTCCTATACTGCGATACAGGAGATACAGGAGCAAAACAAAGAGAAAATAATTTTTTTCCTCGGCCTTTATTATTTGCGTAATGCCTTTATGGTGGTTATGCGTCGCACCGTGGCGGAGACTTTGAAACTTATAGGTGCCCTTTATGGGTTTCTCGCAGAAGAATATGGCCGGAGAGCCGCAGTCTGCAGTGGCTAGAAGACCGCTTCGTCGGATACCACCGCAACGGTCAATTGAGATTCCTTTCTTATCTGGTTGTGGACACTTTAGGTCCCAGTCCAGTAGCTTGTTTATTGGGTCGCCTGCAAAATGTTGCCGTTCAAAGGAATATTTTTTATTAGAGATTAGCACTATCAAATTGGAATTAACACAAAACAATATTAAACTATATGTATAAACTTTCCTCTTTAACCACTCTATCTAATGGTGAAAGCCGCATTATAATCCTTTGCGGAGGCTTATAAGGTCTGAGCGTACATTGGGAGACGGCAGAAGCGTCTTTATTTCTTTATAACTAATTATTGTATAAATTTGTATTACAGCATGATATACTTATTTCCAAATATTTTAGAAAATAATTTTACCTAACGTTCCGTACTTAACTTTTAAACTTATATTAATTAACAAATTTCTATGTAGTAAATATATACATATTAAAAATATATAAATACCCAGACGCTATAAAAACACTATGTTCGTCCCAAAATATTTTTCTAGTATTGGATCGATAGTCTCTGGCGCAAGAGACTATCCCCACTACGCCAATCAGGTCGTGTGAATGTCGCAAGGCTACAGTTGTTAATATTTGCGATGGTCCCGTGTCACTGTCATCGATGACCGTATCATACAGGTAAACTGTTCAATGAATTCTTGATTGAGCGCTCACTCTAAAATTTAGGACAATATAGGTGCTGAAACTCCGTACCATGCACAGTCCTGTAATGGTACACTTGGAATAGATCGCTGAAGCCCAAGAACGCGAAGTCGCCCGGCGTCTTGATCTGGTCAACATTCTTGAACTGCTCACGTATGTATTCGGCCTCGTCTCGGTTGTCTAATATGGCGAGATAGCCGCCTGCGGAGAGACACGTGCCGTGCGCCTGGTGCCAGGTCTGCGCCTCCGCGTGAACAATGTAGCAGGAGCCGTTGTAACCTGGCTTCCAGCCTGTAACAGGTTTTTTTTATGTGAGAAAGTGGCAAGCGAGCTGGCGGTTGCACCTGATGTTAAGGGATAACTGCCTGCCCATGGACATTTGCAACACTTGTAGGGTTGCAGATGCGTTGCCACTTCTTAATAATGTGGGCCCCGGCTAACTCACTCACCAGACGAAACGCAGAAGTGCAACACTTCTACTTTACGCCGGTCTTCTGTGAGGTCATGGTACTAACCCGAACGGACTTGCCCATTCGTGCAACAGCGAACACTGTTGCGTGGCCCTACCACCGTTAAGCTTTAATCAGTTCTCAACGGAGACCATCTTTTGTACCGCGTGTAGTGAACGTTACTGTCTGTACTCTGTACCCTAGAGCACATGAGGCACGGACCCAGGGCCCCCGCAATTCGGCGCATGTTTACTGTACCTATACAGTTATAAGGAACATGAAATTAAAGCTGTGTGCAATTCAGTTACTTGTAAATAGTGAGTCTTAAAATTTTTAAACATTATTTTTCATTCGCCTCTATATCTATTTGTTTCGGGTCACCAAAGTCTGTGTCCACTTAGGCCACTTAGGTTACAATGACTCTAAAGTTCAAATTTTAAAAAAAGGGCATTTGCTTTTCCGTCAATAATATTTTAACGCCAAGAAAGAATAATTAGGGCCGCAGACAAAGGCGTTTACAGAAATAAATAAATAATTTGTAGACTACATCCTAAGTAACAAGTAATTATACCACTTACGCGGATCATAAGTGTCGCATTCCTGATAGTAGGAGACGCGAGCGGCTTTCGTTTTGCAGATGAACGGAAGCCTTTTAGAGCAAGGTTTCACGTAGAATCGACCGTTCCGGCGCATCGCGACGCATCTACCTGCGTTGATTCCGGGCTCCTCCGCTTCCCAAAGTAAGTCCAGGATCGAATCGCGCAGCTTGCTACCTTGTCACGACAACATGCGGCGCTTGACAACTCATTCCAAATATAAAATATATTCTTCAACCGTACATAAAATTGTTCATATATTTGAACTACTCTACGCAAATACCGTGGAGTAATGACACATCACATTTGTAGAAATTATAATATTAGGTATGTCCTCTGTTAAATAAAACTACTTTACCATTTGAAACTGTGAAAATTAACAACAACCTTATTAACAATGATAGCCTTCACGTTTATAATATAAGAAGTTCTAAGCGATACGCTATTGCTTATGCATCCTAAACAAATTACCTAATTACCTACCGTTGTTCTTAACAAAATATGTTCCATTGATAAAAGAAACGGTTTGCATTTTACTTATATATTTTTGTTATATGCAAACCAGTCAGTATTTATAAGAATACCATTGGATTTATCTTGAATCGTGTCTGTCTTTTCCAATATCAAATAAACATAGTAACACAAATACAAACCTGTTATAGTGACAAAGAATCTTTGCGAGTATAGATCATGTATGCCCACAAACACTCCCTCGTACCGTGTCAAAGTAGAGGTTATAAGGAGTGGCATTGCATCAGCTTCGTCGAGCGTTTCCGGCACCATGAGCACAGACCCTTCGGCTTGGCATCGGATATGCGCATTGTTCCAATTGGTAGCAGTGTGCAATTTGTAAAACGAATTAAAAGCCTTCTCGAATCTGTAGTCCTCACGGTACTTGGGCCGCTGGGAGTCTGTTAATTAAGCTTGTATAAGAAAAATGAATAATGGACATTTCTATAGTGAACGATGAGATGTTCATACGATTACATAATTATATGAATACATTCTCGTCAATGAAGTTATTAGATAATGGTAATTGGCTCTTTATTCTTATCACTAATTTGACATGATTTCTAAAGACGTAGGTAATAAGAAGGGCATTGTATAAATATATTTTTATCAAACTTAACTAAACAATAATACTAAAGATAAGTATAGAATGTAAACTTAATGTTTGTATGACTAAGCATTTGGTATACCAGAAATGGCTGAATATGATGGAACTGTATGATTGTCAACATCTTTTATACAATATTCAAACAAACAAATAAAATATAAAATAATGGTCTATTTTTTTTTAGTAGGGTAGGGCCACACAACAATCTCTGTTGTAAAAATGGGCAAGTCCGTTCGGGTAAGTACCACAACCGGCGTAAAGTCGAAGTGTTATAATAATGCGTTTCTCTGGTGAGTGAGGTTGGTATTTGAGGCCCACTTTATTAAAACTGATTTTTCTGTTTCTTATTTTGATCATTAAGAAGATCAATTCTGGTCAGTTCTGAGAGTTTAACCATCCTTTTGGCAATTAAAATGAAATTTGAAAAGCCATTTAACAGCTAATCAGCTGTTGATATCTACGATGATCAGTGGTTCAGAAACCGGGCGTAAGGGTCCATAATAATTTCTTGTATGGACATTACTAACGTCGGGAATTAAAACTAAAAATAAACGCGATAAATCCGTAAACATAGTTTCATTTAATTGATTAAGGGTCCATTTATATTTAGTCACCAATATTACCGGGTACAGTGTAAGCCTGGTAAAAGTTTTAATAAAACTTTTTTAAGTTTTACATGGAGGCAAACATTTTTTTTTTTTTGAGAACTTGTATGGCTAAATCTCTCTTACCAGTCAGCCTTAGCAAAGTCAGTAAGTACAATACACACAATAAAGCAAATAAAAAATGTTTCATTGTAAAACATTGCTATTTCAATTATATCACAGTCCAATGACTTTTACTAATAACTTTACTTCCATCAATTTTGATTGTTATTGCTTTACAAAGCGGAAAATTGCGGGGCTCATGTATAAAACAAAATTAAAGTTATATTATGTACCTCAAAAATTTATTTTATTTATACACTGATTGAAATACTTTTGAATTGTTACAGTAACTAAGTTGCTTAATGTTACATAAGAACAATAAATAAATCTTTCAATGTATTTGTTTTACATTAAACTATATCCTGTTATGATTTTTAACTTTAACATGATTTTGTACATCAAAATTTAATTCAATTGTGAATTTTATGAAATAAACTTTTTATTTGAACATTGAAGATATACTATTTTGTACACAATGGTATTTCATATTAGGATCCAATAGATCATGTTATTTAAATTTGTTAGCATTTTTATAAATGCTTAAATTCATTGAATCTGAAATTACCTATATTGCAATAATACTTTACTTTAACATTTATACATAATAAACACTTAACAATTTAATAAATAAAAGCTACAATAAAATTAAAAAACACATAATGAAATTTTCCGTTATTTTATAATATGTTCACTGAGTTTGACTAGGCATATAAAATTTTTCTAAAAATTTCATAAGAAGCATTTATAATACCCCAACTTAAAAAAGCTCGCGATATATTAAGAAGTGCTCCATGGTAAAAATTAGCAAATTTAGACCCTCTTTTTCGCAATATATATTTGAACTCGTAGGAAATTGTTCTATGTGGACCACCTAGTTCACATTGCATTGCAATTTTAATGACATTCAAGGGATAAAACAAAGTACTAAGGAATGCACCAATTGTAGCTCCTGCTAAAAAGTTCTGTAAGCTGTCATACATTATGTATTCTTGGCATGGTAATCGTAACTGGACTTCATCTCTTATAATGAAAAATAAAGCATTCGAAGGGCCATTCCGCAAGAGTATAGGCACCAGTCCTCTATAAAACTCTTTTATTCCATAATTCCTCGCGATATGGCTTCCAGCATGAGCAGTGTTTTTAAATTCTTGATGAAATTTTGGGTGAATCAACAATGTTTGTATTCTTTCAAAGGGCATAAGGGTTGCTTCAAAACATCCAGCAACTACTCCAGCTATGGACTTAGCAAAATAGGGATTTGTTTTATGTTGTAACAGGGGTTGAAGACACTCATCATATACACCGAACATTATAGACATTGACATAGACCTTTGCAACAGAGGTGGAAGCATACCACGGTATAAATAACCTAAGCCCTCCCTTTGCAATTGGTTTAATGCCAATGTTGCTTCTACTCCATGCATCATCTGTAATAAGAAGAATTAATTGTAACATAAACTGAGAATATGGTATTCTTTCTTCATTCATCTTCATTCTGGTTTTAATTTGTGCTAAAGCCCACGATTGAAACTATCATTAATTATGTTATTAAAATATATTTTATTGTTAATTAATAATAACTAATAATGTTAAATAAATGTATATCAACTAATTTTTTTGCAAATATCTGATTTTGATATTTTTTTATATTATTATCTTCAATTTATAGCCATCTCTTGGGCCTTCAAAAACATATGCCTTGCCTTGTAGTCTTAAGCTCAAAGAATAAAGGCAAGATATCTCTACTCTACCTTAAAAAAATTTGTTGAAATCCATTTCAGTGAAATTCTGTGATAAAGGTAGAACCTCGATTCACAGATTATTGGTATTGGATATGAATTGTGCTTTTTAGTTGATTTGATAGAGGCAGTAACACAGATAAGTACAGGAACTGGGGAAGATTTATCCTCCTATGCTCACATGCAGTGTAGAGGAGCACTGGTGCAATCCAAATATCCCAGATCCCATTCCAAGGTACTGAGAGGGCCATCAAGGAGGTTTTAGTGGGTAGAACTCTACATTTACCATGTTTTGCTCCTAGGAGACATGTTTCTTTCAAAGATAACTACCCCAATACAGTGTCTCAAAATTATATTTATATTAAAATTTATGATATAATAATTATGTTATTACTTACGTACCTGTCTAAATATGAGCTTATTTAAAGGATAACTAATGAGTATGTTGCAAAAAGCAGATCCACCACCACATACAAATTCCTTCCAGTGCTCTGTTTTTGGTGATACTGGCATTTTTATTTTGCTGTCCTCACCAAGACTGTTCCTCCTTTCTAACACCTGTGTTTCATTCATATCCCTATGTTGCTTGCAACATTTTTATGAATTTGGCATTCTAAAAATAAGTGAAATAGACAAAATTATTTAAACATTTTAAGTAAGTTTATACATCTTTTTTTTGTATATCAACACATAAATTACTGTCTCATACATGTACATGTACTATCTTTTGTGTGGCATTATCTCCAGGTCAACCCAGGGCATGAAGAAAAATTTGGTACAGACAATTATTACATTAAACTTAATACAACTTCTTGATTCAATTGATGATCTAAGTCTTTATAATACTGCCCCATTTTGTTTACTCCTTGATATTTTAAATTGTGAACCTAACATGCCTAATCAATCAGTATTACATAGACAAATATTAAATAAGTCTCATTATATCTATAAAAAAAACAACAAAATTATAGAATCTCTGCATGTAATTTTTCATAAGTGTGGGTTTAATTTACAGCAAATTATATACGAGTATATAATTTGGCTAATAAGTTACACACTATAATTCACAGATTTGTTAGAGATGCTAACGCATATAATTCTTTGAAGCACTAATTGATATCCGTGCCCTATAATATATTCCACATAGTATTAATTTGAGCATGCTGATGATGATGTTTTCTAAAAATTCAATTCAATGTTTGCTTACCTTCTATTTAGCTTACCAGGTATATTTCTTGCATAAAATCATTTTCATTTCACTTGCACGTTTCCCAAATTTGAAATTTATTAAAAACTCAATATTTATAGGTTAATAAAACTTCCTAAGATTTCCATGTTTTCTGTAAATATTAGCCAGATTTTATATTTTTTTCCCCACGATAAATTATTATTTTCGTTCTCTTCTCTTTTCATTTCAGAATATTCTTAGAAAGGAAAATGATATTATGACATTTACAAGTGACAGGAGAAGTAGATCTAATTTTTGTCAATAGCCTTGCTCTTACGCAAAGACCTTACACTTAATAACGTACAGAATCTTTGCTAATTGCTATTACGCCGCCGGTCTCAGACATGTATGCAAACGTTTGTAAAGATCCTCAAATACTATGTGTGGGAAGATATTTTCAAAATATTTCTTATTTATTTGTTATATCGTATTTGCCATAGCGTGTCGGTTTTTCGACGCACATCAAAGCACACAAAGACTAAACATTTGTGGATGCTCCTATACATGTTGAAGCATCTGTTTAACTTGCTAATAGAATGGAAGGTGTAGCTGTCGATGAGTGCATTAAATATCGCAACTAGAATCGAAGGCAAGACTCTTCCCCCCTAGCTCCTGCTGCATGCGCTTTTTGACCTCTCTTTGGAGGTCGCGTTACCTGGGGCGTCTTGCGTCAGTCAGATATCGATTGAAAGCACGTGTGGCCCAGTTATTCTTCCGCAATAGTACTCTGAGGTTCTCTGGCAGTTCTGAGCGGCATTCATTCGCTTTCACAATTGAATAGGAATAGTCTCCGATGACTTTATGTTTGTGTGGCGTGAGATCGGAGATCGCCGTAACGGTATGTTTTTAAGTGCAGTGAGCTCGTGAATCCGAGCTCCTGAGCCAGACTTAAGTTTTTTCTGATCGGTCATGATTACAAGGACGTCGTGCCTGGTTGGCATAATACTAACTAATTACTTCCATTTGCCCGTAAGGTAATATTCTTTAGAATAATTATTGAGGTTCGGAGGCACGCTGATCACCCAGGGGCCAATTCTCTTAAAGCGAGAAGGACTGGTACGTTAGCATTATTGTTGTAACTATTCCATAATATACTCAGTTTTGTCAAGAATATACAGCGTGTCGTTCCAACCGCGACAATAAATGAACACACATATAGAGAATAACTTTAGAAAATTGTATTAAGCATTTACATTCTTTAAACAACAATATTTACCGAGTTATTAAATTTTACAAAACAAACATTTTTAGAACACCCTTACGTATAAAACTGTAACGTAAAGTTCATTTGTAAAGGTCACAAAGCATATGAATGGGTTGAATGAATTTAAAAGAGATAAAACACACTGTTAGAAGGAGAGACTTGTAATACGAAGTTGTGGCAACTAATGAAAAAATCTCTCTATGAATCAGTCAATTGTAGTTGTATAGGATTATACAAATTTTGTTTCTTTTTTATTTAATTATTTTGTTTCAAAATAATATTTTTTTAACGTTTTATATTGTTTTATGATTATTGGCAAGTAGCGTTAGGCGTATGTTCATTTTTGTCGCGGTTGTAACGACTCGCTGTATATATATATGTGTGCATTTGTGTGAGTGTATGTATTATAGTGTATAGTTCCAAAGATTTTTATGGTACCTGAGGCATAAAGTTTATATGGAGTAGAAAATTATTGTTGTAGGGTCACGCAACAGTGTTCGCTGTTGCTCGAATGGGCAGGTCTGTCCGGGTTAGTACAACGACCTCACAGAAGACCGGCAGGCGTGAAGTAGAAGTGTTACACTTCTGAGTATCGTTTCGTAAGTGAGGTAGCCAGGGCCCACTTCAATAAAAGGAGAGACGCATCTGCAACCCTACGGGTGTTGCAAAAGTCCATGGGCGACGGTTATCACTTAACATCAGGTGAACTGCCAGTTCGTTTGCAAATAAAAAAAAATATCGATGTTTTCCAATTTTTATTTTAGGTATAAGACTAGTCTATTCCGCAATGGTATCATGCCTTCAGTGGTATCTTGACAGGGCCTTCGCTTGTTGAGGGCCCTGACTCAGGGCTGCTTAGTCAGCGGAATTAGCAGCGTCATCGTGGACTCTTTGCATATTGCTATTCTATATCTTTCACCTTTTTGCATAACTTTTGCCAATCCCATACACCCATCAGTAAATTTTTGAAGCATAGTTCGATGAATCTACGTAAGATTCATCCATATAAAGACCTTTCCTCTTGACGTAATAGCTTTATTTTTCATAAATATACCAAGTTATTTACATAGTTCTTCTTCTTCTTTGATTAATGGCCTCTCTTATAGTTTCTAAACGTTTGAGCGTTGATGTTCGCTGACCTGACAGTGACAGACACAGACAGCCAGTCAGCCAGAGACAGCGTCAAACCGTCAAATCAAATCAAATCAAGTAAATCAACGGATGTTTTCAAATTCAATATTATAATGGAGGATTCTGCTTGTCAAAGTGTTGATGTAAACACGTAATTGAGTGATCTTATATCTGAATCCTACTTTTTTGGGTTGAAATCCTGAATTTATCTGTTTTGTGAGAGTTTGGTGGAGGTTTTTGTGTGAATTGGCAAGTCTATTAGCATTTAGACCCGCCTTTTCTTCTTTATGAAGAACATGGATGAAGACAAGCCTCCGGATGGAGGTGGCGGTCTTCCTTCTGATATTTCGTTGGTTAGCTCGTCCTCGTCCACATCTACAGTTTCAAATTCCAACTCTTCAATAACTAATGTACATCGCAAGCGCCCGGCTGAAAACGTTGAGATGCTGGAAAGGAAAAAAACTGTTCCGCCCTCTACGTCGTACCAATGTACTTTTTCTAAAAAGGGTTATGAACTTGACTCAATACTATTATACACTGACCAGGACAAGGGTCCCTTTATCGTTCATGTAACTAGATCTGTTCCCGATTTATCCTCTGGTCAGTCTATTAGAGTATTGAAATTTGCTCAACTTTTACATAAATCAAAAGTTTCTGGTATTGCGCAGGGTGGTATAAAAGCATTGGGAAGAAATAGAATATCAGTTGAATTTAAAACTAATTTGTCAGCTAATAACTTCATGTCTCATGACTGTCTGTCTACAAATAATTTTAAAGCAGTTATCCCTAGATTTAACATTACCCGCATGGGTGTTGTTAGAAGCATTCCCACTGATTGGACATTAGAAGAGTTAATTGAGAATATTAAAACTCCCTCCAATTGTGGGGAAGTTATTAGAGCTCGTCGTCTCAATACTAAAATCCGAGTAGATGATAAAGTCACATGGGTCCCTTCAACTACCGTAGTTCTCACCTTTTCGGGCCAATCTCTTCCAGAGAGAGTATTTTGTTTCCACTCTGCTCTTCCAGTCTCCACTTATCAACTGCCAACAATTCAATGTAGGAATTGTTGTAGATTTGGCCACATTTTATCACAGTGCCGATCTCAGCCCAGGTGTTACCGTTGTGGACTAGGACATAATGGGGATAGCTGTCATGATCCTAATAATGAAGTTTGTGTTTTGTGTAGTGGTAATCATAGAGCTACTGATGACAAATGCCCAGAACATGCAAGGCAAAAGTCTATTAAAATGATCATGTCTCAGGAAAATATTAGCTATTCTGAAGCAGCTCTTCGATTTCCCCTTGCAAAAAGATCCTACACGGATGTGGTCAATTCCACCCCTCCTTCCATTTTACATCCTACCAATATTTCACAATCCCATCCTATCCCCCTTTCCTCTTCTTCAACTATTCCATCTAATATTCAGGCATCTTATTCCAAAACTATTTTCAAATCTCCTCGTCCCAAAGCTCCTCTCGGTAAATCCTATGACGTTCTATCTCATAGAAATATAATTAGTTCTCCCCCATCTACTCAACCTAATGGTTGTGCTCTATCATCTTCAGAGTCTACCCCTTTGCTTACCCCCAATGATAATCTAATTGAACTTCTCATCTGCTCCCTTATAAATATGATTTCAAAGTTCTCAGACTCCCTACCGAACAATGTCGTTACTATTCTACAACAATTTCTCGATACTTTAATTTCTAAAAATGGCGACTATAATTCAATGGAATTGTAGAAGTGCTCGCCATAAGAAGTCAGAACTCATTTATTTAATAAATCGCTTCAAACCCGTGGTCCTCGCCATCTCGGAGACATGGTTAAAACCGGGGTCTGTTTTCAGGCTGTCGGGGTATTCATGTTTTCGTGATGATAGGGATGACGGAAAAGCAGGTTGTGCCCTTCTTGTGTCAAGATCCATCTGCTTCTCCCAGATCCTTATCCCTCCCCATAGTTCTAATTTGCACATAGTGGCGATTAAAGCTAAAAATATTACATTCATATCATGCTACATCCCTCATCCCAATAGTTCCGTGATTTCTGAACTAAACTTCATTCTCTCTTCTATTCCTGGTCCCCTCATAGTTTCTGGCGACTTTAACTGTCACCACCCTATGTGGGGCTCAAACCATTCAGATTCTTCCTCTTCTTTCTTCCTTGACCTGTTAGATGATAACAATTTGTGCATTCTTAATGATGGGTCTGCAACTCGAAGGACTCCTCCTGGTCAAAATCTGAATGCTCCTGATTTAACTCTTTCTTCCCCCTCTCTAATAAATACTATCTCTTGGACAGTACTTCATAACTCATATGGCAGTGATCATTTTCCTATATTAATAAGACTCCTACAATTTTCACCTCCCACTCCTAAGATTCCACCTTTGCAACGTTTTAGACTCTCAGACGCTGACTGGGATAAGTATTCTGAAACTTTAGACTCCAAAATTAGTCTCCTCCCTCCTGCCAATCCTGATAACTTCCTATCTTTATACAATGAATATGTCGCTTGTATCATTACAGCAGCAGAAGATTCCATACCCCTCAAAAACGCTTCCTGTGGTCGTATCCCCTCTCCCCCATGGTGGGATTCGGAGTGTTCTACTTCCGTTCGACTTAGAAATCAAGCTGAGAAGACTTATGCGGAAGATTTGAGTATGGAGAACTTTCTTCTATTTCGCAAGGTCTGTGCCAAAACAAAAAGAATTTTGGCAAGAAAGAAGTCTCAGGGGTGGCTTAGATTTTGCGAATCGTTATCCCCCCGTTCCTCTATGACTGTAGTATGGCGCAAAATTTCCCATTTTCGTGGTGTTTTCGCTGACCAAAACATCTGTCCCAGTGATTCTTCCGTTTGGCTAAACGATTTCATCGAAAAGTTAGCTCCTCCATTTGTTCCTTCTCGTGATTGTTTTCCCCTCCCTCCTTCTCTTTCTCCTCCACTCGATAGAATGGATCGCCCTTTTTCCTATTCTGAGTTCTGCTGTGCTCTTGATAATCTACGAGATTCTTCTCCAGGCGTTGACGGTATAAACTTATTCTTTTATAATAAAATCTTCAAGTTCGTCAAAATTATTTTTTCTTAATATTATAAACGAAATTTTTTCTTCTGGATGCATTCCAGAGTCATGGAAGACCCAAATTATTATTCCAGTTTTAAAACCCAATAAAGACCCTAGCGACTCATCATCATATCGGCCTATTGCCTTATCATCTGTTATGGCCAAAATCGTAGAGCATCTTATCAAAAATAGATTAGAGTGGATCCTTGAGAATAGAGGTCTGCTCTCAAATAATCAATTTGGTTTCAGACGTGGTATGAGCACTATGGATAGTCTTGGCATCCTATCAACTGATATAAGACTTGCATTTTCTTGTAATAAGCATGTTATTGGGGTCTTCCTTGACATCTCGTCTGCTTATGATAATGTTCAGCTTCCAATACTTAGGCAGAAATTGCTCACACTGAATATCCCTATGAGGCTGATTAACATTATCTTTAATTTACTTACATGTCGTTCTATCCGTGCCCGCTATCACGGCTCTCTTCTTTCTTCCCGTCATCGTTTGGAAGGGTCTCCCTCAAGGCTCAGTCCTAAGTCCCCTCCTATACAATCTCCATACTGCTGATCTTGACTTATCTGTCTATAGCTTCTGCAAAATCCTTCAATATGCAGATGATATAGCCTTGTATACAACTTGCTCCTCCCTGTTTAATGGATGTTCTCAAGTAACTACCTCCTTAGGTTATCTAATGATTGGCTCCAAGATCACGGTCTAAGTCTGTCTATTCCTAAATCCTATGCAGTTATTTTTAGTCGAAAACGGAATATTCCCCTCTTGCATTTATCTGTAGATGGTGAACCAATTTTATTTAAGAGCCAGGCAAAGTTTTTGGGAGTCATCCTTGATTCCAACATGACTGGTATTCCTCATTTACAGTATATATATTCTAAGTGTGAGAAAAACACCAATGTCCTTAGAGCCTTATCGGGAGTTCGTTGGGGCTCTCATCCTTTCGTCCAAAAAATTCTCTACAATGCAATTATTCGTAGCCACTTTGATTACGGCTGTTTCATTTTGGAGCCTTGCAGTAAGCTGGCTCTTGGTAAACTTGATAAAATCCAGTCTAAGTGCCTGCGTATAATTACTGGGGCTATGAAATCTTCTGCTATTAATGCCCTCCAAGTGGAGTGCGTGGAACCTCCTTTAAACATCCGTAGACAGTTTCTTGCTGATAGATTTTTCTCCAAAGCTGTTCAGTTCCCCTCTCATCCCATTTTAAAACCCTTAAGTCTCCTTTCTCGCTCCATTAACTCGTCGCCTTATTGGTCAAACAAATCCCATCCTCTATTAGTAAATAGTTATAATAGATATAATTCCTCTCATTTCTCTGTTCTCTGCTTAGAAAACCACCCTCTTTTTACAATCAGTTATGATGCTTTAATTTTTAATCCTAATATTATTTTAAACTTTGGCATCGACAAGAATACCTTAGATGCTAACCGGAAATTTAACATGCTTGTGAGGAATGAATGGGCAAACTGGGTTCTGATATTCACAGATGCATCAAAAACAGACTCGTCCCTTATTGGTGCGTCCGTTTATATACCAAAGTACAGTGTAGTTTTGAGTTTTAAATGTCCTTCAGAATGTTCAATTTTTACAGGTGAATCATTAGCCATTTTAGAAGCAGTTAAGTATATAGATTCTAACCAATCTCATTTTCGTAAGACTTTGATCCTCAGTGACTCCCGTAGTTGTCTGGAGGATTTAAAGAAACTTCCCTTCCACTGTAAACGCCACTCCTCAATTATTCTTAATATAAAAGAAACATTATTTAAGTTACAAAGAGAGGGTATTGAAACTGTCCTAGCCTAGATTCCAGGTCACGTGGGTATTCTGGGTAATGAAGCGGCTGATTATTATGCTAAACAAGCTATTTCGATAGGCGATCCATGTCACTCTAACATCCCAGCTCGCGATCTGTGCTCTATGGCCAAACCTCAATTAATGGAAACTTGGGATAATTTGTGGCAACAAACCAAAACTGTGAAAGGGAGATTCTTTGCCAGTATCCAGCCTAATCCATAAAGTAATACTACAGAAAAGCTACTAATGCTAATATCCCATCAAAGCCTTGGTTTTTCAAATACAAATCTTTTAGTAAATTAATTACTTCTGTAATAATTCGCTTGCGACTAGGACATGTTTGCTCCCCAGTGTTTCTGGCTAAACTGCGCATACTGGACCACTCACTTTGTCACTGCGGCTTAGCAGAGGGAACTCTGGAACACATGTTTTTTTCATGTCCAAATCTTAACGTCCCCCTATATGATATCCTTCCCTCAAAGTTCCCCAGACCTGTTAATATCCCATTCCTTCTAACTCTTAATGACTTCCACGTTGTCAAAGTACTACATAAATTCCTTTTTATTAATAATATAAAGCTTTAACATTTCCATTTCTCCTCCTTGTAATTGTTTGTATCGCCTTTATCATTTTAGTCATCCTTACTTATTTTTATTCATCTTCTAACAAAATGTTTAGTTTCTATTCAGGTATCTCAACCAATAAAGTATGATGTTCTAAATACCGTACAAAAGTCATCACTTTAGGAAATTTTATCAATAACAGTTTGTTTTATTCAACCTTGACATTGGCAGAATCATCAAGCTATCCTTGATGGAGCCACAATAATTAAAAAAAAAAAAAAAGTAAATCAACCAAAGCTTAGTCAGCTGTCAATAAGGGTTACCTGACAGCGGGTAGAGCAATATTTCCCTATTTATAAAAGTACCATATATTATATATTTACATATATTACAAAGTACTCTGTGCAAAAGTACTCTGTGGCGTAGAGGTCCTCATCCATCCATCCAATCACATTTAGTGAAATGGCTGCATTACTGAAAAAAAGAGCATTAGCTGAATATAACAAATCTTTTCAAGTATGTATAATCCTAAATTACGTACTCAAAATATGTATTTTTTCTAATTTTCTTTAATATACTCAATATTTTCTAAGTAGGTATATGAATACTTAAAAAAGCTTATACCTATTTCTAGGATGGTCCATCTTCAAAAAAACTTCATTTAGCCAAAAAGCCTTTAATTGGAAGTTCGGCAGCAGCTTTTGTAGGGCTTTTAGAAAAATGCAAGTCAAGTGAGGAAGCCCTCCAGTTACTTTTGAGAATTTCAGATTGCTTACAGTTTCAAGAGTCAGATGTAGAAGAGGCTATTAAAAAGCTGTCAGAGCATTTCCAGTCTGAGGAGGAATCTGTTGTTAGAGTAAAAATTTTGTGGTTGTTTTGTGACATTGGATTGGAATGTCCAGGTGCCAATTTGAACAATTTGATAGAAGAGACAATACATTTGATTAAAAATGAAACTTCTCATAAGGTAAGATAGTTGCAATCAAATTTTTTTTATTATAGAACTGTTTTTATTGTAATGTTAGTATATGGTGTTTTTGTTAAAGACCAATGCTCGATGACACTCAGTTTCTTCTTATTAGTATTTAACTAGCATTAAAATGTTCATATGTCTATAAATAATAAATCTTTGAGCTCAACCAATTGAGTTACTAAATTACAGCCTACAAAATTGTTATGCATCTTATATATGAATATGATCACCAATCAATCTTTGGCTTTTATTGCAAATCAGTTCGTGGCAGTAGTATTTATTTTTTATTATTTATTGTTCAAATTGTATTGAGCATTATGCTTATAACCCTGATAAGTATTTATTTGGTATTATACTTTGAGTATTATTATTTGTTCAAGTAATGGGTGTATTTCTCAAAAGTATCTAATTTTATCTAAACAACATTAATGGCAAGTAATCATTATTGAAAACAAAATTTCCAGTTGTGTGATAAGTTGTGCTTTTTTTTTTTAAAAAAATGTTTTTTGATGCACCTAAAATATTCATAAATGCTAGAAAGCAATTCAAATATAATGAAATATTCAGAATATACTGATTATTTGATGTTTTTTAGAATTACGATTTGTGCTCTCTTCTTACAATAATTGTTTCATTACATAAAACTTAATAAAATAAAGTTTGAACTTCCACAATTTATTTGTATGAGTTTGTATAAAATGCTACAGGTTATAGCACAGGGTGTTGCAACATTGTTAAAGTTGGGCACAAAATTGAGTGATGACAAGATTTTGATGATGCGTTTGGTGAATGTGGCAAAAGACAATCTTAAAGACACAAGTCACTCAGTGAAATGTAGATGTCTGCAGCTAATTAGTGAACTGTACCCGATATACCCAGAGTCAGATAGAACACAGGAGATGACTCTGGAAGCGGATGTTATTGTCAAATTACTGGGAGATTATTCCAATGCTGAGGTAAAATATTAAAATTTTAAATTGATTGTATTGATATAATCATATTGTGCCACAAAAGTTAACTTTAATAAAGTGATTTGGCTAGCTGATTGCGAATTTTTTTTTATAATATTCTGTTTATCTAATTGGATTTACAAGCAAATAGCTCATTGAACTCAACAAGACTATCAATTGTTATTAGTGCTAAGAATAGTAACTTAGTTTAAATAATATAACTTTAGAGTTTAACGAAGGTACATTTTTTTAAATTCATGAAGAAAAGCAATTTCATGAAGAAAAATAATTACATATTAATAATTATAATTTATAACAGCATGCACCAATTTAATTTGTTTTGTGTCTCAATTTCAGGATGCAAGAGTTAGATGTGAAGCATTTCAATCACTTCTTACATTACATGAGAGAGGCCAGACCCTGAATGCGTCTTTGTATGAACATGTATGTGAATCACTATCAGATGATTATGAAATTGTCAGAGAAGTGGCACTGAGGCTTGTTTGGCTCCTAGGAAACAAATATCCGGAGAAGTATGCATGTGTTATTATTTTAATTCTATAAAAAATGTCTCAATGACCAGAATATAATAACAAATTATGCATTTTATTTGTACCTAGCTTTTAAGATTTGTTTTGTATCAACTGTATAAAACTTTTTGTGGTGTACAATAAAGTATACAGCATGTCCTACAACTGCGACAATAAATGAACACACGTCTAACGCTATTTGCCAATAATCATAAAAAAATATAAAACATTAAAAAATCTATAATTAAAAAAAAAAAATTTTCATACAAACTAATTAAATTAAAAAAAAAATTGTAACACCTATACAACTGACTGATTCATACATTCTGAGACTTTCATTGTTTGTCACAATGTCGCATTACAAGTCTGTCCTTCTAACAGTATGTTTTCTCTCTTTTAAATTCATTCAACCCATTCATATGGTTTGTGACCTTTACAAATTAATTTTACGTTACAGTTTTATATGTAAGGCTGTTCTAAAAATGTTTGTTTTGTAAAATTTAATAACTCGGTAAATATTGATGTTTAAAGGGCTAATTAGGTAAACTAATTAGGGCAGGGGTGAGCAACCTTTTTAAACAATGGGCCAATTTAAATTTCAAATTTTTTTGGCGAGCCGCACATAATAATTTGCGAAACTTTATTTATAATAAATATTAGAATAAAAAATAGAAAATAGAAAAATGCAAGGTAAAAACAAACAAGAAAACAACAGAAAAACGAACAAAAAATATTTCGGTTCAGTATATACTACCATTTTATTATGATTAATTTTATAACAATATATTGATGGGAGAAATTCGATAAAATAAATTCAATTTTAGAAATGCTTGGCGGGCCGCATAAACATGTTTAAGGGGCCGCAAGCGGCCCGCGGGCCGCGCGTTGCTCATCCTTGAATTAGGGTATTAGGGCATAGTGCACAGCAAAACCCTGCTGTGGATGGGTGGACTTTACAATATCTGAGAAAATTTTTATTTTGTATACTAATATTTCGAAAATATGCTTGTATCTTCACCTTCACCAATTTTCTTTTACCAATGAGCATGTGACAATCTGGCACAAAATTGCAAAGAACAATGTTATTAGTCCTGGCACCAGGACTTGAACTCAGGTTGCTTGAGTATCATTAACAGCAGCGCCTGGCCTGAGCTATCATGGGCGTGATTGAAACATTTTATGTGTATTCCAGTTCAGTAACGTTGCCCGATGGCGATACGACGATTCGAATGGTGGACGACGCTTTCATACGCATCTGTTCCGCCGTGAACGACCTGTGCATGCAAGTGCGGGCGCTGGCATGTTCGCTGCTAGGTAGCACTCGTGCGGTATCCGATCGATTCCTGCTGCAGACCCTCGACAAGCAGCTAATGAGCAACATGAAGGTGAATTATTGAAATAGTGCGTCTTTTTCCAGTGATATGTGATAATATATTTATTGGCTTCGCGCGGGTGCAATGTATTATAAATATGAAATTCCTCTTGTATCACTCTATTTAGTAAACCGCATCAAGATCTGTTGCGTAGTTTTAAAGATCTAAGCATACATAGGGACAGACAGACAGCAGGACGATTTTGTTTTATACTATGTAGTGAGTGATATGTATTTATTTACAAAAGAAAAGTATGTTTATCAGTTATCTAGTACCCATAGTACAAGTGTTGCTTTTTGTTTTAGTTTGGGACTAGAAAACGTTGTGTTAAAATAATTACAAATATTCCAAGTTAAATGAAGGCTTGTAATGAATAATAGATAATATTAAATACCATAACTTGGCGTCCGCAGAAGAAGCGCACGGCGCACGAGAGGGGGGCGGAGTTGGTGCGCAGCGGCGCGTGGGCGAGCGGCCGCCGGTGGGCGGACGACGCGCCCGGCCAGCTGGTCGAGCAGGACAGCGTGCAGCTGCTGCCCGGCGGGGCGGCGGGCGCCTTCGTCCACGGCCTGGAGGACGAGCTCATGGGTACCGAAGCACGTCCCACCGCTGGGCGAGGAAAGCCCACTACTCCGCGACGGGCCTATTGGGCTGGAGTAACCTATCACCCCCCTCATCCCGATGCCTTCGATCACCCCTCGAAACACCCAACATATTGCATTTGTTTTTCAAAATCTTTCACTGTGCTCGGGCCGAGCGACAGCTGCGGCTGTTGCATGGACAGGTCAGTCCAGGTAAGTACCACGACCTTATACCGGCGTCAAGTGGAGGCGGCTTCGTCCACGGCCTGGAGGAGGAGCTCTTTGGTTAAAGCTATTCCGCGGCTCCTCCCCCCCCCCCCCCCAATCACTCCTTGAAATACCTAACATAGTGCATTTGTTTTCAAAATCTTTCACTGTGGTAGGGCCGCGCAACGACTTTGGTTGTAGGACGAATGGATAGCTACTATGACCTCACAGAGGACCGACGTGATGTGGAAGTGTTATACTTCTGCGTTTCGTCTGGCGAGTGTGGTGGCCAGGTTGCCCGCTTTATTGAAAGGTGGCAGCGCACCTGCAACCTTACATATGTCCATGGGCGGTGGTTATTGTAGGCCGAAAGTTTTTTTTTCTTCATTTATGTGCAGAAATTTACAATTTAAAGTTTCATCTTGAGCGCAGAGCGGAGACTAGCACTGAAAATAAACATTTAATCTTAAAAAACTCTGCCCCAGAGGTCCGAACGGCGGCGGTGGACGCCGTGTGCCAGCTCTCGCTGGAGAACGCCACCTTCGCGACCACATCGCTGGACTTCCTTGTCGACATGTTCAACGACGAGATCGAGGACGTGAGGCTGAGGGCGATCGACAGCCTAACGAAGATATCGCACCACATCATACTGAGGGAGGACCAGTTGGAGATCATACTGGGAGCGCTCGAGGTAATTGGAACTGGCTGTAGCTTGCTTGTGTTAGTTTAAAAAAAATAATAATAGATTCACAGCAATTAACTTAGCAAGTTTATGTTTAGTTGCATTAATAAAGGTTTTTTTTTGTTTGTCTCAAATTTACAACCAACTAGCTGATCCGGCAAATGTTTGGCCATATAAATTATTTATAGGAAATAACTCATAAGTAATGTTTGATAGGTAGGAAAAGGTTCTAAAAGAAAATTATTGTTATATTGATTTTCCATACAATTTTTCCATAATTCTCATCATTTAAACCTTCCCTGGACTGCCACAATTAATTTAAAACCAAAATAAGCAAGGTCCAGCCGTTCTCGAGTTTTAGCGAGACTAACGAACAGCAATTAATTTTTATATATATAGGAGTTTTAATTTTAATGCCAACTTATTGTCGATTTCTACCAGCTTCAAGATACGGCAATTAAATTTGCTCAATTGAATAACATTTTTCAGGACTACTCGATGGATGTCCGTGAAGGGTTGCACAGGATGCTGGGCTCCTGCACGGTAGCATCAAAGACGTGCCTCGAGATGTGTATCGATAAAATTTTAGAGAATCTCAAGAGATATCCGCAGGTACACTAAAAACATGTAGATTGTGTGACACAGTGCGATATTGGCAAAAAAATAAAGAAAAACGAACAAATTAGGACTCCTTTTCATGTTAACTTTTCAAGTTTAACTTCAAGAAAATTTTATTGAATAAATAGTTTTTTACCAAATTTCGGTTATAATTCGAATATCTTATACGGACTTTCTCGCGGGGAAGAACGCAATAAATATGTCCGTATCCAACAATATGTTACCTACGTCGTTTGTTACCTGAAAATAATAAAAATAAAAATATATAATTTTATTTCTATTGAAGTTTGGTCATTAACGAGTACGATATACGTTGACGAATCGAAAATGTAATGCCTTTTAAAAAAAAATGTTTTTTATTGGCCATTGATTTAAAAAAATCAAGTCATAGAGGAAAATTGACAATTTTATTCACGTCTTGTGCGGAATTATGAACATATCATTGTAAAGAAACCTTTATGTGCAGGACAAAAGGTCTACATTCCGTTGCGTGCAGCGTATGGGCAGCTCCCACGCGTCGTTGGTGCTGCCTCTGACCACCCGCCTGCTGGCCGTCCATCCCTTCTTCGATATGCCCGAGCCCGACGTGGAGGACCCTGCCTGTATCCTTTTTGGATTAAGAGATTATATTTCTTGGTATAAGCGTAAATCGTGAAGGATTATAAAAGACTTAAAGAAAAATAAAATAATTATTCTACAAAATAACTCCAAAATTAAAAAAGAAACTTATTAAAAATAATACCGAGCGTCAAAATTTTGTAGTCTTCGATTTATGAATATTATTCATAGATTTTGGAATCTAAAATTCACTGTGCGATGAATTTTCAGTAAACGAGTTGTAGTATATTGATTACCACAGAGCAATAAAGTTAGTTTTGTGAAATATAATATATTGAGTTACAAGATCACATAGTCGTCCATTTTTCACAAGTATTTTAGAGTACTATCTAAGATATTAAATGAGGCCACTGAAATCTTAAAAATTTACGCGAAAACGTGAGATTGCTCTTTACTGAAATTTATCGTTGATTCAAATATGTGCGTAGACTTGAGTCGGGAATATATTAGACTTTCAATAACAAATATTTTAATCGTGATTTTACCGCAAGACCTGCATTCTTTGCGACTGTTTCCATTAATCCATGAGTTTCCCTGACTCGAGCCTACAGATATGTGCATACTGATTCTGGTGCTGAACGCCGCTCAGCACTGCAACACGATGCTGCCACTCTTCGAGGAGCATACGATCAAGCATTACACTTACCTAAGGGACACCATGCCTCAATTGGTGCCGCACCTGCCCATCGGTGAGTGTTGCGACTTAATCGACATTATAATAACAACACTCGGACATGTGTAAGCAGTGTGTTGCCCAATTGGGAAATCTCCTGACGTATGAAATAACGACTAATGTAAATTCGCCCCTATTTTTAATTACTTTTAAGCGACTACAAAGAAGAAATTGTTGGAGATTTTAGACCCATCCGTGATGACCCAAAATGTTACGTTAAACCCAAGTGAATATTTTTACCTAAAAGTAATGTTACGAGTGAGTGTAACGTTATGTACGACGCAACGTTATGTACAACGCAACGTTATGTACAACGCAACGTTATGTACAACGCAACGTTATGTACAACGCAACGTTATGTACAACGCGACGTTATGTACAACGCGACGTTATGTACAACGCGACGTTATGTACAACGCGACGTTATGTACAACGCGACGTTATGTACAACGCAACGTTATGTACAACGCTACGTTATGTACAACGCTACGTTATGTACAACGCGACGTTATGTACAACGCGACGTTATGTACAACGCAACGTTATGTACAACGCAACGTTATGTACAACGCAACGTTATGTACAACGCAACGTTATGTAATACTTGAACGCCCCTCAGAACTCGTCAGTCATTTATGAAATGTCAATTATTTTGCATCGGATTCGGTTTTGTTTGCACCCGTGTGATTATTTTCTTTTTTATGTGAAAAGTCGCCAAGCGAGCAGTTCGTTCACCTGATGTTAAGTGAATACCGCCCCCCATGGACATCTGCTACACCCGAGGGTGCCAGATGTGTTGACAACCTTTTGAAAGTTGGGCTAGGGCCACCTCACTCACCAGACAGAACGCGAAAGTATTATATTTCCACTTTACGCCGGTCTTCTGTGGGGTCGTGGTATTTACCCGGACGAGCCTGCCCATTCGTGTAACAGCCGAGGCTGTTGCGTGGCCCTACCAACGAATATCCCATATTCATTTCATTGTTATTACATTTTGGCGAGCTCCTTTGCTGTACACATTATGGTAGAGGGAGGGGCTATAGTCGGTTATACCCTATAATTAGTTCCGTCATTAATTCATTAGCTCCGTCATTAATTCATTAAGTCCGTCATTAAATCATTAAGTCCGTCATTAATACATTAACTCTGTCAGTAATTCATTAATTTCGTAATTAATTCACTAATTTCGTCATTAATTTTATATTCTTTCATAAATTCCCAGGCGAGTCCCAGTTCTCGCGCACGGAGCGAAGCGAGGCGGCCATAGACGATAGCGCAGTGAGACGCTTCTTCGACACGGTGCTCCAGCACATCGACAACGTAACACTGTCGTCGAACGTGCGACTAAACATGCTTCGCTCGGCCGAGGAACAGCTGAACAAGTAAACGTCCATTTTATGATTTTCTTCCGCTGCCGCGACAGCTCAATAAAAACAGCTTCAGGATGTTTACCGTTTAATTGTAGTTTTAATAATCTCAATGAAATTAAACGCGAAAAAATACCTGTATTATCTTAATTAAATAAATAAATAAATTCACTAAGGTTCATTTAATACTTTTTTTTGATTGCTTATTTTCGATACTTCTCGATATGGGCGAGGACTCGTGGGTCGTGGGTTCATTTCCCACTCGAGACAAGTGTTTGTGTGACCCACAGATAGTTGTTTCGCATCTAGGTGTTTTTCCGTTTGAAATTTATGTTTTTAAAATGCCCATACTTTTACACCCGTACTTTTCTATAACACAGGTATCGAAAAGTACGGATACAAAAAAAAAGTGTGTGTACTTATGTACACGCGTTAGAGAAAGTTATAGAAATTATTTCTATAATAATTGAATATTTGGACGGTGGATCCTATGACAGCTCTCTATAAAGTCGACGTTTGAGTGGCTAACTTCAGGGTGTCGCCACTCGACTGAATCCGAACTGTCCGCAGGCTGTCCGAGATGGAGCCGCTGGTGTCGGGCGCGGCCATCTTCACGGCGCTGTTCGCGCGCTGCGTTCTCTCGCTGCACGACGCGCTGCTCGACGCGAACGGCCCGCCGCCCCACGCCCTCGCACAGCTCACCACCGATTGCCTCCGGTACTGCCCCCCCCACTCTCTATACCTCCCCCACCCCGTTCCGACTGCCTCCGGTACTGCCCCCACACTTTATATTCCCCCTCTCCTTTCTCCTCCCTCCTGTTCTTTCGGTACGACGGGGGCAAGGGATCTCGACTTTTTATTACCCCCGCCTCCCTACCTTTCTTTCGGTACGGCCGGTGTATTCTTGAGGGTTTACATTCTCCCCCGAATCTTCTACGGGAGGTGCGAGAGGGTAAGTCATTCGATATCCCCTCCCCCCCTCGATACGGCGTTTAGGTACGCGCTCGCTATTCGCTACGCGAGATCCAGTCGCAGTCTCGATGATGCAGCCGCCTTTAAGAGTCATTGATGACGATCTGGATGACGGTGCGAAAGAGAGAATACCTCCACGCCATCCAGCGCACATCTCCTCCGATACCTATTGTAGTTGTCGGGTGGTCAATCAACTTGGTGAACTTAAGGCACGCCAAGATGTTTGTCCATATAAAATGTCTGTTTGTAAAGCATCCATCAGTAAAAACTATGATTATATTTAGCATCCGTTATATAAGCAGGTACCATACGTAGTTATTAATCTTCCACAGTCTCCAGCACCAGTTCAGCGCGGTCACAGAGCAGGAGAGCGCGTGCGTGGGCCAGCTGGCGCTGCGCGTGGCGGCCGCGCGTCTGTGCGCGCCCGACGCGGTCGCCGCCGCCACCGCCTCGACCACGACCACCGGCGCGACCACGACCACGACCACGGCCACGACCAACACGACCACCGCCGCCATGTCCGCCGCGGCGGCGCTCACGCACCACGCGGAAATGCTGGATCGCCTGCTCGTGTCCGCTGGTAAATAACGATTTATTCAATACTGTGATGTATTTAGAGCGTCTGTTTTGGCCATAAAAACCGTGTAAAATTTAATAGTGAGCTTAAAACCATTCTCGAATCGACCTGAAGACACACAAAATTTTTTGTGTGTCTTCAGGTCGATTGGTCCAGCCGTTTAGGAGAACTTCAGTGACATTCACATGTACAGCAGAATTATACTGTATATAAAGATATGCTTATGTAAACTACTTATATACATATTATAAATAAATACATACATATAATTATATACACATAGATAAATGCATATCAATATACACTGATAAATATGGAGTTGATCTGCTGACAAGTGATTGAGTATTTGTTCACGAGCGTTTTGCACCTTATTTAAAAATCAATTTTTGGGAAACGTAAATTTAACATTTGTGCTCTTATAAACAATCGCGGTGATTTGCAGGAGCGGGAGTGAAAGAGACCGAAGTAAACGTCCTTGTTTTAATAAGTGTCGAGAAAACTAGTCGTTGTAGGTCGTTTCCTGACACAGTTATGAGTTGACTTCATGATTTTCTTAATTAGATCCCTTTAATTGAAAAGGTGCGAACGATTTGGTTGCCCCCCAGGCGTGGAGCCGGACCCGTTCACGATCGCGGTGTTCCAGCAGCTGTCGGCGGCCGGCGACCACAAGCCGGCGGTGCTGGCGCGCGCCCTCGTTCCGCTGCTGCAGGCCGCGCCGCTGCCCCTCATACCGAAGCCCAACCTCAAGGTGAGCCTGAGATTCGTGGTGATAGCTAAGTTTCCGGGCGCTCGCTTCCAATTCAATGCTCGAGCGACCCGGGTTCGATCCCCGGTGCCGGCACCGATGAAATTGTCTATTTTAAGTGCTGACCTATCACGTGCTCGTCGGTGAAGTAAAACATCGTGACGAAAACTGCATATTTTCGTAATAATAACAGAATATATGTGTCTAAGGTATGTGAAGACCGCCAATCCGAAGTGGGGTCGCATGGTAGGCTGTGCCCTAATACCTCTCTGTACAGAGGAGTCCTTTGTTCAGCAGTGGGACATATATAGGATATTACGTTACTTTTTGTTACACGCTCCGACTCCCTTCGACGTGTAACTTTCACGGGAGTCGTGAGGCGTTCTACGTACCGCCTCTTGCCTGTTGGCGATTAATTAAGTTTGAATGAATTTTTTAAACAATCTTGTTCTACTGATAAAGTGCAAAATTCTGTACCTCAGAGGCACACAAAAGTGACTCCACATTTTTCAAAACTGTAATAATTACTTAGAATTTTTTTGGATACACCTTTAAAACCGCAAGAACAACTTCTACGACGCCTAATTAATAAAATATGCAATCGTATATGATATCATAATCAATAATGCATTCAAGGAATCACTCACGCATTTTTGACTCTCCTATAAAGTTTGTGTTTTTTGTTGACGCTGTTTACCTCTGAGGTACTTGAGAATTGTATTAAGGCGTGTTTAACGTACAACCAATTAAAGAGTAAAAGAACCACGAGACGCCCCGTCGACCGATACTAATCCCCATCCGACACGTCTCACCGACAGATCCGCATGTGCACGGCGACAATACTCGAGCCGGCAACCGACAACGACACGGTGCTGCGCTTCAGCGCGGGCCTGATCGCGGGCGTCGCCCTCGAGGCGGAGGTGCTGCGTGTGCGCGACCCGGCCGCGGTGCGCGTGCGCGTCGCCTACCCGGACCGGCGGGTGCACGCGCTGGTGCCGCAGCGCGACCACCTGCGGCCCCTCGACCACCTGGACAACAGTGAGTAGCTCGACCAACTCGGTAACGAGGCCACGCGCCCTCCGCTCGACCAACTCGGTAACGAGGCCACGCGCCCTCCGCTCGACCAACTCGGTAACGAGGCCACGCGCCCTCCGCTCGACCAGCTCGGTAACGAGGCCACGCGCCCTCCGCTCGACCAGCTCGGTAACGAGGCCACGTGCCCTCCGCACGACCAACTCGGTAACGAGGCCACGCGCCCTCCGCACGACCAACTCGGTAACGAGGCCACGCGGCCTCCGCTCGACTAACTCGATAACCAGGCCACGCGCCCTCCGCACGACCAACTCGGTATTAAGATCAGCTGCTGTAGATTCAGCTCCAGAATATTTACGTTATTTCTTTTAATAAAAAAAAATCTGACTACCCACTACGCGTGTAAAGTTGTTATGTTTATAGCAAGTGAATATTATAAATAAAATAAGTAATGGATTTGTACACGTTTAATGTTTTAACTGACGCTCGATACAACCAACCACTAACTAACTATTTTTACCACTACTGTAATTATTTTTTATGTAAATACCCACTTAGAAATACTACAAAAGTATAATCGTTATTTTAAGTTCTATGCGGTAAAGGTTCTTTTGTATAAACTGTTAACTGGGTTAGAGCCACGCAACAGAGTTCACTGTTGGACGAATGGGTAAGTCCGTCCGGATAAGTATCATGACCACACAGAAGACCGGCGTGAATTGGAATTGTCATATTTCTGCGTTTCGTCTGGTGAGTGAGGAAGCTGGGGCCCACTTTATTAAAAGGTAGCAACGCATCGGCAACGCTACGGGTGTTGCAAATGTCCATGGGCGGAGGTTATTACTTAATATTAGATGAACCGCCAGCTCGTTTAACACTCACATAAAAAAAGGCAAGTACTTACGGCTAACAGTATGAATAAGTTTTAGTACACTAATTATCTCATCTTACATAAATTTAATTACCGGCATTTCGAGTAACTATTTTATACAATTTATTTATTATTCAAAACAAATGATGGGTTGCACAACACCACTAAAAATGTAAAAACAATATAATACAAATAATAATTAATATACACTCAAATCACTAATAGTCTTTGTACATATTTCAATTAACATCAAGTTAATTTGCAACATTTTTTTAAACCTTCGTGAAGTTTCGACCCACAAAAAATTCCAACGCGCGTAATGTATGGTTTTCGCACCGAAACAATTTCAGACGACGACGGCACGCAGAACGTGCGGCTGCTGACAAAGGTGCTAATATCGCACGGCGTTTGGACCGAGCCGTGCGGCGTTGACATATCGATCTGCCTCGCCGTTGAGGAGACCGGCGGCAGGGAAGTGGCCCCGCTAGTCGAGCTCTGCCGCCCGGTGCGCGTCACCGTCGCGCCGAAACCGATCAAGAGGGGCATATAGAACGAGAGGCTGCGCCAGAAGATACTGGAGAGGAGAGTGATGCAGAGCAAAGCGCAGACGTAAACTCGAAAGCGTTACACGACTCGTGAAACCGTCTGTGCTAACATAAGCTCTTCGCCGAACTCGCTGGAATGTGACGAATATGTGTAGTGTTGTAAAAGATGCGACTCTTGGCATAAAAGTGTCAGTTATCAGTAATACGGAAGAAACTTACAAGATGTTGGTTGTTCTATGTATTATTTATATGTCAGGTATTATTCAATTATTATAATTTAATGTTGTCATAACTGTAATTGAACAATGGTATACTGTGGAAGGCCATACAGCAGCTTTTACTGTTGCATGAATAGCCAGGCTTTGGGCAAGTTCCAGGGCCAGACAGATGAATGGTGTTTCATTCATGTCACCGCCATCAAATAGATTTATGTGAGATCCTTTAGGATCCCACATAAATCTCATTAAAAAGAGATTTTTTTCTTTTTTTCTTTTTATTTAATCTCTTTAAAAAGAGAAATTTGTGAATAAAAATTACAATACCTATATATCTATGTTCAAATTTAAGCCACATAGTATCTTTATGCAAATAGATATGATTAATAAAATTATGGATTAATTATTGGTAATTTTCTTTTAAAGTAATAAATATTAGTCTTTTTATACTATATAAACTATAAGTAATGTTGTCATACAATATATTTTCGTACAACACCATCTTAGTGTTAAGATTTTCAAAAACTTTTACGTTCGTACTATCTTTTACTTTCTCTCGTTCGAATTATCGTTGTAAAACAATATTCGAAATTGTTTGTATGCTGGAAAGGATATAATAATGGATGCGCCAAGCATTGCTTCAAATGCTAAAAAAAAACAATGTAGATAAAAGATTTTTGTCAGTGTGGCAATCAGCCGTTTAGCTTAGTTGCTAAAACGTCAGGCCGCGAATGCCGAAGACGTGGGTTCGATACCCACAGCGGCGACAATCTTTTCGTACTTTTTCTACAAATTTTAATTAAAAACTTTTAAGTGAAAATAAACAATTAACCTGAGTCATTGATTTCATTTCTGTTAAACCCTTATGTAAACATGTCTGTGGTAAATCCCGAATAAGTAATAAATCATCAGATCAGACTATACTCCTGTATGGCAAACGCCATCCATGGCTTCGGTTAATTAATGACTATTGTGGAAATTGCCTAGAAGCTAGTTACGTAAACAAAACTTTAGTTAAATAGCACATGTAAAACAACTAAGTTCATCTATCCAGTTGAAAAAAATTCATTTAGTAATTTCAGATTAAAACCATGTGCAAAAAGCACTATGCTTGTTTATTAGACATCATTATAACATTTTGTATTTGTACAACACAACAAATGGTTAGTTGCTTTCTTCGATTTTTCTCATTCATTATAAAGCCATGGTGAATGCAAATAACACATGGTTTATTTTCGTTCACTGAAGTATGAAGACATTATAAGGTTTTTCTAACAATCTTCATGACATTGCTCACAAAACTACATCTATTGACCTCTTCAACTGTATTGTAGAACTGTTAAATATATATCAACCTTATTTACCCAAAGTAAGGTGGTAATGACCTAATAAAATGTAATTTCTTTTATGTGATCTGGTGGTTTACCTATGTTAAGTGATAATCGCCGCCTATGAACATTGGCAACATTCATAGAATTGCAGATGCATTGACACTAATAGATTGGGCCTCTGTTGTTGGTTCACTCAGCAGACAAAACGCAGTGGGGTAACACTTCCACTACACACTGGTCCTCTGTGAGGTTGTGATATTTCCTTGGACAGATCTACCCGTTAATGCAAACATGAAAGCTGTAACGTGGCCCTGCCACGGTTGAGGTCTTACAAGTTTTGTAAAGAACGGAAAGTTGACATTGTCTTGACAGTTGACATTCATGTTCCTATTATCTTTAATTGTAAAAATATGATGATTTAAATGTTTTAAAAATGGATAATGATTTTATTGTTTTAAATATCGGTTAAGTTTTCTGCTATTTAAATACAAAAATTTAAATAAATAAAAGAGCATGTAACACTTTATTAAGTCAAATCATAATTTTATAAATTATGTAAGCATTTCTTATCAGCTTTTTAACATTATATTTCTTTCATAATAATGTTACACTTACATGTTTATAACTGCACATTATGCCTTATCAATAATGTCATCATAGTAATTTATTATCATTATATACACTTAAGAAAATGTAAATATTCTCACTCATGGATTCAGTAAAACATTAATATATGAGATAAGTTTTTCAAGACATTTTTAGAAATAGTTATATGTATGTTATTGATATTTTTATTTGTTAATCAGTTTCACACTTTTCACTTTCTTTCTTGTCTATGTCCAATAGCTCAGAGCGAGCTATGCAATGATAAATGAGTTGTTTTACACCAGACATCCAAGTACACACAGCGCTGACATGATCAACCATGAGTGACTTATGAATTTCATCTGCTTTGTTTGGCTGTTCATCATGGAGAGCTGTAAAAGCAGGCAATTAATAAATGGTATTAATAAAGTTTTGGTTGTGTAATTGGATATAAATATTTGATAAATATTATGCTTACCATATGCCAATTCCTTCATTTGCATTTGTATATTGTTATTTAATTTTCCATTTAACCACATATCCTCCATTACACTTATTCGTTTTCTTACATCGTTAGTTTTGGAGCCTAGCTCTCCATTATCAACAAAATGCATAAATATATCTTTCACTTCTTTAAGCATACTTTCACTGTCTATAGTTGCAACAGTATCTTTGGATTCATTTTCATTGTTACTTTGCAATGTTGGTAAACATTGTGGTATAACCGTAGGCACTGGCATTGGAGGCAAGTTCGTTGGTGGAACGGAAGCAGGTATTGACCCTGTGCCTGATAAAGGAAAGGCTACTCGCTTGTTCAAAAAATTACGTGGGCGATTTGGCGTAGTCTGTTGCATGCTGTATGAAAATTTCGGAGGATCATTCCAGCCGGGATCGAAAGGAACTGTTTAAGAAATCAATAACTAAGTATTTTTGTAATAAAATAATCTTATCTAGTCAAAAATGTAATTGAATACCTTTGGTTCCTTGTACAGGGGTTTCATCGCATTTATCCATTATATTTCAAAATAAGTTTAAACTAAATTTTCCTCTTGCATAAATTATAACACTGAAAATACTAATTTAATTTTCAGAAAATCAACAAGGCTAAACAGCTGTTAAGGTTGACAGGTTGACACTGTCATACTGCATACACAGATAAAATATATTTTATTTTAATCGGCGAACGAACAGTTTTGAAAAGATAATCATTTAAATAAGTTAAATCATTGAAACAATTATATTTAATTGTTTCAATGATTTAACTTATTAATACTATAAAGACTTATTAAAATTCACAAAATCAATGAATAATATACGAGAATTTTTTATTAACGATTGACCGAAGTAATAAATTCGGAAGAAATAAAAAGTCTCGTGATTAACTATACGAAGAACGAATTTAACGAACGTGTAGATAAACAAAAGTGTACATCGCTGTTAGCCATGACTTTGATAACCTGATTGGAGAAAGTCCACGAGCTAACAACGAAATGTAAAAGCTCCGCTCAGATTAAAAAGCAACCTCTCCGGAGGTAGTAATAATATTGAAATTGTAATTTACCACAAGATATCCTAGTCTAACAATCGGGTACGAAACTTAAAACACGAAAACAGTTAATTAACGGGAATTAGTAGTTTACTACACCATAATATTCGTGAACATAATAAGTTCGATAAAACAATAAATCCCAACGGCGGACCTGGTCTCTCGGTCAACCGCTCATTACGTTCGGTTCGGCTACGGAGTTTAGAGGGAACGGTACATCTCAATACAATACAGGGTTCAATGATCTCATTGGGCCGCTTGGGCTGGACTTACACCACAGGCCGACCCATTGCGGGTTCCTCCTGATTTCAGCTTAGGCGTTGACAAAGCAACGGCTACAGTACAACGCTGAACGCCACATCACGGCAAGAACCCAGTCGGAGGGGACCCTTAAGGAACCTAGAAATGTCGCGGGTGAAAGTGGATTTGCGGCGTCACCTTGGAGAACGCCAGGATAGAGCTCCGTCGACTATTTGACTCCGTGTTATTTGTTAAAATCATTCGAGGCCACTTCTCCAAATCAACGGTTCGACAAGCAGACCTGAATGATTTTAACGGGTCTGTCCAGTACTGCTAGCCAGTGTATTTTATAAATTAAGACATTATAACAGACTTTGTCGATGACTATTAGATATATAGAATGATAAATAAAGTTGTTTCGTGAGATGGTGCACTAGAAGGTTGTTTGATTGGTCGGGCTTTAAAGTGGATAATTATTCTCTTAGGAAATAACATTTAATGATTGAATGTATTATTGTTTATCCGTGTGTATATCTTAACGCATTCTTCTACATTTTCGTCGGTGTGGTAATCAGCCGTTTAGCTCAGTGGTTAGTCTATATTCGAAGTTGTTTGTATGCTGGAAAGGATATAACAATAGATGGCGCCAAGCATTGCTTCAAATGCTAAGAAAACAATGTAGAAGAATGCGTTAAGATTTTCGTCGGTGTGGTAATCAGCCGTTTAGCTCAGTGGCTAGAGCGTCAGGCCGCGAATGCCGAAGACGTGGGTTCGATTCCCACAGCGGCGACAATCTTTTCGCACTTTTTCTACATATTTTAATATAATACGTTTGTTAATTTTTTCCATTGGGAAGAGAATAATAATGGCCCGATAGTTCGAAGCTAAGTCTTTGGGTTAATTTGGATGAAGGGTATCGATAACATGCACATTTTTAATGTATCGGGGAAGAAGCAGCTGTCAAGGAGTATGTTAAATATAGTAACTAGAAGAAAAGTGCTTTTAGCTTTGAAGTATTTGAATTAATCTACTAGAGATATGTTTAGGGACCCGTTGTGGAGCGGTTTCTAAGGTTTCAAATAATTACCATAACCTCATTTATTGACGTGTGCTTTAGGGATGAGTTTATTGGTAAAGCTGCGTATGTACTTTGTACTTCCTCGCCAATTTTGCATAGTTGGGAGGGGTATGTGAGTTGTGTGCTTGGAGAGCATTGTAACTCGATGCTAAGTAGCCTTACGTAAGTACCTTACTTAGCCTTATTGACTTACTTAGTCTGTCCCGTGACCATGAACGCTGTAAAGGGTTCGAAATGTCGGGAACTAAAATTAAAAATAAACGCCTTAAATCCGTAAATAGTCTCCTTTAGTAATGTGTAAATACAAGAAATTATTATAGCCTTATTGACCTTAACACCAAATGGCTAAAGCAGACTTAGAAAGCGACTTACTTAGTCTGTCCCGTGACCATGAACGCTGTAAAGGGTTCGAAATGTCGGGAACTAAAATTAAAAATAAACGCGATAAATCCGTAAAATTAGTTTCATTTATAATGTGTAATCGCGTAAATACAAGAAATTATTATAGCCTTATTGACTTTAAACTCCCTACCACAATGGAGCAGAGCTAGAGAAAGCGTAAGGGGGACGTTCTGTGATAAAAGATTTCTTATTAATTTTCAGAATGCATTATTGTCGCGACATCCTGAATAAGTCTCCCATTCCTTCCCAATAAACGCCCACATGTGCTCTTTGAAAGGTCCCGTTGGCAATGCATCTATGTGTTGTCGTCATTCCGATATTGATTGAAAAATCGGACAGTGTTTACGTAGAATTCATCTGGCTTTATAATTGTAACCGTAGCCTTACCAAGTAATAAAAATTGGCACACTCTGACGTTGACGTTGACATAAATAATATTTCACTTACATATAATTTTTGACAGGTAAATTGAATTGATTGTGCTACCTTCAAGAGAAATACGCTATGGCTATTTCTAAAATTTTAAACAATTTTTACAAAAGTAGAATGCTAATAGTATTGCTACTTATGTCTATGTGTTCATGGAAAATATCATATGGTATGTATTAAAAATGTTTTAATACGTATATTCTGTCTAAATTCTGCTGTTATCATTGTTTATCCGCTACTCTTCAACACGTTTTAACACTTACGTGGCCCTATGATACGCCGGGGAATTAATCTTTATTTTCGCCATTTACCACTTATAGAAAATAAATTTATAATAGTTTTTTGAATTTACAGGTTCTAAAGCTGAGTTTGTAACATGCGGCACTATTTTAAAACTGATTAATACGGACTTGAAGCTGCGTCTGCATTCTCACGATGTTAAGTACGGCTCTGGTTCTGGACAACAGTCTGTGACTGCTGTCGATGTATCAGATGATAACAATAGTCATTGGCTTGTTAAACCTGTTATGGGAGAAACATGTAAGCGAGGGTAGGTCTTAAATTCAGTGCAATTATGTAATTTATTAAGAATGTGATACTTATATTTTAACTATATTCCATTTTTTTTTAACTTTCTTAATATAAGTAGTAAATATTTAAATGGGCTTCATTTTCTGAGCAAAAAAATTCTCTTACAGGTCACCTATTAAATGCAATACAAATATTCGCCTACATCATATAGCAACTAAAAAGAACCTTCACTCTCATTATTTCTCATCCCCTTTATCTGGAAATCAAGAAGTTTCATGTTATGGCGATGAAGATGGAGAAGGAGACAGTGGTGATAACTGGACTGTGGTTTGCAATAATGACTATTGGAGAAGAGACACACCTGTGAAATTAAGACATGTAGATACCACAGCGTAAGTTAAACTTAATGTTCGCTTTTGAGCATAGTGAGTTCCAGTTCAAATCACACCACATAACATTTATTGCCAGTTCATGGGTCCGTGGTGCAGTTGCTAAGGTATTGATTTTTGCACAGGGGGTCATGAGAATGTTTTCGAAGGGAAGAATATATTAGATCTTTCTAGGTTGCAGTGGTCATTGTGACTTACTGCCCTTCAACACAATTTAAACAACATTCCAAGATTAAACATCTAGATATATGTTTAATATCATCTAGATACATATTTACAATTACATTTGAAATAGCTTTATCCTTGCAGTCAGGATTGAAACCAAGAAATTCACTCAACAAAACAAAGTTACAACTAGATGTGAAGCTTTGTTATTTTATTAATTTGCAGGTATCTTGCTGGATCAGGACGAACATTTGGAAGGCCAATAAATGGTCAGGGGGAAATAGTGGGAGTTAGCTCTCAGTATGGTACTTACACAGATTGGCAAGCAAAAGAAGGCCTATTTATTCATCCAGGTGACCCATTACCACACCAGCATGCAATTCATACTGAATTATAAAAAGTGTGTATGCTTAGATTTAATGACTAGACAATTAAATATTATTTTGTTCTTGTTATATAACAAACAGTATCTGAATGTGATTTTATACATAATCAAAAATGGGTCTTTTCATTAAAACAGAACACATTATCAAGCAATACATTTTAAAGTAATTTCATTTAACAATTGTTTATGATTACTGTAAAGGGTGAAATGATTTAAATAGTCATTTTATGTGAATGTGAAAGGATCAAAGTTGTTCGCGCAAAATAAAGCAATATATTTGTTTATTTTATTCGAATTTTTTTCATTTAAGTAGAACAACTACATATTCAGTTCATCAATCTGATGGAAATGAAACTATGAATGAAATTTTAACATTGAATATTGTAGACTACAATGTTGTATTGCAATGATTAATAAATGGCATTACTTACTAGAATGATATTTGACTGTGGACTTAGTTTTAACAGATTAATAGCAATGCACTTTGTTGTTCTATGTGAAGAAAATTAAAAAATTTGCTCCGTGCTTGCTTTTTGTATTGTGTCATAAAATTTTACATAAAATTGTGTGGTTTTTATGAGCCAGTTCCTACAACCAAAGAGTAAAATTTGATCAAAAACTGTAAGTATAAGATTAAAAAATCCAAGGTTTAGAATAAACATGAAGTTTCATTAAACTAAGAACTTTATTGTCAAATGTTTAATTACATTGAGGTAAAGACCTCCGACAACGTTTTTCAGTTACAAATTTGCAGTGCATCAAAAGCATTAAATTTAAAGTAATACTGATTTTTAAGGTATATTTATTCTGGATATGAAGATTAACAAAAAATCAGGAATGTTCATATGATATAGTATGGGGAATGGTGGTTTCGGCGATCAGAAGGATGTAACTAGTGTTATAAAAATATAGTTATAAAACTAAATAATTCCAAATTATCATTATTTAACCACAAAACCTAAAGCAATCAGTCATGGCGACGCTTTTTCTCTTTCCAATTACAACTATTTCATCTATACCTAAAAAAACAATTCAAAGGCATATGAACAAGGAGGATATGATTCTGCAGTTTAAATTACTTTAAATGCATTAAAATTCAATTCTATAAGAGACAAGAAACTTATTTGTATGATTATGTTCTGCGACTCACATTTTTATTCACTAGTGAAAAAATATTACACAATAGCAATTTAAACTTTGATATACATTAAGTTATTAACTTATTGTTGGAATTGACAATTTATAGAAATAGAAGAGCAACACGAAATAATATATTTTATGGGGGTAGTAATAATGTTCAATAAGTAAACTTGACAAAACTGAAAGTTTGTTTGTATGAATACAATTATATCATTACAACAATAGAGATCCTTTGAAAGTTCCTAAATAAACTTTGATGAAGCAGAGTTAATTTTTAACAGCAAAAACCAATAGGAAGGAATTAGATACATCATTGGTTTTCTGCAGGTGATTTTATATGCTATGAACTATTATAGGTTCAAGTTATAAAAGGCAGATTATATTAAAAAAACATCATGCCCAACTAGAAAAAAGTACATAAAAATAAATTAAAAATGCTATATAACAATCTTATGGAATCAAGGTTACAAATTGGCGGTGTTTTTGGATATAAATACCTGAGTAGCCAAACTTAACATTGGTAATCATTTATGGGTTTAACTAACCAATCTAACATATAATTGCAGTGTCTTACAAACTGAATGGGAATGACTGCATATAGTCAGTATTGATTTTTTTTTTAAACCTTCACATAGTAGAAACGGCAGTAAAGGGTGTTTGATTTTCAAATTAAAATGCTTTTATTTCCCCAAGGTAAGAAGCCTAACAAACTTTTAATGACATTTATTCAGTTGTTATAGCTTTTGTACTGTTGTATTTAATTTGCAGATATTGTTTCTAACATATTTGAGGCTAATATTGCTGATCATATGGTGATAAATTTCAATGAGTTTAAACTATACAGATAACATATTTTACCAACAGGCATTATATGTTCCATTTCAATGTGATAACATTTAACTTATTAGTCAATTACACACAACAAGTTTTGCAAGATATTCTTTCTAGACCAGAAAATATTATCATTATTTTAATAAGCAAAGCAAAGATTTTCTAATTCATTTGATGTTTTTTTGGGATATATGCCATTGGTATTTTACACATTGAAAATCAACCAATTAGTAAGTGCACTAATAATATAGGCACAAATTGGTTTTCATTTATATCTACCATGATATAAGTCACAATAAAAATTCATTTAATTCGTTTGTAGGGCAGGTACTGGTATGCAAAGCTAACAAAGCTTGTTAGCTAGAACGCTGTTAAGCTTCTCTAGTGCGTAAGTAAGATTAGTATAAAGCTTCTTGTCGCACCCATGCTCTTCAATTGTACTGAAGCGGAAAGTCCGGAAATTCTTTTCCATGTCAATGTAGGTGACAGCTTGCATCAGCGGGCACAATATAATTTTTGTGTGATCTTGGAAGTTGATCTGAAAACAATACAATAAACATACAGTAATATAATGTTTTTAACATTTAAATGATTAAAAACCTTTTTTGAACTTATAATATCCCTACAAAATTGGAACATAATGATGGACAATGGTTATTTTAAAAATAAAAGGTTTAGAAAAACAAGGTTTTTTTCAACCTATGCTTGCCTATTGGACTCTTACTCATAAACAGTGTGTCTTAACCATCGCGACAATAAATGAACACACATATAGAGGATAACTTTTGTTGTAAAGTTTTGTTATAAATTTTATTAAAGATTTACATTCTTTAAATATCAATATTTAACGAGTTATCAAATGTTCCAAAACAAAGAATTTTCGAACATCCTTACGTATAAAACTTTAATGTAAAGTTCATCTGTAAAGGTCACAAAGCATATGAATGGGTTGAATGAATTTAAAAGAGACAAAACATACTGTTAGAAGGAGTCTTGTAATGCGGCGCTGTGGCAACGAATGAAAGTCTCTGAATGTATACATAAACTGGCATGCAAGCACTGGTCATTATACAACGTTGGTGAAATATATGTGTGTGTATATATGTATGTATACCATATAAATATATATATTACATATAAATATATATATTACATTTATATATATTTATTTATTTAAATTCTACTAGGCATCCAGATTGTCCGTGACTCACTTTTGTAGGCGTCAGCTGAAAATCAGCGCTACCTCAACCGTAGCATTATGCTGGGCTGACTACCTTTTGGTCGTCGCATACACCGACTTTGTATTTATTTTCATTATTCGATATTAGGAAAATTATTAATTGTAATTATATGTAAATTAGTACGATCAATAAAGATTTTCTATTCTATTCTATGTATGAATAAGTCAGATGTAGTTGTATAGGATGTTACAAATTTTGTTTCTTTTTACTTAATTTCTTTGTTTGAAAAATATTTTTTTTTTAGTTATGTATTTTTTTAATGTTAATATATTTTTATGATTATTGGCAAGTACCGACTGCGCCATGTTATGTGCGTCGTAGGGGCACAGGGTACGTGAGTCAAAGACGAGCGCTTCGTTAAGACTGTTTTAATAATTATTTCTCAACCACCCTCCACATGCTAATATATAATATGACAGAGTTAGACGTGTGTTCATTTATTGTCACGGTGGTAAAGACATGCTGTATATATATATTATTAAGTTATATATAAAGCCTGTAATGTAGTTTACCTGTAGAGTACCATTGGTAAGGTACATAATGACTGCTAAAGTAGTACGGAACCATTGATGTAAATGCGGCAACCGCGACAGCCCATCGCTTTCTCTTACTGGTACTGAAGCACCTGTTAAATTAAAATTGCTCATCATATGTTTTTTACTGGATAAAAGAAACACTTTTGTATATATTTTTAACACAATTAAGGTAGGTGTATGCAATAATGCAATATTAATATTAACTCACAGAATAATGGCATGAAGTGAAGTGTTATATTATCCTTAAAGAAAGTAAATGTTTAATACTATGTTAAAAAGGTATTGTCTATATGTGTGTGTGTTGATTCATGGTCTTGGTAGTTGCGCCATAGTATATTATAAGGCCCTGCCATATTTAATTTATTAACATTTTTAATTATTGTAAACCCCTAAAAATGTTGCAGGGAGGTGAAATAAGATGGCTGTTAAAAGATAAAACTTATTATGTTCTGTAAACTAAAATAATCATAATTAATATTACATATATTTGAATAATAATTATAGAAATGGAGCATTGAAGGAATAAAGAAATTTATACCAGCTTTCATGAGGTGCTCAGTCATGTATCTTCTAAAGTAAGTGAGCAGCTTCATTTTTTTGTCAAGCTCTGGTGGGTATTCGCGCATCGTCATGTACTGCTCTTGGCCCTGCCTACTGATGTAGTGGACATTCCTGTCAAAATTATAAAAAACCACATAAATGTTTTGTTAGTAGTTTATTATCATATATTACAAAAAATAAATATTGGTGGAAATGAAACTATTTTCCGGATTTTATGGACCCTGTCCCGCATGGTCATGAGACACACGGTGCGAAACTTCGATATTTTTAAATCAAATTAAAACAATGAATTCTGAAAATTAGTTTCGTTTAATAATTTACAGTATTCGCGTAATTCGCGTTCATAAATCCAATATTGCCTCAATTGCCTCATTATGGTCAGGAAAGGACATTTTGAGCAATGGCCATGGTGGCAAAAGCTGACACATTATCCGGCTAACAATGCTTTCATAAAACAAGATCACTCTGTAATAAAAGGTAACTAAAGAGATAATTTTCAAAGAGATGGGTTGAGAGTCCTGTTCATTCAATAAAATGCACACAGTAGGAAGGTTAACTCAAAAACATTCTTATTGCTGCCAAAGTAGAGAGGAAACTAGGCAAGATATTCCTAGGATGTAGTCATATGCAGTGTTGATGAATTATTGTAGCTTCCATTGTGTTTTAGTTAGTAAGCTAATGTATGAGATAGCCTTATTTTCCTCCTAGGAAAACCAATGTTTGCATGATTTTCCCCTCATAAAAAACCTGATAATTTGCTATTATGTAAAAAACTTACATTGTTACATACAGTGTGTGTTTTTTAATTATGGATTTTGTTTAACGTTAATATTTTTTATGATTATGGGCAAGTATCGTTAGACGTGTGTTCATTTATTGTCGCGATGGTAACGACACGCTGTATAATCAAAACATCAGCACTTACAGTCCATTTGCGAGCATAATCAGCTTGGTGGTGTCGTTGAACATGACACCGACGCTCTCGTCGCAAAGCTGATAGCCGAAGCCGTACTTGTCGCTGTAGTCAACCCACTTGCCGACCCATACTAGAGGCTGCGCGGCCGGATCGCTCAGCTCGTCGGTCAGACATTCTGGCCGGCATTTGAGCTGCATTCAATTAAAAAAATTCTTTAGAATATGTATAGATAACAATTTTAATGGCTCGATGTAATTGGAAAAACCAATCTGAATGGTTTGGTAAAAAATGAGAAGGTTGAAAACTGAACGATGAATGTGATTAATCTTTTGTGGCAATGAATTGCTTATTATAGGAAATGTGCTCATTATAGGAAATATGAATACGAAAATGGCAAGGTGTCGTTCGTTGTGGCTTTCTAAGGAGGAGGAGGCCTATGTTCAAAAGTCGTTGTCTTGCAGCTGATGATGATGAAGATATAGGAAATGTATATTAGCCTTCCATTTATTCTGGCGATTCTCTATATAATTTTCATAAAGCATGTGAAAGGATTGCCAATGTCGCATAATATGCGCATACGGTTCTACCACATGCTCGGCGCTGAAAGTAAAAAAAATCGTGAGGAAATCTGCATATCTGAGGAATAAGTAAAAAGAAAACATTTCAAAGACAGGTCCACCAACACACTCACCCAGCAGTCGTGTGGCGGACTGTCCCTATACCGCATGCAAAAGGAGGTATTTGTTCAAAAACACAAGTTTAAGTTTATAAACTTACATACTTTATATAATATTATGGCTAAATCATTCCGGTGTAGATAACGAAATGCATAGCATCATGTATCTTCTCCTCGTTTAGTTTGTTTGTTTCTGCAAACCGACTTACTTTACTGTGCAGTAATGAAGCGAGTTGGTCGCGCAGTGCTATGAGATTCAATCTGTGCGAAGAAGGTTCAACCGCACGCGGCATCGCGGCGTTGACCTTGCGCTTTAGCGGCGAGTCCACAGCCATCGCCATTTGATCTTAAATAAATAAAAAAACATTATTTACTATGAAATTTAGGAAAAATGATTCAAAAATGCTAACACTAAAATTCGTACCCAGGACTTTAGAAAGATACTAGTCAAATTCTCAAGAGTCTAAAATCTACAGAGGAAGGTATGAATTGAGTGGTTCAAGATCAGATCGATGCTCATGTAGTTGATATTTACAGCGGTATTCAATTACATTCACGGAGGCGTGTATTTAATTAATGTATTGAATTGGATAGTTATGGGTAGAGACAAGGCGATGGGAAAATTATTTTAAGAAAGTGGCAGAGTCGAAAGGCGTGCGAGATTAAGAGAGGAGACCAACCGAATGCCAAGGATAGTTCAAGGATAACACAAACTGCATATAATATCCCTCCGATCGGTCTTAGGAATCGTTCACTGCTAGATTACTTTATATTTGTTACATGATTTTGCTTTTTCAATATCATGAAGTTGCCATCTGAATACCCATAGTTTCATCGGTCGCAGTACTTGTAAAAAAAGGGAAGGATTTTTTTGGGTGTTGGAGTTCGGTATGCCAACTGTGACTATGGCGGCCGTCGGAATTGTTAATCATTGGCTGAGACTGGTAGCAACCGTCTCATGTGTTGGTCTTATCCTGCTATATGTGTGACTAATGTTTCGGGCGGGGTTTTCTGGGTCAGAATCCGCTTCCAATAGTTTTAGTTCTCAGACGCAGTTTCGTATTAGATTATTCATGAAAAGAAGAGACTCGTCATCGATAATTCTGATCGTAGATACTTATGGAAGACCTCCAAGACGGAACAATCTTATGTAGACGGTATTTATCTCAAGACACATCTGATAGTAATTTTATTCTTGACATTATCCCATCTAGGGGTCGGCACAACATGTGTTGTTAATCGTATTGGCACGGTTTTTTACGACCGGCCGCCTATCTGCAGACAAAAACCTCCGGAACAATTATGCGTCACACAAATTAGTGGCACGCATGGGAATCGAACCCACGACACCTGGCGCTGAAGTCAATAGCTTGACAACTGATAATTCTTGTTTAGTAAAACAAACTCACCGTTGCTGTTGACCTCGTTGAGAGGCCGCCGGTGGACTGTGACGCCCTCCAGCTGGTCGGTTCTCGGCGCTGTGGTGAGGCACGAGACGGGCAAAGCGGCCGGCAGTATGCCAGACGAGAAGAACTCGTGCTTCAGCAGTTTGTCGACGGACGGCCTCCGCGCCGGATTTGACTGCAGCTGCAGAACGATCATCGAGGCAGCCGGCTTACCGAGCGTTGATGGGATCCTGTTAAAAGCATCATCTCATAGATCCAAGTTAGGACTTCTCCTAATGGATACATCTATCCACACGGACCCTCGGGCACTAAGTTGCGTGGTTTGAAAGCATTTTTGGCCGAAAGCCAAGTACTGTTAATATTATGTATATTTATATGCTTCATATAAAATTACATATTTATCATTTATTTGTGGTAAAGGACTCTTATGCAAAGATTCCCCCCCTCCCCCATTAATATATAAATATATTATTTTTCAAACATAATTTCGCATGTATGTTAAATTCGACGGTTATAAATTGACTTAGGTCAAGGACGGATTTCAATAAACGAGTAACGCCAAACGTATGTTTCAATTGAAAACTTTCTTTAGTTTCGAAGTTTTGTTAGAATAGTAAATTTCTATATAGCGTAAAGAATAGAAATATGGACTATATTCAATAATTTTAGACTCAATTGATTCAAGTAGATATATGAATAACCCATAGTCAAAAAATTCGACCGTTCGTACATAATAATCCGACGATAAAAATTGGTGTGCGTATTTCTATAACTTAATCATTAAAAAAAATATAACTAAATTAAACATTATGATTAGGTGTTTGCTGTCTTATTTATTTAATTCCTAATTGTTTAAAACCAAATTAATAACAAATGAGTTAACATTTTTAACACAACATTAGTCAAATTAACAAAAGCAACACTTCGTATGTGAAATACGACAACAAGGGCTGGAAATGAGACAACACATTAACATTATTACTTATTGAACAATAAAAACTAGCTTTCTTTATGGATTTACACAAATGTTAATATAATGAAAATTTGTACATTCAAATGAGCACATTCAAATTTTGCCCATACATATAACAGCAGTATGATTTTATAATGTCCTTCTCAGTTTGATTTGGTGCCAGATGATTTCAAGTAACAAAAATTGGTGTACTATGCACTTCGTAACATGGACAGTAAATTCAATGTTGTTTAGTACCGCACAACTTCATACTGCGAGGAACATACGATGTTACACCGCGGATCTATACCAGTCGTAGATATACCATAAAAAATTTAAGCCCGAATAAAGCTCTTAGAACTTTTGCATCGATGATTGCGCACAAGTCAACAAAAGCTAGTCTTTCACGATTCTCCATCACCGCAAACCATCGTCGTGGATAACCACCTGTAACGCTCTCTCAGCGTATTGTCGTTGATTACCGCCTGAGCGAACCTTGTACCGAACGTTTGCCAGGGGCCCGTGCAACATGTGTGTAGCGCTAGGTATATCCCCTCACTATTTGACAATACAAACAATATCTGATTATTGTTGTAATACTACACACATTTGCAATACAGTCTGCCACAGTATAACATGTACTGCCATATTATAAATGCATGCAATGCCAAATTTCCTTAACTAAAAAAATATTACATTGATCATAGGACTGCATTGTTCATGAGGTTGTCTATTGCCACTGTTATTGGTCAAAATCAGGTTTATGTCATAGAAGCCTGATTTAATATTTTGTATTTTAGTAGTACTAGCGATAATACTGCAACATGTAATTGGCACTATGTGTTATTAGTTTAGCCACATTGGCAAATTTACAAGTAAAACTGCACTTCACATAAATAAAAATTTGGTTACTGTAAATTTAAGCAAGTTCAACAATTAGAGAGGATTAAATTCAATCATTATTATGATTTAAATTCTTTTTAAGTAAGACTTTTTATTGACTTGTTATTAGTTATTATTTGTTGTACTGTAAATTTATTCTAAAAGAGGCATGTATTGAATGTGAATTGGACTAGAAAAAATACAATCTTTCTGAAATAAAAAGAATACATGTAATAGGTTGTTAAAGTAATGAGTGCATGAAACATTAGCAAAAAAAATTACATAGAATATCAAAATTATGAAAAATATCTTGGTAATCATTTTGTTTTGAAGGCAGTAATACATACCTATATTCGCACTGCTTAATTCTCTTGTAAGTGTCTTTCAGCGTAGATGTTTCAAACGGGGGCTTGCCCACAAGCAGTGTGTACATGATGCAGCCCAAACTCCATATGTCCACTTCAAAGGAGTGCCCCTTTTTCGTCAGTATCTCTGGCGCAATGTAGTTTGGTGTGCCACATAAAGTCTGCTTTCTCTCTCCTAAAGTAATTTAAATAAAATAAAAAATAAATTACTTATTTACAGGTGCTCTGAGTTTCAAAAATTTTATCTAAAATCCATTGGTGGATATACTAACTGAAATGAAAGGTAATAATGTAGGGTAATATTGCCAAGATATGTATGAAAAGGTTTAAATAGTTAAAAATCTGTAGTGTTTAAAATGGTGCTAAATTTTACCTTCAAATTCTATTTTAGCTGCTAGCCCAAAGTCACCAATTTTCACATGTAGGTCATCATCCAAGAACAGGTTCCCCAGCTTAAGATCTCTATGTATAATCCGTTTGCTGTGGAGATACTGTACACCGAGTAAAATCTGATGCATGTAAAACCTTGTCTCTGGTTCTGTGATTGCTTTTCTACGCTTGTGTAGTTCCATCATTGACTGCAGAAGTGATTTTGTAATGTATTACAATATCAAAATAATAGGCTACTTCCTTAGTAAGTTTGGTTTATTTTTTATTTAATTCCCAATACATACATAATTTTGCTGTTTGTAGTTATAATGTAGTATACTTAATGTGGTTTTTAAAATATAAGACATGAATTCTATTTCATTACTTTTAGAATTCTATTTTATAATTTTAGGTTTTGAATTTATGGAATTAATACTTACATAAAAAAGTAGTCAATCATTAATTTTTCTAGTATGATTAATGAAAAAATATAGAAGTATTAAATAAAAAGTTATAAAAGCCATACAGACCCTTTTCTTACATAGCTCCAATATAATATAAATGTTCAGGGAGTCTTCAAAGAAGCTGTGAAATCCAACCACATGTTTGTGCTGCAGTGATCGGTGAATAGAAATTTCTTGAGCCATTTTTTCCTTTTGACTCGACTTAACCATAAGTTTTTTTGATACGATTTTTCCAGCGTATACCTGGTTGGAGGCAATATCCTGGATCTCGTAACATTTTGCAAACCCGCCCTTAAATGAAATTAGAATGAAATGCAAAAATTGACTATATCTATAACTTACTCAAAGGTACTCAATTACAGTAGATAAAAATGTTTATTTCAGAAAATCTATTTTAGCATACTTATAGTATGTGCGTATAACAAAATTCGTACTTCATTAGCAATAGCCTAGGTTTTAAAGAAATAACTAAGACCATAAGATAATTTTAAAATCCCACAAACTCAAAATTCGTACATAATTAGGAATAGAGTGTGAGTTTTAAAGAAATTTAAACTGAGACCTTGCATGTTTTACATATAGAAAAAAAACTCACCTTTCCAAAGAATCGCAGTCTTTGATATGTGCAATTTGTTTGAGGATCGTGAATTATTTCAGGTATTTCTTTCTTTTCGTCTTCTTTGATCGAAGTCATTATAAATTAACTTAAAAATATAAATTAAAGTCAAATAAAACTTTAAAAATTAACAACACAGTAACTAAAGATTGTTGACAAAATTCACAAAGGGGATTTCAAACGGTACAGCGTTTGAAGTTTGAAGAAGACGGCAGTTGCACTGAATTTTGAACGGTTATTTATTTCAACCAATCAGAGATGAATAACTTTTTCGTAATTGCCAGTATATAAAATTATTAAAAATAGTAAAACAGAAAACATACATTAATAGAAATATCAATATTTATTATAAAGATATAATAAGTTGTTAACAATTTTAACTAAAATTGTTCGCATAGATAATATGATAAATATCATAAAAGCCGAAATATATTTTTGTTAACAACACTTCACAGAAAATATAAGGTAATCTAAATATTATAATGATTGTGTTACATAAATAGTTTAACTAATATTTGTAAATTAATAAAAGTGGATTTTAAGACTCTAAAACCCTCATTTGTTGCACAAGACTCACAAAATACGCCTAACAAATCACTAGGAAATTAATTATCGGCGAAACAATACACGAGCACTAAGTTTCTGAGATCAGTCACATACAGTGCCGGATTAAGCGAGCGTGGGGCTCCTAGCAAATTCTTTCAAACAGCAAAAGCATTCTATACTTCTATTTATTTAATAAGTTTTACTGAAAAAATTATGTTTTAGGAAGAGATGAGTGGATTTAAATATGCGGGACCCCCTTTGGCGCAGGGCCCGTAGCAATTGCCATTCTTACTATGTGGTTAATCCGCTACTGGTCACGTGTGTGATTTGATTTTGTGAGTTAAGCACGTATCGTTGTTTGTTGTTTACTTAAACTATGCCACGGCGTAATCTTTGGCAAATATCCGATCCGACCCTTTGATGGGATTATTTCTTGCACTTTTGATTCTTTTCCTGTCGCCGGAAGGAAGCTCTCAATGAGCTTATCTTTAAGAGCTATAGGCGTATATAGCAGGGGGGCCGGGTGGGCAATGCCCACCCCAGTATCGTCTAGTGCCCACCCCAGGATTTTGGGTTACTGATTCGAAATTCTAGGCTGGATACCTAAGAAGCTTGGTAAAAAATCATTGAAATCAAATAATTATCTACAGCCGAGAAGTCTAGTTTTTATTACATACTATTTAAAAATACGTTCCGTTTATTTACCTGTGAATACACAACGTGTTAACTACTAATTAGTTATTGCTATAGTAGGATAAAGTAATAAAAACTATTAACGATAACGAACACTTACTTCTTTAATGCGAAGAAGTTCTTTAATGTAAAGGCCCAGGCTCACCCTGAAAAATAAACCTACATACGCCAATGTTGAGAGCATACAAATAAAAATTGGCATTTTTAATAAAAATTGGTACGCTACGCTTGCTAAAAATTAAAAAAAAATACTAAAACCATAGAAGAATACAGCCAAACTCAATTAACAAATATAATAACTCAAAATTTTAATTTAGTGTCGACGGACACCGTGGACTATCCTCTATCTCATCCACGCCCCTTGAGAGCGGGAGTGCCCAAAGGATCGGTGCTTACCTCCTCTATTCTCAATACGCCAACGACTTTTCTAGGACTCCTTTAGACTCCTAAGGTCAAAATGGCCCTATAGTATGCTCCAGCCCTAAACGAGATAAATCGCAACAAATCTAGTTACAAAGTCTACTGTTATCCGCTAATGAGCTGCACATAACGCTCTAGGAATGGTTTAGAAAGTGGCGGATCGAAGTCAACTCGGGGATGAGTGAGCCAATCCTGTTTAATTTTCATTCGGAATACCAACGAAAGAAACCGAAAAGGTATGACTAACATTCAAACAGCACATAATCATTGTAGCTAATAAGGCAAAATACGTAATGCTAATGTATCGTCTGGTTCTGGTACCTCTGACATAATGAATCATCTAGAATAATGAAATTGTGAAATAAACAAACTAGTAAAGAACAAAATCTATAAAAAAAAACATTATATCTCCTATTACAACATTTTGCGAATGTCTGTTTCAGGCATATTCCTACCAAACTTGAAACCGATTTAAGTGATTTGAAATAGATTTCTTTATCTCGCAAGCGGTGACCCCTGATATTGGCAGAACGCTAAATATCGCAACAATAATATCAATACGCGTTTTCCGGTGGGCGGTGGACAGTCCGCTATCTTTAAAGAAGCTTCGATAAGATACTTCAAAAGAATCAATGCGCATACAAATCGTTGATTACATTCGGTATTTACCTTGAAATTTTATATTCATTATTCTTTCTCTTCTCTAATACCACTTTGTTGGTTGGAGGTCGGCACAGCATCTGAATCATGTTGTTAATAGTAGGTACTGATTAATTATATTACGACCAACCGCCTGCCTGAGGTAACCCTCCTTGGCAATAAGCACAAAGCTATGAAACAAATATCTGCGGCTTACATAAATATTTTTCCTATGTGGGAATCGAACCCACGATCCACAGCGCCGAAGCCAATAGCTTTGCAACTGAATTACGGAGTTCTTTTTTACTTCAGTCGTAAGTCATTTTTCCAGGCATTGGAATTTGAGGTGAAAGCTATCGGGGTTTTGATATAAGTACGAGATAGACTGAACGTGAACTCTATCAGGCGAGACCTTTCCAGCTTAATCTTAAGGTTCATTGTGATGCATTATGCCTAAATGTATTTCATCATCTTTTTAATTAAGCAAAATACATATAGAAATTCAAAGCCTATGTATTTTCATCTATATGCTTTGTTATTTTTCAATTTTTTGATATTTTTGAGTTTAATCATATTATTTTCTAAAGTAATTGATTTTTGATTTTGGTTTTATTACAGTTTTATGTGGTCTTAAGTTAAATTTATTTAGTTGTGAGGTATATTGTTACTATAATCATCATCATCATAAGTATAATAATCAGCATAGCTGTTGAGCATAGGTCTCCCCCTTGGAACGCCAAAACTACTGTTACTATATACATATATAAGTTTATTTTCATTACACAAATATTTTTATGTTTTTGGTGTTTGTCTTGTTTGCCTGTAAATGTTTCATCACATGTGTAATTAACTATGATTTAAGTTTAATCTTTTTAATGTTTAATGTGACATGTGAACGTTGGTGAACCTGTTGAATAAATGAATAAATAAACAAGAAGGAAATGTAATGTGCATGATTTTGTTTGGAAAAATGATTGGTAATGATTACTTTCTCTGTTATTATTTTATATTACCTAGAGATTAAAACTAGCCTATGAAATTTTTATTTAACGGGTAGCTAAAAATGGCAACGCCTAATTTATCGAGAGATTATGCATAAACTCATGGAAAGCTGAGCTTTTCCATAGTTATGTGCCACTAGTTCTGTGCACAAAATCATGGTGCAAACATAAAGACAAGAGAATGCATGTAAAAAGTAGAAATGACTAAGATTGAACCAAGAAAGGGTCAAATTGAATATTTAAACACTGTTATAGTGAAGTATCTAACCCTAATATAGGTTTATTAAAACGCTATGTAAGTGTATCCCCTTACCAAACGTTCTTAACGCTCGCGTCAGTTAACGATATCTCGTTTCGTCGCTGTCTCCCTTTTAAGGGTTGAAATATGACTTTTGCGATAAAAAGAAGAAAAATCATCAAATATTAGCTCAATACATTTAAGAACTTTATCGGGGCCCACTTTATTTAAAGGTGGCAACGCATTTGCAACCCTATAGGTGTTTCAAATGTCCATAGGCGTCGGTTACCACTTAACATCAGGTGAACCGCTAGCTCGTTTGCCACTTTCTCACATAAAAAAAAGAAACATAATAGTAATTATTAAATTCATAACTAGAGGAAAATTGTCTAGGCCCGCTATTTTGGTTAGGCGCGACATTTCATTGGATAAAATTAACGATCAAAATTCCCAGATTTTTTTATTAGGTACAGCAAAACTACAACGTTGATTCGTTTTCCATTTGTACGTGGTGATACATTTTATTTCTCGAATAAATCGTGTGTTGGACTGAACGTTATAAAAATTGTTATTTATAATATCTGTATAAATTTGTAATGTTGTATAAATTTGTACAAAAAGTTAAGTGTAAAGAGTTTACATTTACAATAATTGACAAGACGTCGTGATTAATTGCAATTATATGACTTACATTAATTATACACGTACGCCATAAATTGACAATTCAACAGGAAAAAAATCGGCCAAGTGCGAGTCGGACTCACGCATAAAGGGTTCCGTACCTCACTTAAATATTTTATTATTCTTTTTTTAGTACTTTTTGTTACAGCGTTAACAGAAATACATCATCTGTGAAAATTTCAACTGTCTAACTATCACTGTTCATAAGATACAGCCTGGTGACAGACAGACAGACAGCGGGATCTTAGTAATACGGTCCCGTTTTACCCTTTTGGTACGGAATCCTAAAAATTATTAAATAAATATTGATATAGTTTAGTTGCCAAACCAATAATTGTGACTTAAATGATTTGATTTAAGAGAAAATAATAATATAAGAAATAAATAGGGTAAATATTGTTCACCATAAAATAGGACGTATACAATTAAAATTAGGATGCAGGGAATCGATGATAAATGGTAACAATGACCCGAGCTGTCTTAGATTTGTCCCTGACCCGCATAGATATTTACGGTAGTCTAAAGTAGGGCTCATTGTTTTTAAAAGGTACGTCCCCATGATCTGTTTATGAGCAAATATGAAGCAAATATGAGTTGTACGAATGAGCAAGTCTTTCCGGGGAAGTACCACGACCTTACAGAAGACCGACGTGAAGTGGAAGTGTTATACTTCTGCGTTGCGTCTGGTGAGTGAGGTAGCCGGGGTCCACTTTATATGTAAAAGTGGCAACGCGTTTGCAACCCTACGGGTGATGCAAATGTCCATGGGCGCCGGTTATCACTTAACATCAGGTGAACCGCCAACTCGTTTGCCTCTTTCTCACATAAAAAAAAACCCGCGTCGTAGAACTTTTTTCACACATATTTTTAAAAATATGATATTTTATTGTAAATATGTTACTTTTAAGAAAGTTTACATATTTGTTATAAAAAATGAAAAATTATCATTAGGTTTAGTTTTGATTCCCAAAAGACAATTGCCATGAACTTTCAGAGTAATTTATTACAGTTGTCCTTAAGTGTTTCCTATTCCACCGCATGGAGTCTTGTTTAAACTCTGGTTTATATCTAACGATGAACCTAAGTTTGATCTACGGTCACAATAAAAACGCACAGGAACAATCCATGCGCTGTAGATTTTGCACCTTATTAATTTCAAGATGATCATGAAGAATTAATAAAATGGTCTTATTTGATGCACTAATCATATTCTAGGGTTGTTTCTTCATTCGTTTCTTCCAAACATTATTGTATAAGAAATTTTCCAATTTTTCAAGAATTGCTGGAGTGTTAACTTCGATATGCCGCCCGACATCTCTTCTTATATAGTTTGAATAGACATTAAAGAACTTGAGTTGGACAAAAAAAAATGATTTGTTCATTATACTCGATTTTTTCTTTTCACGCTTTCTACCGGATTTAGGTGAAGATTGTTTAATGATTAAACTATTATTTTAAAACTTCATATAATTTATACTTTTAAAAACTGAGGACGACACAGAGATGCGAACACGCGTTTACAGATCCTAATTCTGACCACTTCTAATTATGTGAACATAGCCCGAATGACTCGGTGGCGCAGGTGCTTCTGTGCCGGGGCCGGTGGGTCCGATGCCCAAAAGAGATGACTATTAGTGCTTCCCACAGATAATTGTTCCGGATCTGGCTGCTTGTTTCCAAGGAGGTTTGACGTTAAACAGGTAGGCAAAAGTAGGAGAAAGAATAATGGTGTATATCAATGATATTAACTAAAAAGATTAGCGTAATTAAAGCCGATCTCAAAAGTATTCTCGTAGTCGATCATTTATGTCCTACACTTGTGTGGCAAGAGGCACCGGAAGTGGAATTTTCCAATGTTATTTACATGATTATGTTATTTATTTACATCATGTTATTTATATTCTTTAGTGGTGTGTGTGAATGAAGAAAATAAAAAAAAAGAACAATTCATTTCCGAGTTTTTTTTAAATTTTTTACAGTAAACCCAAAATTTAAATCAGGTATTCAGTTTTACACATATTTTCCGAACCCGGTGATCATGCTTAGAGTTTCTATTAAGGAAAAAATGCATCCGCTACATACACCCGCTGGCTAAATTGAATGACGCCTCTTAGTCATCGGCACCTTTGTTTACTCAGACAGAAAACAAAGAATTAAAACATAATTACCGTGGTTTAATAAAGCTATATGCTGTATACAAAAAGATAAACAATTATCTGTTCACTTGTGTGCTCGTTTCCTGCACATCCCTGTCAGTAATAGAGTACATTAAACGTAACTGCGAATTAGTTTTCCCGCCAATGTCAATGACGTTTATATATTTATTCGCATTATGGAACCTGATATAGTTTGTATCGGATGTATATTCGAGGAAGACGCTTGCCGCTTAAGCCGTTTACTAGTCATATTCAATTGTTCGATCTAGCACAGACAATCTTAAAAATAACTGTTTGGTTTTCAAAACGGAAAGAACTTTTAACATCTCTAAATTTAAGATTTAATATGGTAATTCTACGGTGTTTAATTTTAGTGATATTACTGAGTTTTAAAGACTGTGCTGGACACACCTGGGTCACAACAGATGAATGTAAGTTTGTATTTTTTACGTTTATAAAATGGTTTCATTCTGCTTAAGATGATTATAAACTGTTAAATCGATAATTCGCACCGTGCGTAGAATAACGTTCTGTGGTCACATAGAAGGAATTTGATTTTATCAGCGGAAAGTCTTAATACTAAGTACTAACATAATTGTCTACGCTTTCAGATGATAATAATTTTTTTCGTCTGACTTATAGATATTGAGATTCAGAATAGAACAACGTTCTATCTGATTTGTTCTCCGCAGTACAAGGACATATGTACGTTTAGGCACTGTTTTTTGTACTGACTAGATTAAGCTTACTAATGTTATAGACTAGTGTAAAATACTCTATTAGAGTCAATTCATAATTATTGTACAATCACCCACTTTTAATGTTTTTTTCGTTGAAAACAGTGCTACATGCCTTTGTATCATACATATTTTCCGAGTTTTTAGTAGAACAACGTTATAAATGAACGTGTGACCTATTATTTTTTGGAATGTTCCATTGAACAACGTTATATAAACGTGTATATGTGATCTTGTGACCCATTAGTTTTTGCCAAAGTATACTGTTCGTTAATATACCTAATTATATCACAAACCTCAAAAATTGTAATAGTAACTGCTATGTATAAGAAAACTATAACCAAAATAAAAAAATAATAATTTGAATCGGCCGTCCTGAACAATTACAATTTTGCAGATGTCACGTTGTTCTACGCAGGGTGCGAATTATTAATTGCACGAATAAGCCGAAAACAGCATGATAAGTGTTTATTGATAAACAATAGCAGATAATAAACAACCCAAAATTTTATTCACAAAAGCATCTAATCTATACCAAGACATAAATTAAAAAGTTATAACATACAAAGTTAAGTTTTAACATACGAAATTATTTAAAGTTGGATCATACGATCCAACCTTGTTTTCATATAGTAGGTAACTGAACCATAAAGAAATATTTTTAATTACTTTTAATTTTACTAATAAAATTTTCGGGTAAAACACTGTTTCTATTTCTTTTCAAACTAATATGTAAACATTTAGTTCCTATGGCTCCGCTTCTGTTATGTATGATGTATGTTTGAAACTGTACATTATATTAAAGTAATCTATTAAGTTACCATAAGTACAAAGTGTTATAGATAAAGTAAAATGAGGATCATGTACGCATTAGGTACTTTTATTGATCATGTTGAATTTATACAATTGCGATACGTCTATATATAGGAAAGATTTGCGTGCTTCCGAGCGATTACTTTTGCAGCATTCGAAGGTGCTTGTCATATAGTTTGCGTGTATGAATAAACTTTTATATGAGTTCGACCTGAACAAATGTTCTACTCCTCCAGCTTTAAGTTACACGAAAGTTTGATGTACCGTCTTCGAAACTAATGAAGGTAAAAAAAAATGTTGCACGAAATCTACTTTAAAATTGTTTTCCTTGCATCGTCAAAAGAAAGTTTAATTACTTACATGCACGCCGAATTTATTAACTTAAGGTCTCGAAATCTACATTTATTACAAATCTACATACATTGAATATAATGAAGTAATTTTCAGAAACTCGTCGCGATTTGAATTTGGAATGGAGAATTTGGTATGCGGTGGATTGCTTAGGTTTACGTTTGAAAAGAATTACGTGGGCAAAGCCACGCATAAATCTAGGATATTATAAAAACAAATGTTTCAAATTAGATACTAATAAGTTCACGTTCAGCATTCAGTAAATTTATGCAGACCTTTTATCTATACTACCAATCAGCGCATTTAAACTTCTCGAGAAGGTATTTCGAGAAATATGGAACGAACATTGTGGTATTAATGGTAACTTCTATTTTTCCGCTTTTGTTATCTACAACACTACTACTACACATCTAGTAACGCCCAACATCAATATTGGGTCTTCCTATTTTACGTTAACTTAAAATATAACTCTCTTTTTTAAGTTAACATAAAAATAACGTAAATGTTTAGGTGGTCTGAAGTACATGAATATAACACTTTACTGTACACATTAAACGAAGCATAATATAACAATGTATATAAATGTGTTCAACACAGGCTACATTCATATTTTTTCTGTAAAATATATAAGAGCCTCACTCACATCCATATCTATCTCACTATCCATACTAATATTATAAATGTGAAAGTAACTCTGTCTGTCTGTCTCGCTTTTACACACATAGTCTAGAGCCTGAGAAAGTACATAGGCTATTTTTTAATTGGAAAAAGTGTTGAAAAGGTTTGAAAGGTTAAAGAAAGATATTTATTTAAGGGCTTCAACGCGAGCGAAGCCGCGAGCGAATAGCTAGTATACAATATTGAAATAGGTTTTAGGTTATACCCTCCAATAATAGTGGAGTATAAGGAAAATTTTAACAGTATCATTAATCTTCTAAAGTGCTACGAGTATAATGTGTTTGATTACGATGATAACTAGTTGGTAAAGAGGTTTACCTAATATTTTAAAAAGCTTAGGCCAAATGTTGACAAAGTCTAAATGAACAACGTGGTAATTATACGTGCCATAGCAAAAATATGAGGTGCAGGCATTTATTGAACGATTATCAAAATAATAACTTAAATATTGTAAAATCCAAAAGAATATTTCATTTTAAGTGTCTATATGCCATTGAGTGTTCTACATAAAAGCGTAGTTAGAAAATTGAAAACATTGTTCATCCGGTAATATTACAATGTGATTCCGTTTTTATTTTTTCAATCGAATCTGTAATCTACATTTCATAAAATATTGTACAAATCGTCATCTTGACGAAAACCTACCTACCTGTATAGCAGCGTTTTAATTTAACCGCCGATTTAGAATATTGATGAGCCATTAGTGCATTTTTGGTCACTTTTCCCTTAATAGTGGGTTAACACAATTAAGAAGATAATTTATACTAAAGGAATTGTCCCTAAGCGTTTATCATTTCCGACGAATTTTCGACGATCGACCGAATCGAATTTGTAATGTATTCGACCTTGAAAGCAATGAGGCGGTCGTAAGGCTGGATAATTAAAAATAAAACCCTCTTAATTATCCACTTCACCGTAATAGCTTTGAATATAGATCAGTGGGACATCAGTTCGCGTGATAAACGCTAAGCCAGTAGGTACCTGCGGTGTGCAAGTCAGTTCGCGGGTCACTGTCATGAATTCTGCGTTGGATGTCTGGCAGGTCGTGGATCTTTTACTACTGGATGGCACAAAACAGGAGAACAATAGAGTGCTTGGAAATTGTAACAATTGCTTATCATCTTTTGGGCTACTTAAAGTCTAAATATTTTTTTGACATATGGCAAGGTTGGTGTATTGAGTTATTGAATAGATATAAAATGTATTTGTGCAATTTTCTAAGCAATGGAAAATATAAGGAGGGTTCGTTATAATTTTATGCATCACTACATAGTATAAAACAAAGTCGTCCCGCTATCTGTGTGTCCCTTAGATCTTTAAGACTACGCCACGGATCTTGATGCGGTTTTCTTTATTAGATGGAGTGATTCAAGAGGAAGGTTATATATGTATAATACATTGCACTCGTGCGAAGCCGGGGCAGGTCGTTAGTAAATTAAATATCAGTATTTGTAAAGGTTTATTATTTATAAGTAATTATAAAGCTAGAAAATTTCAGCTTTAAGACAGCACGTCGCAAATTTAAACATGACGTACAGGATAAATATCGAGAATGACTTCGATATTGGCTAATTTGAAAGTCGAATCGTTAACTGAAAATCGTAAAGTAAACAAGCATTGAATTTGACGTATTCAAACAATTTATTACTTACTTCATAAAAGAAGGATGCGATAATTTTGTAAAAGAGATTGTATACCTATCAATTCATAACAATACTAAAGAAATTTGTTATTCCTGTATAAAAGGATGTTCTAACACTACTGATACATAATGTACGTTGTATGCCAATCAAAGATATTGATGTCAATGTGATTATTAATGTTGATGATGAGGATGTCAATGTCTAGCATGAATTCTGAGGTCCTATCTAGTTCACTACTATTAACTCTTTGGTGATAGTTAATACGTCGCCTTGGTAACGATTGAAGCGACATTCCTATAACCGAGACCGAACGGAGGCATCACGGAGCTACGCACATTGATTACTGTTATTATTAGTTACTTTAAGGCTCGGACAGCCTAGAAATTAATAAATTAGGCTCCTGAAAATTTAAATAAATGTACTTAAGTCATACTAGTAGTTTCTGGAATTTGATGGTTAAGACTATATTTATGGTAGGGTTCCCAAAGGGTAAAACGGGACCCTAACACTAAGACTCCGCTGTCTGTCTGCCCGTCTGTCACCAGGCTTTATCTCATGACCTGTGATAGTAAGAAATTTACACACATCATGTATTTCTGTTGCCGCTATGACCACAAATACTAAAAAAAACAGAATAAATATTTTTTTTGCCGTTTTTATAGATAATGGTACAGAACCCTTCGTGCGCGAGTCCGAGTCGCACTTGGCCGGTTTTTTATTTATTTCTTCATTGAAGTGTCTTTTTATATTATTTTTGGCGAATAAATATTTCGAAATATTGCGTTAGTGAATGAGCTTAGTGAAGTGAAAATTGAGTCATCGCTGTCTACCGCTTTAGGAGTTATTATACATCAGAGGATATTTATTGAAAATTAAGACCAAGTTACCTATTTCTTAAAATTACGAAAAAAAAACTATTTCAGTCCGTTTTCAAACCTACTTAAGAAAACATTTATTATTAGAATATTCAAGGCGTTGGCAAATCTATTGTTAGATTAAACTATTTTACAATGAGTTTTTTATTATACACCAGAATAGCTCGCAGATGGCAGATTTTTTTCCTACTTACTCGACACTTATAAGTATATTTTGAATAAATAATATCTTTATTAATTGCTTATGTGTTATTCTGATGTATTAGCTATATTATTGTAAAGTTTCATTTAAATCCATTCAGTAGTTTTTGTGTGAAAGAGTAACAAACATCCATCCATACATACAAACTTTCCCGTGTATAATATTAGTAAGGATTTTATTTTGCCAATGAACTTGTTTCGAAAACTGTACATGGTATATTAACAAAAATAATTTATACATATAACTATGATTGATATTGAGCGTTAATATAACTATGTGTTACCAGCACGACAAGTAATGATTGTCAAATTTTTGTTGCAGTGGAAAACCATATTTGTCCCGAGGATCTCCGTGAGTTTATGAAGTGGCATGAAGAGAGAGGTAATGGAACCACTGACGTATTCAATGATCTGGACTATGGCTCACCTGAGGTAACTGTGTGTAGGTCGGAATAACCTATCTAACATCCGCTTTGGGAATGCAGATGGGATTTCCTTGAGTTTACATACTGTGTTGTATGTGTTTTTAACAATCTGACGAAACGCCAATACTACTAATTGGACAATAGTCTAAGGTGTAGGTGACGTCACGCACAATCACGCATTAATGGTTTAACTAAGAGGAAGGCGACAACTTAGCAAGTACTAAAGTTAGTGGTTTTATTGATTTCATTTGAGAAATCCTCTTAGTTGTCGTATTTTGATTATGCGCCATCTTAGACATTTCATCATTATGTGAATAACACTCTTATTCTTTACTCTCTCATTATCGTATATTTTAAACTTATTCTTATACAAGTGTTCATCACACTGTGGATGGTAATTTCTACAATCCACTTATTAAGCGTGCTGTTAAAATATCTCAGCCTCCCAGGCTTACATGGACACAATAGTATCTTAAGTAAGGATTTGTTGTTGAAACCATACATTAATATCTCTCTTGATATCTATTCAAATTTAACAATAAAGTTGTTATTTTTCTTTTACTTTTAGTGATTTGTTTATACTCAGTCTGTAGACTATTAAAGTTTCATTGAACGTAGAACTCGTGGGATACCCTGAGCTGATCTTATGAGATTGATTGGGTTCTGCGCTGAAATGCACGTTCCGGCCACTTTTCTGATTGTGTGTCTACAGAAATAAAGAAAGGTTAATTTCTACACAAATGTATACGAGCATATATTAAAACTCAACACATTTTAAATTAAAGCTGTATTTATAAACAAAAAATCAATACTCTTAACAAATTTTTTGGTAAGAAGCCTTCTACATTACTTTTATTTGATATAATACCTTGACTACCTAGATATAATCCAGGTAGCCAATGTATTATAAAAGTGACTAATATTGGTAGGATCATACAGCAGCCTCGGCTGTTGCATTAAAGGGCAGGTCCGTTTAGGCCACCACGACCTCACAGAAGACCGGTGTTAAGTAGATCTTTTATAGTTTTGCGTTTCGTCTGATGAGTTAGATAGCCGGGCCCTATTTCATTAAAATGTGGCAACACATTTGCGGCTCTACGGGGGTTGCAAATGTCGTTGGCGGCGGTTATCACTTAACAGCAGTTAAGCAGCCAGGTCGCAGAAAGTGAGCTTAATAAATTTTTAAAATTTCACGATTTGGAGCTTTATAAAAGTTTTTACATATATAAAACCTGTTTTTACATATATGTAAATATATACAGGGTGGTTTTTCTAAAGGTGCCCAAATTCACACAGGAGGTTCAGACTCGGTAGTATAATTGTTTATTGAAATAAATATATTTGAAATAAAACAAACTTTTTTTTCAAAAAATTGTCATTCCTTCCTTAGAAAATAGAACTTGTTGACAATAGTATAATAGTATTACTTTTTACTTTTGAAACGAACTTGTGTGCGTGTTATTTATGAATGATCGCGCGTAAAATAAATGAGTTGCCCATAAATCACGCACTTTTTGAGATAAGTTCAAATTAATGTATTTAATTAAATACGAGTGATTTTAAATATTTACCATTTTTATATAACATTATTTACGTCTTTAGTTTAATAAAAAATGGATACACTTAAAAAAGCCTCTTAAAAAAGAGTATGGCACTTATGGGCCATCCAGTTTCGCTGCGATCGACTTTCGGTACGAGGTGTTATTTACAGGAGACTACAACGGGCCTCCCTGTTCCGGACACAGTCGATTGCTTTGGCTTGGGTAGCTTCACGAAACAGCTCTTTAATATGCAGCCGGACAGTGCTGAAAACGTCAACACACACTTCTACTTCTCCTCGCGGCAGACGCCACAGAGAGTTCAGGTTATAATAATAAAATTTCCACGCCTCTTAATCTTGACAGTGTAAATACAGGTCCAGCTAGCGTCCAGACGTAAATAAAATTCAGTGATTTTGACTCGTCAGAAAATCTTTGAATTAATTATGTCAAAATTTTTTTGGGATTCGAATTGAGTCTAACATCCCAGCCACTAGAATGAAATAATATTTTAATAAGCTTATTTTATAAATACACATAAAAGTTTCGAAGATCTCGTCCAGTCACTGTAACCTAACCTTCGGTTAGTATATTCCTTATATTGCAATAAGTTCTACTAGTGTGTTTCATATTTACAATGAGATTGTTCTCTAAAGGCGTTAAAATTACTAAGAAGACTTTTGTTGCAATTACTTTTATCGAAAGCATAATAACTTTGCGTTTAACGCCACGCTCTTAATTATATTATTGACGTCATATTACCCATATCCGTAGCATTTTCTTAACTTTGTGGTTTCCAAAAGATTTTCCTCCAGCCGTAATCTTAAAAGGTGGTCATACAGGGAAAGCCACAGCTATCATAATAATTGGGTTACCGCTTGTAGTAAATAATGTTGGGTAGTTCAAATTATACAAAATTTTATAAACCACTAGTGTACCACGACCCGCGATGCCAAAGCCCATCGCTTAGTTAACCGGAAATATGTTTAATCCAATGGAGTATGTTTTCGACATTCCTCTTAAAGTTTCCTTGGTCACAGGTTTTCCCCGGAGATCAATTCGGCTTGGAATGGGTCGACTTCAACCCGAAGAGGAGGACGGTGATGATAGTACATGGATTCATGAGTTTCAGCAACGCTTCCTGGGTCATAGATATGACGCGTGCCTTTTTAAATTGGGTAACACCTGCTTACGGTTTTTTAATTAGTTTTCGATCTTCCATTGAAATGACGCCTTGGGTTTATGGAGAGCCAAGGTGTTTTTAATTTGATTCATTGTGTGATAATTTCTTATTTAAGCGATTGCATGTTATAAATGAAACTAAAGGATTTTACTGATTTAATGCATCTATTATTTTTGTTCTCATTATCGATATAAAATGTCTTAAACAGAGTCCCATTCCAATTTTACCGAATTAATGTGGCAACAATCTCACCTCACGGTAAGTTTTGATGTGATCGCATATCACAATAACCCAGTATGTTTACGATCTTAAAAAATATTTAATAATATATGAAATTATTATAATATTTTATATCAAGAAGAAGTCGTACTTTTCTGATATACAAATATATGTATAATACATTATATATATTTGTTTATAAGAAATATAATTATGTCGGTGTTAGTGAATGTTTATTCGTGTTATCCTATTTGTACGTACAAGTTATTCAGGCGATGATTTTATAGGGTGATGTGAACGTTATAACGGTCGACTGGAGTGGAGGCGGGAATACTTGGAAGTATTGGAGGGCGGTTGCGAACACCAGAAGAGTAGGATCCGACGTTACCGGGTACAGTACAAAAACAAATTACAATTGTAATCTTTCGCGAGTTTTCATCTCGCGAAAGATTACAATTGTTTTCGACCCTAATTTCGCCTTTGTTCATACGTCTTAGACCAGTTGATTGTGCCTTCTAACGATATAATTTCGTAAAATTTGAAGTTGAAAGATTTGAGACCATGTTTAATATAAGTGCAGAGATTAGCACTACAAAAATTTTAATTTCTAAATTTGAAACCATATCATGATTGGAATTTGCAGTTTGACGTCATACTTTGCTCGTAGCACAGACTCCCGTACGACTTTCAGTTAGTATGAAGCTAGAATTTATTACTGCTTAATCATCGTTTCCTGCGTTAAAGGTTCCTGCGTCAACTGATAGATGCAACTGGCGCGAAGGCCAAAGACTTTCACTTCATCGGCCACAGTCTCGGCGCGCACATTGCCTCCTACGTCTCCTACCATTTGAAGGGCGTCGCCAGAATAACCGGTGAGTAATGACTAAGGGAGTCTATTGAATTGGCATTGAACTTGCGAATCACTGCCTATTAAAATATACTTGATTAAAGAGCACTGACCTGACCTTGTCGCCGCCGTCCAAATCCGCTTTCCTCTAGTTTCCTTACACGTTGGTGTACAGTCATCAACAGCGTTGTTATTGGGTTCCGTGAATATTTTGTTTATATGTTTGGAATTCTATTTAGGGATCACTCGATTTTTGCATTTGACTGTACATGCGGAGCGTACATAAGGTGAATTTCGTTTTTGCGCGGTCTATACCCAAAGGCGGTCTATTCAAATATATGTTAAGCGTCCCAGGTGTGTATATCAGTTTCGCTGAATGTGGACGTGGATGAGGAGTAGCATGGCAACTATGTTTACATATTTTCCCATGCACCAAGAAATTGTTGATTTTAAGTTCTGTCTTATCACGTGCTTTGCGGTGATGGAAAACATCGTGAAGATACCTGCACATTTTCGAAATAACAACAAGAAAAAATATTTCGAAGATATGTGAAGTCCGCTAATCCACAGTGGGGCCGCGCGGTGGCCTATGCCCAGATACCCTCTTTAAAGTAGAGCTTATGTCCAGCAGTGGGGCATGTATATGCTGTTACTATCTTTTTATGTCGTATTTGATATTTCTTTAATTGTATTCACGTCATGTATGTCATGTCATTCGTCCAGCAAACATGTTTTTACCATAATAACTTCTACTATCTTGACTTATCACCATATTCGAGACACAGTAATTGTGCTGTGGTTTTCCCTTAACCTTCGTGAACTTATGTAGAAGGTATATTTTTTAGACCAGGGGTGAGCAACCTTTTTAATCAATGGGCCAATTTATATTTAAATGTTTTTAGGCGGGCCGCACTTAATAATTTACGAAACTTTATTTATAACAAATATTAGAATAAAAAAATATAAAATAAAAAAAAAGTAAAGATTTCATATACAAATTTTAATGCAAGGTAAAAACAAACAAGAAAAGAACAAAAACACGAACAAAAAATATTTCGGTTCGGTATGTACTACCATTTTATTATAATTAATTTTATAACACTATATTGATGGGAGAAATTGGATAAAATAAATTCAATTTTAGAAATGCTTCGCAGGGCCGCATAAACATGTTTAACGGGCCGCAAGCGACTAGCGGGCCGCGCATTGCTCATCCTTGTTTTAGACGATTCTAATGACGCTTGTGATTGACAGGATTAATAAGATACATGATTGATTATTTGCATGTTATGCATATGTCGATTATGCATTTGAGACATTTGCTGTAGAAACTTTAGATCCGTGGGTTTTCTGCACATTACAATTTTTGAAAGATTTAGGCTTGTAATTTTAGAAGCGCTGCTGATACGAGGGCTGTTTTATTCTCGTTCAAAGTTCAAGAGCACATAACAGTACATCAAGAAAATGCATGGGTTCTTGGCACCATGCCGCGTAGGATAGGTTAGTTAGATAACTTGTAATTTGGCTAGTATTAATTATTGAAAATACTTTTTGTTCGATAGTGAATTTAAAATTTATAATAAAACCTAACGTCACCGGTAGAGTTACACATTAATTAATGTTTGTAGTTGTTTACTTACATGCGGTTAATACCGATTGTGGCGTATGTCATTTCATTGTTAAGTTTACCGATGATGTTTAATAATATGACGCATGTCCATACTGCGCGGCGATTAAAAATTGTTCCGCTTTACATTATACCACACATATAAGTGAATGTGACAGATAATGTAGAATACAGAAAGAGATAGCAGTCTATAGAATTACACCAATTGGCGCAATCTGAGCGCCTCAGTTTCGGTGCACTAGTGTCATATCTATATTTTGTAATACTGTATACATTCATTTTCATCTTGGCTAGTACTGTAACGTAAAGATGGATTTTGGTAATGGCGCGCGCTTTATAACTCATTATGATGTTCTTTATTCAAATAATAATTTTGTTTAATGTTTAAATTGTCTGATTACGGGGGCGAGTGGGAAATTATGTTTAATTTTAAAGTCATTGGTTCGAATCCAAGTGGCTTGCAATGAATTTTCTTTTTAAGAAGTAATTACAAGTAAAATAATCACTGTGTTCGTCTTACCTCTTTACCAGGTGGTATGCCATGGAGAATATAATCCTGCACTAGACAGAGATAGATGAGGGTAACCATTGTGTTTTTGCCCTCATCTATCCTTTCCTCATAAGGAATGAAATATGTTAACCTCCTTTCTACAGAGAGCAGTCCACTGGTCACGCCGCCCATCGGCGAACTTAACATATCTTCGTAATATTTTTTCTGTTATTATTTCGAAAATATTGTAATAAATAATTTTAACAAATAATTATAATAAATAATTAAATATAGTGAGATGTAAGAGGTAATAAATATGTTCTTGGTTAGAATTCCGCTGAGCAGTGTTCCGGAGCTCCGGCAAAAAAAAAAAAAAAAGAAAGATATTAAATGAGACTATTCTGTGAGACTTTTATCGTGTTTTAATTTTGATTTTAAGTCCCGACGTTTCGAACCCTTTCCAGCGTTCATTGTGACGGGACATATTATTGAGTTGTTTAACGTGTTAATGTCAAAGTTTATATATTAAATATGTATAATATTGTCGTTAAAACAATAAATCAATATATAAAAAGAGATGTTCTTGGTAACATCTACTCGTATGTTCCATCCAGGTTTGGATCCAGCTCAGCCATGCTTCCGCACTGAGAGTCTGGTGGAGCGCTTAGACGCGACAGACGCGGAATTTGTCGACGTGATACATACAAATGGGCGTCTCTTGAAGAGGATCGGCTTTGGATTTCCTGAACCGACCGGTATCTGTTTTTAACTACAGTTTTCACATATCTCCAAGGAATTGTTAATCTATCGATTTTAACGCTGTTAAATATGATTCTAAATACGATACGGCGATGGGCAGATTTAATGTTAGTTACAATACATTAGTCTAAGCTGTCTAGATAAATCTCATGATAAATTATTCAATACTGAATATGAGTTTATTTCTTTTATGTTTTTTATAAATTTTAATGCAGTTTTCGACCGACTCCAAAAAAAGGAGGAGGTTCTCAATTCGGGTGTTTTTTGAAGTTATAGTTACTTCTTTTAGTGGGTTTCGTATAAATTATGAGAGTAAATTTTTTTCGATGCGCTTGCACACTTATCAGATTAAGATTTTTTGTTTTATAAGAACTTTATTTTTGTTTAATGTTTGTTTTCTTAGACATCCATCATCTATGAAACGAAACACATGATGTATGAAATAAAAAAATTCGTTTCGGTTTAGCTCCCATGTGGTCTCATATTATTTTTATTGGCATAGACTCCAAAGATATACTGGGGAAATAGAAAATATATAGTGTATGAGATATTGATTGAAATCGGGTTTGTTTTTTTGATTATAAATACTGACTGTGGTAGGACCATGCAACAGTGTTCACTGTTGCACGAATGGGCAGGTCCGTCCGGGTAAGTACCACGACCTCACAGAAGACCGGTGTAAAGTAGAGGTGTTACACTTCTGCGTTTCGTCTGGTGAGTGAGGTAGCTGGAGCCCACTTAATTTATAGGTGGCAACGCATTTGCAACCCTACGGGTGTTGAAAATGTCCATGGGCGGCGGTTATCACTTAACATCAGGTGAACCGCCTGCTCGTTTTGTTTAGTTTTGTACATATAAAACTATTGCCTAATTTTTCGTCCTTACGCTGTGTTTGTAAAGTGTGGGAAAACATGCAAAATATCTGAAGCTTTTATAAAACATCTTTTATTATTATGCCTTTGTTAAACTGCATTTACCGAAGTTAAATAGGTATCTGTAATGTAATGTAATGTTATAAGTTATGAGTCTATTTTTTCATTTTTCCAATAATGTATTGTATTATGTCAACAATGAAAACTCATTCTTGCTTATACAGGCCATGCAGACTTCTATCCCAACGGTGGCATGAAGCAGCCGGGTTGCTTTAACACGTCCAATTCAATATTGTCGCGAATCCTATCTTTTCCGGTTGCAAGTGAGTGCATTTACAAATAATTTTGCTAATGTAAATTTAAATATTAGTTCTAAAAAAATGTTATTAATGTTACCTACATTTGCTCTCACATTTCGGTCGAATCGTATTCGACAATAGAAGAGATTATTATGACTGGCAACAGAAGGGCAAAAGTGCGTGAGATCGCGAACCAAATAGATGGTCACAGCTATAGAACTAGCAGCAGCAAATGTAAATCATAGCGACAGTGGCTGCCGATTGAAGATTATGATAGCGATTTATTCACGAAAGCAACACTGACTTTCAGAAATGAGGTACGTCTAGAAGAGATATTGAAGTTTCTAGACGAAAAACGCATCACATCATTAATAATAATTAATTTAGAGTCATGATCTTTCAAGCCGTCAAGCGAAATTCATGCTGCTTTCGACGCTGGAGATGGGTATTAGTTAGTTTTTAGTTGTCATTCACAAGTGGATTAAAGTAGATTAAAGGCTTTGGCTCTCATTGATATCTACTCTCTAACCTCAAAATGATGATAATGTAAATAAATACCACCTCCCACTATTCATAAGTTTATTTTCCTTGTCCTAAGGTTGTCTGGAAGAGATCGCTCTTTAGCGATAAGACCGCCTTATTGTACCTAGCTTTTAAGATTTATTTTATATGAACTGTATAAAACTTTTTGTGGTGTACAATAAAGTATATATAATAATAATAAATAAATAAATATTTTAGGACACATTTTTACACAACATTCTCTAGTCCCAAACTAAGCAAAACTTGTACTATGGGTACTAGAAAACTGATAAACATACTTTTCTTTTGTAAATAAATACATATTATAAATATATAAACACCCAGACACTAGAAAAACACACAATATTTTTCCAGTAGTGTGGATCGAACCCACATACTCTGGCGCAGGAGGCAGGTACACTACTCACTACGCCATTCGGGTCAAATGTGTTTAGAAAGTCACTGTTACGAAAGTATTATTCTGTAATTTCACAGTATCTATTATATTTAGACAGGCAAATGATTAAATTTACTTTATCCGATTGTATCAAGCATTGAAAATAAAATTAGAATTTCTACTTTTATTAATTTCTTTTTTTCTATTCTCGCCACTACCTAAGGGCTACAGCAAGCCATTTGCAGCCACGGACGCTCTTACCTCCTTTTCACCGAATCGTTGATCAACAATAACTGCACGTTCAGAAGTCATCGTTGGAATTTAACTTACGAAGGGTAATTATGATGGTCTTGTGATGGAAGATATAATTCGCCTGTATTAATTATATAAATTATTTTGTGATTATCTATACAGACGAAAACATTATGTTATATATTTAATGTAATATGTTTTTTGTCCTATGTATAATATATTTCAGTATTATTAACTGCATGAGACAAAACATACTGTTAGAAGGAGAGGCTTGTAATGCGGCGCTCTGGCAACGAATGAAAAAGTCTCTGAATGTATGAATCAGTCAGTTGTAGTTGTATAGGATGTTACAAATTTTGTTTCTTTTTTACTTAATTAGTTTGAAAAAAGTTTTTTTTTAATTATGGATTTTATTTAACGTTAATATTTTTTTATGATTATTGGCAAGTAGCGTTAGACGTGTGTTTATTTATTGTCGCGATGGACACGCTGTATATATATATATATATATATATATATATATATATATATATATATATATATATAAGTGTACCTATCGTAACAGACAAGGCGATCCTCTACATCGCATAGACAATGTTTACTCAGAATATCGTCGGCGGCTCAACGGGGCTATATTGTAAGGAGACAATGTCCCCAGTGTGAACGCGAGTTTAGAGGCGGCCTGTGACAGAATAGCGTCCTGCTCCGAGATGGGGATAAGTGCAGTGGGCGGAAATGGCCTGCCGCGGGCCAAGGGGACCTATTTCGTGCTCACCACCGAGAGGGAACCCTATTGTCGTAAGTCAAAATACAATTTTGAAATGAAACATGACGTCTGCCTTCGCAGACAATCGACGTTAGCACAGCAAAGAAAAAAAAAATGTGTGCGTGTACTAGCGTACACTCGTAAGAAGTGAAACTTTTTTATGACGTTATTTTTCAAAAAATAATTTACTAAAAGGCTTATATAAAGTTTAATAAAAGGCTTTTATTATCATAGACATAAATACAAATTCTACAATTATTTCATTTTAGCTTTGTATAATATTTAGTTTCTTATTTGTAATACATAGGTGGCGTTAGTAATAAATTAAAACACACTATGGTTTAACCGTTGTAATTAGTATGAGAGTCCGCAAAAATTGTTGATTAAAAAACTTGCACAAAGGAACTAACGCCATCTAGCGTCAACTATTAAAACCACTAAAGAATAAGGACGACATAAAACCCCTCATTCAACACTAGATGGCGTTAGAGGAACATTTTAAGATAAAAAAGAAAGATGGCGCGTAACGGAAAAATGTTACACTAAATTTTTTTCCAACCCCGATAAAGAAGTTTCACTTCAAAAAAAAAAGAGTATAAAAGCCGAGTATTAACTGCAGCCTGTCTTTTGGGTAAGTGCGTATCTCCCGGATTTTCTATTTAGCAGACCGTATTCGAATACATGTCGACGCCCATCTTGGAACTAAATAAAATATTGTTTCATATTCAGTTAGAAAATTTGTGAACTCTAATTTGTAAAGTGAAAAATAATCAAATCATTGATAGTTCAAGTGCATAGCAAATAAGCTGTGATAAATATTGCCACCGCTAACAGTGTTTTCCGAAAACCATGTTAGTTATCAGTTTTTAATAAGTGGCAGTGCCTTATCACAAACGGCTATCTAATAGCTTATGTGTATAATGTATACATTTATCATCACTAAACAGTATAAAATAAAGTCGTTCCGCTGTCTGTTTGTCCCTATGTGTATTTATATCGTTAAAACTAAGCAACGGATCTTCATGCGTTTTTTTTTTAATAGATAGAGTGATTCTAGAGGAAGGTTTATTTTATTTTATTCGGTACACAAAACGGCAAACAGTAATATACACATCACAATAAAGTTCAATAAGGTAAACAATTACATACTGTCAGCCAAAACTATGCGTACACGACATGCTACGCTAAATAGTTTAGAATTATGTGTAGTTTTGCAGTTTAGCATAAGTTAAATAATATACGCAATATATGCCAATACTTTTATCCAATCACTTGCAGCCACGGAATGGCAACGTCGCCACCCTCTTCCCGAGTTGCTGTGGGACCTCCGCAAAGGCTTCCGTTTAGACAGATCCGTCAAGCCAACTGTCGTCACAACCGAAGCCTATGCAGATCCGCTGGAAATCAAAGAGACGACTACCACCGCGCCTGGTTGGTTCAAGAGGTGGTTCGGTTGAAATCGCACCGCGAGACTTCAATTAAAGGCTTTATCTAAAAGCCTCAAATTCGTTTATCTGCCAATCTGTCTTATTAATAAGTCTGAAATTCGCAAGTCGAATATTTATATGCTGGTAAAACTAATTGATCTACCTAAGTGGTCTTTGAAATATTGTGCGTTAATAACAATGAGTAAGTTAGTTTGTTAAGATCTGGACTGAGATAAACTGACTTCTGTTTTTTGGTTACGACGAATGCTTTTGCCTTAACGGTAGTTAAATACCAACTAACATAGCACCTGGAAGGCTCGTGCCACCACCCAAAACCCATTTCTAAGACACAGTACGCTATTTTTGTTTCTTAGCATTATACGTATTTCGCCCCGTTACTCGATTCAAGGATAATTGGCTGCAAAGAAGAGAGCGATGCTCTTCAAAGTAAAATAATACACGCTCATTCGCCATAACTAGATCTTACCGAATTAACATACTCTCCATTGTTGTGATAGATACTATTTATAAGTCATGTTTCTGTACTAAATTATGAATAAAATATGAAGTATACTTTTATGATTGAGTGTTTTACTGTATACCTATTAATTTAGATTTGCATGGCATTTGCTTTATGCTTTGTTTGAATATGTGTTTTCGTTGCGTGTTATCGTGACATATCATATGTCGTTAGTACGGCGGTATTTGTTTTGGTCGAAACAGTTTCACGGGAAGACGAATGGTCTACAGAAGCACTGAATGACCCAGGTGGAATTTCGAACCTCGGCGTGAAAAGTAATCCCATCTGAAACTGAGTAGAAACTAATGCTTCGCGAAAACTAATTACAAAAAAGTATTAACGCAAACAATTAATACAATACAAGTTCAAGGAAAGAAAGCATATTACAAAAACTATTCTCTCCGATTAGTTAAGTCGTAGGTATTACGTAGTCACGTTATTATATAATTACGTAACTAAAGATCGGATGGAAGCTCACTTTTAAGTTATTTAAAAACCAACTTGACGTAAGTGAAAAGCTATTAGATACACGCGGATATCCCGTATGGGTAATCGGGGACCTCACATTTGCGGGCGAACGCGTTGTGTCTGGAGCACGTAAGTCAGTGTAGTGTTTGCGGTGTGTCGCGCTTAGTGCGGTGCCGCTATGTCAGTCACGATACATATTTTTATGTTAGGTGGACGTTTATGAATATTACATACTTTTGAAATTGGATATTGTTAAAGTTTAGTAAAACGGCACCTCATATTGCTTGCTTATGATAGAATTTACAATAAACTGTTTAAATTAAATTATAATGATAACAAAAGAACAAAAAAACAGGATAAAGTTTAAAATGGCAAAAGTAATAAAAATATGTTTTATTACTTTTATTGTTTATTAACATAATTTTCAATTTTACAAAATTGTATCGCTGACAATCAGGGAAATCTTTATTTTGCAATTATTTCGAAACTAATAGTTAAAATTTAAAACTAAATATGCATATAATCGCCTAAAAGGTAGACCAACCTTTTAGACTATTATACGGACACTAAAGTTTTAAAGCAATGAATTATAAATAAGAGAAGAGTAATTAACCCCATGCGACGTAATTTAAGTAAAATTGTAGGTATATTTACCTTTAGAGGTTACAGCGTTTAACAACTATCATTTATTTAAAATGGTTCGATGCAGTAAATCGTTATTCAAACGACTTCTTTTCTTTGGTCGAAACAGCAGCATACATGGATTGAAATTTTTATTCGAAGATAATTTTAACATTTGTGTAAGGTAATATAACTTCTGCTATTTCAAGTTAATATAAGTTAACCATCTACTCCATTATGAAGTGTATGTACTTACGCATTTTGTCACGTTGATAAAATATTTAAACGAAGAAAAAGTTTTGGTAAATATTATCTATAATTCAAATAATAATTTATATCGCAAGGTATGAAATCAAATTGTTAAACAAGAAAAAATAGTAATAATATAATCGATTGATTTCGTATAAACAAAAACGTAAAGTAAGCATAAAATAGTTTTTTTGTTAGTGCAAAAAATAATATACGTATGCAGTAAGAAATACGCATTGTTACTAATTATTATATATTAGGTACAAGATGGTGCACGCGATTTCGTCTGCACAGAATTAGTATTTAATAAAATACAAAAGTAAACAAATGTCTACAATAATCGTGTCCTTATAAAATAACGAGATAACATCTTTGTATAATTTTGTATAATTTTTATTTAATTAATATTATAGCCTTGTGTTGTAATATCTATTTCGACATATTATTAATGATGTTTGTTAAATGAATTTGGATGTGCATACGGTATAAACAAATAGGAGCTTATTTCACAGATCATTCTGGATATTAATCCTCGTAGCCTCAAGTGGCTGTCTCTACTTTCTTTTGGGGAGAGTACAGAGCTTAGGAGCGGGGGTAAACTTTACACCGGACACTCTTTATTTGTCTTGGAACACCACTTTCCCGGCTGTGACAGTCCGCGAGGCGTACGATGTTAAAGCTGCACAAAGGAAATTGGCAGAGCGATACCGTACAGTATTAATATTTACGAATTAATTTTAATTCACTATTATGAAACCGAAACGCCACTTCTCTTCTCTTCTTCTTCTTCTAATTGTTTAATAAAAACATTTTATTCTATAGTATCATCATCGAAATACATAATATATTACTTATACAATAATCACATTCAAATTAATTGAGATTTAACAAAAGAAGGTAAGGTATCTAGGGTAATTTCAACCGTTTATGCAACTATGTTGGAACTATTTTAATAAGGGGGTAATTAGGAGAAATATAAAAGGTTTATAACAAGGTTTTGTTTTTGTACTTATACGAAGCTTCGAACCGTTCCTAAGATAAATTGTTCTTAAGACGGAAGAATATTGGCACGAGAGTTAAGTTATCGGCGATCGGTATTCTAATAAAAAAGATTTATTTAATTAATTACAAGGTGTTTACTGTATGACAATTTGGAATGGACTGATTTATGATTACAAAAACTTATGAACTAAAACTAATGGTGGTTCCTTCGATGCGCCTTCGCCGTGCTGAGTCTGCAGTAATCGCGGTTATGACGTGCTAACTCGAGCTGAGCTACTTTTATCATTTATTTGTTTTCCCACAGTAGCATTTTAAGTTGAAACTCAAATATGTGATATTGATACAGATTGCACTTTATGTCGCAGTTGCTAACCTAGTGACTTTGTCACCGGGGCTCGAGGGTTCGTTTCCCACACGGAACAAGTATTTGTGTAACCCGTAGGTATTGTTCCGTGGATCTGCGAATTTATCCCAAGAAGGGATGACGTCAGGCAGGTGGCCGGTCGCAATAAATACTTAGCCAATACTATTAACAGCATGATTCACATGTACTAACTCCGTCTAGGTGGGATAAGAGTAGGAGAAAGAAGTAGACATAGAGACTGATCGCTAGCAGATAGTATTATGTCAAATGCAGATTATATAATATAGCACAGAGAGAGCGCGCTACACTCGCAGGTACTTCTTATCACATACTTCAAATTTGGAAATGATTAGGAATGATGCATCACATTGACATACATTTTTACGTACACAACTCACCTCTAGCACCTCTTAAATATAAAATAAAATTTTAAAAACCAATATTAATAATAAAACTTTTGATAAAATCCAAAATATGATATTAATAATTAATTTAAAGTGCGCAAAACTATACAATATAGTTATTTGGTTTGGTATTATATAATAATTATATTATTATGTTAAATTACTATAGTATTTTGTAATATATAATGCTTTACTTTCCAAGAGTTTTCATCTGTGATCAAAAGGCAACATAGGTACGGTTTTTCTGATTACAGTTTCAATAAAAGTATTATTCAAATATATAAAAAAAATAAACGTTTGTACAACTAACGAATATTTTCAAATGCCGCTTATTAGAGCATTCAATATAAAAGTGGTACCTTTTTAAACGTATTGACAAATTTAATTTCACTCATAATTTTCGTCGGAGAGTAGCTATTTCTGTCAGATACTAAAACTGTTTATGTTAAATAGCTGATTTGGTGCAACCACTGAGTTACTATCGAAGACATATAACGGACATTTTGTTCGGTCTTGGATCGTGCAGTCGATTGACTTGCGTGGAATGTGGGGATGCGGTCCCGTGTAATGTACCCTGGAGAGATATTGCGGACAATGTGAGATGTTTTTTTATTTTCGAACGACGGAGTTTATGAAGATTCTTTTTTATACGTCTAATTGTCGTTTACAAATTTTGTGTAAAAATTAATGTTTCGTCGTAGAGAGGAAAGAAAAGTTTAGTGTTGTCATATAAGACTGTTCTAGTAGGTAATTATCAACAACTACATTTATAGTGCAAAATTGTAAAAAACCGTTGTTTATTGTGTTCTCGTAAATCTAATATCAAAAGTGAAGTTGAGTATCGTAAAAAAACAGATTCAGAAAAGAGAAAGTTTCAATAGTATTATTTTATAAAAAAAAAAGTGTATTAATTATGGCGTCTGCAATATTTTATTACATGATATAGTAATAAGCAGTAATTAAGCTATACTTAATAAGCTTTATATAAGCTGTAATTTCTTCGTTGATTTGTCTCTACGAAGTGGTGTCTTCATGGCATGAATGTTTACGAGTAGGTGAAGACTGAATAAAAACTTTTTTATGACACTGTGGTACGTATATATGTACGTGGACAGGTAAAACGTATATCAGCGTGTTGAAATGTATTCTAAAAATTTCATCGTTTACTGAAAACGGTAGAAATTATTCATCGCAATAGGATGTTAACCTTCATTTGGAAATTACACGCTTACATCTTTTTATCTCCCGCTTTAAGTCAGCTCGTCAGAAGTTCAGTTATAAGAATTTTTACTCACGGGTATTTTCGTTTATTATATATTTACGGTTGCATGCATTTTTCAGATCCACAAAAAATGTAACGAACTGGTGGCCGAGTGCAGCTTCAACTATGAACCATTTGAATGTTGCGAGAGATTTTTCACCGTTGACTCGGACTTTGGATCTAGTTATTCTTTTAACTCACTACAACACAAGTAACCACTGAGACGATTTTGTCGCCACGTTTTTCCAACGATTCACTAAATGCGACCGTATTTTGTATCTGCGCACAAAAAACTGATAAGATAGAAAATTAGTTTGTAGTTGAGATATGGTATAGTAAATCTTTATCAGTGTTAATTTTGCTAATCTAATATGATGATTGAAAACAAGGCTCTAGGCTAGATTATTATGAAGAGCAACATTATATCATAGAGTTAGTCTCTTAATGAGAATAGATGCGATCATATTGCACCGAGCCGATTTAATTTTTCACAAACAACAGATTTCATTATAGCAATTTTAAGTAAGTTTCAAAGAGCGGAATAATTGTTTTTTGAGTACATACACATGTGTCATGGAGAATATACAACGTCTCGAAAAATAGAAGTTATGAAACTACTATTTGGTTCACAACGAGTGTCGTAAAATGGTTATCAATTTTACAGGAAATTTATTAATGCATACAATTTGTACACTGTCAATAGAAGCACTGGGCCTGGAGTTCTGACATTTCGCTTATTGTCCGATGCACAAGTAATAATCATGTTGTTTTAATAATTTCATTGGTTAATTAGTTTTTGTGCCTAATTTTATATTTTTATATTTATGCCATAAATTTTTAAATATTAATCTACTATGAAACACGAAAGTGACGATAACGTTTGACAGTAATTTGCCAAACCATTTTGATTTCATGTCTGCTTTCACTATTCTGGATTCGATGCTCAAATCAGCCGGACTAGTTTTATTAATATAGAATGATTAGTTCTTATCTAATATTACTTTGTTCGTTATTATTAAGTATCTTAAATAACTAAATGAAATTAATTTGGTTTTAGTATCAACTGATGTAAATACTGTAGTTTTTAGTTTTATTACAGTTTCACTTAGTGTTACTTACATTTGAAATTATCAAGTTCTTCTCTGTTTTTTTCTAACCATCTGGTGTGGCTTTCGTTATTACTCTGTATTATTTTTTACAAATATAATTCCTGCACATTTTTTATAATTTCTAGGTTTCAATACATAGCTCAGAAGAGTTATCAACGAAATTTCTCGACACAAGACATAAAATAGACGTTAAAATAAATGATCACAATATTGTATATGTTTTGTTCTCTGTTGTTGAAGTTCAGAATGATCCATTATTAGAGTTAGAGGACATACATATTAGAGGCTGTCGATATAAAAATGAAATACCCGAAGAAAAAATGCATACTTACCCGGTGGGTAGAACTAAATTTATTCATTATTCTTATTGGTTACTATTACTCGAGGGAGTTTATTTTAGATGTCCTACATTCTGAAGCTCAGTGAACGTATCTAAGATAAAATATCAAAATGAATGCAATGATATATAATTTAATATAATTAGTATCAAAGCAATAATGCCTGATAGTTTAAAAAGATATAAATGAATCCTAATTAATTCTGTTTATTAGCTATATTCTCACGGGGCTTGTCAACTCGCAAGTAACACCGAGAGATCTTTCAAACATTGTGGCTGCGTGCACCCAGTGAGAGATATATCATGTAAATAAAAAAAAGTCTGACAAACGTTTGTACTAATTTTACGTAGTTACTCAAAATGCTATTATGTATTTACAGATAAGCATTTGTACTGTAACTATTCAGGATTAAATTGTCTAGTGAATTATGAAGGTAAATAATACGTTATATTTTTTGGAATGTATATTGGCATAAATATTTTTATTTTATTCCTTAAATTTGGCTTTCCAGGCCTAAAAGCTAAACTGGCTATAAACAAAAATGACAGTGATGATAACTGTTTGCCATCTTGCGTCGAAAGTGAACTTACTATATTTCATACTTCTTTGTAAGGGTTATTAAATACCTCTTATTTGCATTTTCTTTTTAAATTTTCTTTCATTGCTTTTTCAACGAACATAAAAGGCGACAAAACCACTACCTCCTGGAGATTTAAGTGCTTATCCTTATTTATAAATACCTTTTGTATTAGCTAATTAAATAAACTTAAAGAAATGAAATATCATATGAATTAAAATAAAACGATTATTTAATCATTTCTAGGAGATTCGATCCAAATGAGTTGGATAAAGGATCTCTGATAGAAATTCGCGTGGTTTCTCTACCATCTATACGTTATCACAAGAATTTTCTGCGAACAAACTTGGATTTAGTTGGTATGTCGTTATTATATTTACTAGTTTAGTCTCTAAACTTTTGATAAAATAAATCTTGGTGTTGACAATTCGAATACAGCGTCATTTTAAACTCCTTGTTTTCGAGTTTAAATAAAAAACGAAAACGAAGATACGTTATGCCTAACAAATTTATTGCATTAACAGTGTAAAATTTTATATTACATCTAATTTTGTGTACTCTTATTTCAGTGAATGTGGGCGGAATGCTTGGACTCTTCTTTAGTGCATCGATTCTAAGCTTAGTAGAATCATTATACCTCATACTTAGGTCACCCAGAAAATTGTTATAATTCTTTTAATTAAAGTAATTTTTTAAATTTATTTTTGGTAAGACGATTTAAGTAGAATTTTGTGTAAAAGTGAAACATTTTTTTTATATTTTTCCCATCAACTTAATGGATTATTTGGCACATTCACTTAATAAATGAAAAACGATTTTGTTTGAAGATAATTTTCTCAAAACGATGCCGTAATTCCCGAAGATGATGTTAAACTATTATTGAAAGTATATCTTGCATTTAACGAATTTACGTTTTCCGTTCGGAGACTGTTATACATAATTTCATGTAATATTGAACATGTGGAATAGTTGGTTTCCACGAGTTTCTGACATGGTGTACTGTCACGGTTGTCGTATACGGATAGAGTTCTCGTAGAGTCTGGTACATGACCTGTGCGATAAGTTTTAATAGTTTCCGGACCAAAAGCAAAAACATCAGTTCCATGGATATGAATATTTGCCATGCATATAGGCGAGGGCAAACTATACCGCGTTGATCGCTATCACTACGTGTGTAAGTAGAGTTTACTGGTGGGAATATATTTTTTTTGTATGTGAAGAAGTGGCAAACGAGCTGACGGTTCACCTGATGTTAAGTGATAACCGCCTGCCCATGGACATTTGCAACACCCGCAGGTTTACAGATGCGTTGCCACCTCTTAATAATGTGGGCCCCGGCTACGTCACTCACCAGACGTCAGTCTTCTGTGATTAATATACTCACTGTTGCGTCTCAATATATTTAGGTCGCGGTACTAGAAATAAGGACAAACTAACTACGCCCGGGGGCAAAGTGTGCGGACCTGCCCATTCGTACAACAGCGAACACTGTTGCGTGGCCCTACGACCGATTATTGAAAGTAATTCCACATTCCTCGATTGTTTATTCCATGTCTTCCAGTGGCGTTGAACAACGATAAAGTATTTGTCTCATAAGTAAGCTCGCCGCATAAGTGTACATCAGAACTGAGTGGAGGAAAATAGAGATACGAAATGTCATAAATAGGGTGAAAGAAATTCAAAGAGAAGAAGAGGCATAGTAGCAAAAAACGTATATTTTAAACTTATCGATGAACCATTAAATTTTTAAAGGATATAAAAAAGATTTTCAGGAAATAGACCAATTGCAATGTTGGAATAGTTTATTCCATTTGTGATCTTTACATAAGAAATTTTTTGACGCCGCAGTAATTATATTATGTTTTTCTTATAAAAAAAAAACCAACTAAGTACGAGTCGGACTCCCGCACGAAGGGTTTCATACAATTATTTTTATAAATTGGCAAAAAATAATGATGTTTGTTGTATAGGAATCCCACTTAGATACTTTCTTATTCTGTTTTTTTAGTTTGTTGTTATAGCGGCAACAGAAATACATCATCTGTGAAAATTTCAACTGTCTAACTATCACGGTTCATGAGATACAACCTGGTGACAGACGGACAGACAGACAGACAGCGGAGTCTTAGTAATAGGATTCCGTTTCACCCATTTGGTACCGAACCCTAAAGATAATACTTCTTTGAATGATAATTAGTCAGTGAACTGAGCCTAAGATTATCGAACGATTTACCAAAGTTAAGATTGTCGATAACAGGACTTCCAGATGGAAGAATCTGCAAATATAAAAGATTAAACTAACAAAATTTTTCGTCTGCCAGAATTCGGACCTGCGCCTATATAATTAGGCGTCCAGCCGCTCTAGACACTAGGCAGTCATCTCAGCAAGCAAACATCTCGACGTCTCATCTACTTACTTGTTTTCTTGTATTTCTTACGATGCTTGGCGGTATCTGTACCCATTTTTACGTTACATACATTTGTTGTTAACGCATTTCCCTTTCCCTGTTAATTATAGTTTGATTTGTTGGTATTGCATTTTCAGTTTGTGATTGTAATTTGGTCTGAATCACACATTAGATATTGAGTGTGATTTTAATTACAGATATAAATCTAACACACTCTTCATAATTTCTATGAAAGTAAGTAATATTTGAGAAAATTTAATCGAACCCGTAAGATTGAATTCGTTCAAATATTTGGTATATAACGAAGTTTATATTATTAGATATATAATTATTATCATAAATGCCTAGAATGCCATACGTAGTATTTATACAGCACGAAAGGTACTGGTGTTCCCATCGTTATGGTAACTATGTAGTTTGGTCGATATGGTATTCGCGCACTGCTAAAAAGGTGGTTTCCGTAGTGAATATGACCATTTAATACCACATTTAGAATAAAAAGGGAAGTAAGATTAATTTCTGCGTCTCTTTAAAAGTTTAAAACCATGGGTAATACCGAGAGTAATGTAACAAGCGGTGTGAAGAAGCAAGCTGGAACCTCGGAGCAAAAGCTTTATAAGCTAATTGATTTAAAAGGTATTCTTTATTCTTATAGTGTTTTAATACCGTTTGTACCTTATTATTTTAAGAGCATTGGAAAGGACATAAGGCTCATTAGCTTGCTTAGGTACGCGTATTTTTTTTGGGATGATGCTATTCAAAGAGCTACTTGGCTGTAATAATTAGAATATCCTGTTTTGTCGATATACATTCGGAGTTTTTACAAAAATGATTTTATAAGAAGTCACCATTCATTATTTAAATGTGAACTTGTACTGCATTTTATAAAAACTTATTTATAGAATTTATCACCGTTTTAAAAAAAAGTTATGACAAAAATGTTATGAGTCCTAAAAATTTAAAAGCTGCTATAAAATCCGAACGTACTTTAATTAAATTATATGTGAACGTGTCCAAGGTAGTTCGATCATACAGTATTTTATTATGAATAAAACGATAGATGAAATAAATAAATAGAATTGGCAACCATTCCAGTTTTAGCTCGACTTTCAGGTGTCAGTGTAGCAACTAACAGGCAAATCTTAGAATTTTAATTTACAAATCAGAAATATGAAACTTTTATGTCGAATATTGGTCGCCAATTTTATATGAGTATAGCGTCTATATTTATGGGTAACTAAAATAATGCCTCGTTACGACATAATGGCATTATAATTCGCTTAATTTATAATGCCATCGTAAAAGCAAGGGCTTTGTTGCTGTGTAGGTATAAAGTTGAAAGTAAGGTAATTGTTGTTTTTCATTCGTCCTTTCGAACAGGCAAAGGTTCATAGACCATGCAGTCTAGTTTACAGAAAAACAACAATTTAGACAAAGTGATGAAATCACCCGTTACACGAGTTCACCCATCAGGGCACGATATTCAAATAGTATGTATATAATATTTATTAACATGTATATACAAATAATAATAGGCTATACAAGAGTTCTTTACTTTGCTTTACAAAGCGAAAACCTCGGACCACATAGGATAACTCGTCGTCAGATCCCTCATAGGAAGTGTTGTACACGCAAAAAAAAAAAGTTATCACGTAGCACGGTAGTTTACTTGTTCGATTAAAATCAACAATAACGAAAATAACCGTTAACCATGCCGATGTAATTGAATGGAAATTCAGTAAGCTCGATACAGGAAGATGACCGACTTAGCCGTCAAGTCCGCTCTCTCAGTTCCTGTATCGACCTTGACACTTAAGCTTAAGCGTACTACTTGACGTTTCCAAGAGGTTCCAATAGATGGTGTTGTAATCAAATTATGGTGCCACATCATGATTCTGCGACATATATGTGTGTATGAAGTTAGTAATAGCCGTTATTTTTGAATCATTAAAACTTTTGAGAGACATTATTGACTTAATATTTAAAACAGTCCAAACCAAACCCCCATGTCCAATCGTGTATGTACTGACTAGGCTCAGACCCATCAGACGCCCTTCATCACGGCGATGGTGAAGAGTTTGCGGTTGCAACGTAGAATTGGACGTGAGTTTTAATTATAAGACGTTTTATTTACTTATAGGCACTAAGAAATTCTTAAACATTTTTGTGGTAATCTTCTAAGTTTTAAGATTATTGTTTCAAGGTGGTGGACTACTGGTAGACATGATGAAGAGGGCCGTCCAAAATAAGCAGTACGCGGAGATCGATCATGCAATTAAGACGAAAGTGGAACCCTTTCTCTACAATAAGGGCAAAGGCCGCTACATTCCCATATCGCATCTTGTTTTACTGCGGAACAAGGAAAGACCAAGGCACAAGCTGGTAATATATATCATATGAAGCAATAAAAAGAGGAGAAACCATTTTAATTTTATTACTTTCTTTCCGGCTCTCCGGTTTTACTTTCATGACTGTTCGGCATTTTGAAGGAATTGTCCATAACAGATAGTGTTGGGATAGTTAACAAACGTTTTATTAACAAACGTTTCTATTACAGAGTATCTTATCGCATATTTTCTCTGTTAGTTGCCCCCTTTAAGAGGCATGGAGAATCCTGACGAAGAGTTCGACGTGGAGAAGGATTGGCCTGTGGTGACGCAAGAGGAGTACGATGCTAATCCTTCTGGCTACCGAGAGCTGTGCTGGGATTTAAAGGTGATGGAAAAAACTTTTTCCTTCCAAAAAATGCAGCTTCTCAACGCCGCGTCAAAAATACCATTACAGAACACATAGCTGATGATCAGAACGGGAGTTGGATAAATAAGCCTACGTTTCGGACCACATCATAGACCACCATGATATAATGTTAGTTATATAATATTACAGAGCTGTGATAGCTCAGTGTCCGGGCGGTCGCCTTTAATTCAATATACTCGAGCAACGATCGAGAGTTCGATCCCCGGTGCAGGCACCAATGAAGTTTTTAACTTTAAGTGCTGGCTTATCACGTGCTCCGCGGTGAAGGAAAACATCGCGAGGAAACCTACAAATGTACGAATATTTCATTCGCATATTTTCTTCTGCATATTTTCGAAATAATAACAAGAAAAATATTTTTCGAAATATGTGAAGTCCGCCAATCCGCAGTGGGGCCGCGTGGTGGACTATGCCTTGATACCCTCTGTATAGAGGAGGCCTTTGCCCAGCAGTGGGATATGAATAGGCTGTTACTTTACTTTACTTTACTTTTATATAAAATTTGACTAATTAAATATTTTTGAAGTAAAAGATATAAAAAAACGTAATTTCAAACAAAGAATATGGTTGAGCTATACGATATTGGGATCCCTAATCCATAAAATAAAATCTTAGCGCACTAATACTGTACAATATTCGTATACTTTAATGATATAGATGATTTATGCTAAATAGTTTTATTTTATAACTTTAATAAATTTTTCACCCAGGAGCGAGGAGCAGTCGGAGAAACTATACTTCATCTATGCTTACTCAACGCCACGTCCCTATTGGCGGATTTGGCGAAGCGATTACTGCGTTTCTATCCTAAGCTCATAAACGACATTTATATGAGCGATGAATATTATGGTGTGTACAGTTACTTTATATTTATTATACGAATAAAAGATTTGAAGAAATCTATTACAAGGGTACCAGTTTCCTTTAAATCTTTGTACATATATTTTAGACATGAAGCCAAGTCAGTCTATAGATAAAGAATTGGTTATATTAAAATTATGCGGATGTAAGATTATCTTATTATATTAAACAGAGAAATGGAATGAACCTGTTAAAAATCTCTTCATTCGTATAAAGTCAATAGTATAAAAAGGGCAAATTATTTTTTGTAGAATTGTATGTAGAATTAGTTCGAATTTTTCATGTTTCGCAACTGTATACGCCAGTGGAATTGCGTTAAAGGTGATACCTATTTTAGGAAAGGTATTAAAATAATTCTAGGGTGACTAATAGAAAGGGGTGAAATAGAGAGTTCGTCTCTAAGGACGTTTTCCCAGAGAGTTGTATACAACGCGGCTAGTCTATATAGAACTCTTTCTTGTCCTTCAAAGTGAACGCATATTCAAACTTTATTGAAAAGGATTTTTTTGTAATAAAAACAACATTAATAATCATTAATTTTCTTAATAGAAAGTGCTTGGAGTATCAATTTGATAAAAGGCTTGATAGCGTAGCTTTCAAGGCATCAGGAAATTGCTAAAACTTCCTCTATACATAATTTTAGATATAAACTGATACGCAAATATCTGCTTAACAGTTTCGGAATTTTGTTTACACAGTTTGTTTTAGAGGGTAAAAAATTATCTTCTGTTTGCGGAAAACTAGTAATTAAATTGAGGCTATAAAGCTTGGCTTAAAGAAAATATATTTATTTGTTAATATTATGGCTTCACTACATAGCATAAAACAAAGTCGTCCCGCTGTCTGTCTGTCCCTATGTATGGTTAGATCTTCAAAAATACGCAACGGATCTTGATGTGTTTTTTTTACTAGATAGAGTGATTCAAGAGGAAGGTATATATGTATAATACATTTCACCCGTGTGAAGCCAGGGCGGGTCGCAGGTTAAGACATATAAAAGATAATGGCTCAGTGGCGCAGTTGCTAAGTTATTCCGTCGGCGCCGGGGGGCCGTGAGTCGTCGTCGGTTGGGTTCCCACATGGGATAAGTATTTGCGTGATCCACAAATGATGTTCCGGATCTGGATGTTTATTCCCAAGAAGGGTCGAAGTCAGATAGGCGACCAGTCGTAAAAACCTATCCAATACGATGATCCGTTTGATTCACATGTTGTGCTGACGCTAATTAGTTAGAATAGGGGTAGGGGAAAGAAGAATATATAGACGAGAATCTAAAAATGTTTCACAACACTGTATTAGAGAACTATAATTCCTAAGTTTTATACAAACAATTTTTAGGTACCTACCGGAAAAATATCCGGTACGTTTCACTTTCGAGTTCACATTTTTCCATCCCATTTCTTGTGTAGTTAATATGATCAATAAGTTAACTATGCAGAAAGATAGATATAAAGCCTGCAGGGCTAAGTTGTTTCATCATCATCATCATTTCAGCCTGTTTGAGTCCACTGCTGAACATAGGCCTCCCCCATAAGTTGTTTGGGAGTTCTTAATTTAAATGTCGAGAAAACTTAAAATAGATGGAGATCTTTTGAAACGTAAAAATAAATACGTGATTTCAAGTGAAGTATGAAGTATTAGTAATAGTAGGGGTCTACGATTATTTTAATTTTGCTTGCATAATACTTGAATGTCCCTTTATTATCAATTAATGGGGGAGTAGTAGATGTGTCATTTGGAAGTCCCACTAATAATACTAATCCTTTATTAGAATTTAACATAATTCAGTTTCTTTTAGCTGTTGTCAATATAATAACTTTTGAATGTCGTTTCACCTGTAATTGAGATACCATTTAGTTTAAGATACTATACAGCGTGTCGTTACCATCGCGACAATAAATGAACACACGTCTAACGCTACTTGCCAATAATCATAAAAAAATATTAACGTTAAACAAAATCCATAATTAAAAAAAAATTTTTTCAAACAAACTAATTAAGTAAAAAAGAAACAAAATTTGTAACACCTATACAACTCGCACCACAGCGTCGTATTACAAGCCTCTCCTTCTAACAGTATGTTTTGTCTCTTTTAAATACATTCAACCCATTCATATGCTTTGTGACATTTACAAATGAACTTTACGTTACGCTTTTATAGGTAAGGGTGTTCTAAAATTCTTTGTTTTGGAAAATTTAATAACTCTGTAAATATTGATGTTTAAAGAATTTAAATGTTTAATACAACTTTAAAAAGTTATCCCCTATATGTGTGTTCATTTATTGTCGCGATGGTAGCGACACGCTGTATACTTATTTATGTTTTAGGCTTGTTTTGGTGGGTATCTTGTTGGTGAAGTAAATATATAAATAAAGAATTATGATCTATTTTCTCAAGGTGAGAGCGTACTCCATATGACAATAGTTAATGAGGATCCGACGATGGTCAAGTTCCTGCTGGACGCGGGCGCGGACTACCACGAGCGTTGCTGCGGCAACTTCATGTGCCCCGAAGACCAGAAGGCGTCCCGCTCCGATTCCCTGGACCACGAATGGGTCAACGTGCAGCCGCACACAAACTACGAAGGGTGCGTTGTAAATAAAAGTAAAGTTTCAGCCTATATGCCCTACTGCTGGGCAGAGTCCTCCTCTGTAGAGGGTATCAGGGCATAGTCCACCAAGTGGTCCCACTGCAGATTGGCGGACTTCACATATCTTAGAAAAATATTTATTATTATTTCGAAAATATGCAGCTTTCCTCACGATGTTTTCCTTCAACGCTGAGTACGTGATAAGACCTGTCTTAAAATTAACAATTTCATTGTAGCCGGCACCGGGGATCGAACTCATTTTGCTCGAGTATAAAAAAATAAAGGCGAGCGCAGGGACGAGCTATCATCACTCTATCTATTAGATTAGCTATGCCTATTAGATGATAATAGATAGAGCCATGATAGCTCACTATCATGGTTCTATCTATCTATAAGATTAGACTTCATGAATGACTCAATGGTTAGGCGATCCCCTTGCTAACTACCGTTCTAAGTTCAATTCCGAAACGGGACAAAAACTTATGTGATCCATTAAATGTTGTTCGAATTTCGGTTGTGCTTTTCATATTTATCAAATTCCTGTGACATGCGAAATATTTCCTAAAAGTAAACTAAAAGAAATAAAAAAATAAAAATGCAATACTTTCTGTTTTTATCAACTTCAAGCACCAGCAATTACTTACACTTTTTGAGCACTAGGGACAAAGTTGTTTGCGATCCGCCCTTTGAGGCAGCTAAAGTATTTTAAGTACATCTACATATTGCTGGAGTGCTTTTGAAGTGATGCGAAACGGAACGCCATTTTCAAAAGTATAAAGTTCCATATTAAAATATAACTTTCACTAGCGTTGAGGTTTATACACGTCTTCGGTATAGTGTTTTCCTTCTCAATGTATATAGGTACTTAACTGAAGGTATATTCGTAAGTTATTCTTTAGTTTTCGATCTTCTCTTTAAATGAATAACTTATTTAATTTATTCGTCAGGATAGAATAAGGGCTTTAAGAATCTTTAAACAATAGTTTCTAAAATAGTCCTTCCACAGAACCGGCATGTTCCCGGTCATTGTTGTGTTCTTTACCAAAGGAAAGATCTAAATGGTGAAATGTCATTATAAAATCTTCAAAACTGGTGACGTTCCAGCTATGTATATTGGGGGGAGTACCCACTAAGCTTCGCGGCGTGCTTGGGGCAAGAGGAGTGCTATCGTCTCATCTTAGCCCGTGGAGCTGACCCGGACAAGCAAGATACGAACGGGAATACCGTACTGCATATGCTCATTATATATGACAAAATGGTAATCGTAACTTCCTTTACATGAATAGAGAAAGAAAATAACTGTATTTTGAAATTAGCACGAATGAGTAGGCTCGTCCGAGGAAGAACTGCGCCGTCACAGACCAGCTTGAAATTAGAGACTCTAAAGGTATTTCTGTGATTGAGAAAAGATATATTGAAAAAATAAAAAGTAATATTCATTAAAGTAGTGAATGATGGTACTCTAAGATAATGAGTTACGTAAACAATTGCTTCGAATACGGAATCAGACAAAGGACTAGGTTCTAAGCGATCAAATAACAGAGCACGTAATACTGATGTTAAATATGTACAACGTATTCCCTTATCTCATCATTTTGCAACGTTCAATTAATTTAGATTCAAAGTTGTAATAAAACATGTGTACTATTCCCGATGTTAGAGCTGAAAATAATAGAAAACTTGAAGACCAGATTTAAAGAAATTTCAACTGTGGACCACGCAACAAAATTCGTGAGGTAGCCTGAGCCCACATTATTAAAAGGTGGCAAAACATCTGCAACTGGTGTTGCAAATGTCCGTTAAAAAGTCCTCACCTTTATAGAGTACATTCGACATGGCGTACGAGGTGGGGGCTTCGCTTAACATCCGCAACGTCCTCAACCTGACCCCTCTGACCTTGGCGGCGAAGCTGGCCCGCATCGAGCTGTTCGTGCACATCCTGAACATCGAACGGGAGATATACTGGCAGATAGGCGCGACTACCTGCGCAGCGTACCCATTGGGCCAAGTAGACACCATCGACACTGAAACGGGGCTAATCAGTAAAGACTCCGCACTCAACTTAGTTGTGTTTGGTGTGAGTGTTATCCGAAAGGATTGTTATTACACCTTACTTACGGTGCATTAGCCAGTTTTATCGTGTTATTGATTTGTTTACCTCATAAAGTGCTAAATCAGTTGATTTTATTGTTAAGTATTTTAAATACTTAACAATAAAATCAACTGATTACAGCAATAAATATTTGAGTATTAACGACTTCTGGCACTCTGGCGACAAATGCTTTTAACACCCCTGCAATTTGTTTTTGTCGATCGATTAATTTAATGTAATTTCCAAATGATTTTTAATTTATGTCTGGCCCAGTCTGCATTTACAGTAGCATTATTTGATTTAACTAGAGTTTAACATTTATGTTAGTCGTTGCTTTAGCAGTAAAATGTTACAATGAAAATAAACTAGAATTTAAATGTTTTAGTACTTACATATTATTTAGATTTAAGTTTATTTTTATCTGCGCTTATTTTCAACAGGAAAAAGATGAACACTTAGAGCTCTTAGACGGCATGCTGATTGATCTTCTGAAGACCAAGTGGAATACGTTCGTGAAGTTCCGTTTCTACCGTCGCTTCATATTCTTCTCTTTCTACTTCTTGGTATCCTTAGTTTGCTTCACTTTACGCCCGGGCCCACCAGAGCGCGCTGCTAATTCTACCGTAATAAACTCCACGGCTGTGCCTAACCTCAACTACACGGACGTGACCACAGAAGTTGGTAAGATACAGAAATGCCTAAAAAATAAAAAAATAAATAATAGTTTTTCATAGACAGTCGGCCCTTATTTAAAAGGTTTATGTCGTCAGGTCGATTCGAGAATGGTTTAGATTCACAATTTCGTCCACTACATTTTTTTTTATTTCTAAGTTGTCGAATTTGAGTCATGTGTACAGGAAAACGTCTGTCCGGTCCGTTAGTATAGTATAAATTTTTCCGGGTTTCTGTCCACATCACATCCTTGGCGTAAAACACTTACAATACAAGCTATTGTTGTCCCCCATTTACGTTCTTTTTAAAAATAAAATACAGAAGTTTGTTTATGCTTGGCTTACTCGTATGAGCGTAGATTACTAAAATTCAAGATGCCGAATGTTTCCAGATAATTGTATTACCACGATAAACGGAACTGATTTCGATCCTGGTGCCGTGGAGCTGATCAACGGAACCAAGCCGAGCGTACAATGCGGCCGATTCAAGAGCCACCCGAAGGATAAAGACAAGAGTAGGTTGTCGTGTTATTTCATTACGATAACTTATACAGGTATATTCTCAGGAGAAATCTAAAATGATTGACCACTTGTCGAATTGGGACGAAATGTTTCATTAAAATTTGAAAGGCGATCTTCGTATTCATGTCATGTTATAGTTCTACCTTTATCGTACATATTTAATTTTTCTTTTAATTGTTTTAGTCTTATAAGTATTTAGAATATTTAATGTTAAAACTTCAACAGAGCCGAAAAGGGAGTCCGATATGGAAGGTTGGTGGGAGGATCTCACTGAGGAATGCAGATTAATGAATCTCGATACTTGGCAAGCGAAAGTACGTACCTTACTTTTTATCAATTTGTCTATTTAAAAATACAAAAAACATGTTTAAATTTCTTGTCATGAATAATGCTGTACATTTCATTTCAATAAGCTGTGATAGTTCAGTGTCCAGGCGCTCGCTTTTAATGCTACCTTCCTTATCAACCAGAGTTAGGATAAAGGTGTTGGCTAGCCCCTCTGTACTTTGCCTTTGCCCAGCAGAGGGACATATATAGGCTGTCTTTGCTTTAATTTATTTAATCTCTAATTATTAAATGTGGCAGCGTCCACTTATCTCTTTCTCTCTATTTCTAATAATTCTTTAGCTACGAATTTGCGGCGAATTGTTACTCTGGGTGGGAGCGATATCGTACATCGGTGCCGCTCTGAGAGAAGCGAGGTTCTTGGGATTGAAAATGTTCATCGAGAACCTGAGTACAGTTCCTTCTAGGTGAGTGGAATGTAATTTTATATTGCGCAACTGTTTCGCTGAATTAATGACTATGCTTGAAAGGCACCGACGTATTAAAATGCGTAATGAATACAACGTAAGATTTCGTATGTTGCGCTATTAGTCTATGCGTAACATACATGTATGTATCTAGATTTATGAAACAAAAATCAAGATCTTTTTCTTCGTTTAAGCTGCTTTTTTGATCTCTTCTTACAAATCATTTATAATGTGCTGTGTTTATTCCATGTCATAAATTGAATTCGCCGATTTCATATTTCTAGAAAAGTGTCCAATGAATAGCGAAATAATGGTTTCGGAATAGCTTACGGAATAGCTTACGGAATAGCTTACGGAATAGCTTACGAATACTTTAATATCACAAATTTTTAAAAGAGCGTAAATCATATATATAAATCAATAAAGATAACATAGAGCATGATGATTACACTTTTATTCCAGGGTTATGTTCCTATTTTCTTGCCTGCTCATGTTGGCACTGCCAACCCTGAGGCTTTGGTGCGCCGATGAAGAGGAGGATCACCTCGCCGTGATTATAATGCTCACCACCGCACCGTATTTCTTATTTTTCTGCAGGTAGCGCTTCGAAAACTTGAACAACCAGCCAGTCCAGGTTTTGTACCATAGCTTTAGTGTGTCTTGTATCTCCTACAACGAGACTAAAAGGGGACACGGCATATTATCGTAACTACCCCGTGATGTGTTTATAATTACCACCTAAATACTTCTGTCATTATTAAAAACGATATGAGATAAAAAAGGGTTCGTAGCTTGAGTTATATTAGTTTTTGAATCGAAGTGTACAGGTTATGTTTCGACGGCGGTCTACCGTATATTAAGCATTTGCTTACATGATACTTACATATTTTAAATGTCTGCTGTTTTAGCTAGCCTATAGACTATGTAAATTAATATATAAACATCTCACCAAGATATTATCGTCATTCTGCTACTTTTGTGGTACACGTTGTTAATGCTATTCGTTAGCTTCTTTACGACCGCATGTTTGGCCGAAGTCTTAGGGACAAAAATATCCAAACCCGGAACAATTATTATCTGTGGATTACACAAATACTTGTCCCAGGAATCGAATTCACGAGTCCCAACGTTGAATCTAATCATTGCTGTAGTAACTGCAGTTATCAATAGATACTTATATATTTAAAATGATTCATAATATTTATATACTTAAAAATGAATTTCAAAATTATAGAGGCTTCAAGACTGTTGGCCCTTTCGTCGTTATGATCTACAGAATGGTGATGGGTGATCTTCTACGTTTTGTTTGCATATATTTAGTATTCGTCATGGGATTCTCGCAAGGTATCTATTTTGAATTATAAATTATACTTTAGTGTGCTAAAACTTAATTAATTTATTAGTTAATTTAATAAACCCTGCTTTTGTTTTATTTATTCTCCAACCATCACACGTAACATTATTGTAAAGTTATCCTATGTACTTCATGACAACTTTGACTGTATCAAAGTGGAAATATTTCGACAGAAATTTGACAATATTCCAATCATTTTTGTGTTATCTAAATGTTTTTGAATTTCAAAAACAAGATTTATTGCTTTTAATATTTATATATCGTTTCACAGCGTATTATGTAATATTCTTGTCATTTGACAACCCAAACACGCCGGAGGGTGTCGACGACTCCGTTTCAAACCCCATGCCATCGCCAATGGAGAGTATAATGGCAATGTTTTTGATGTCCCTGACGTCGTTTTCCGACTACTACAGCGCATTTGAGAGGACCGATCACGAGATTGAAGCTAAGGTGACCGTATTTTTTAGGATTAACTTTATTAGTTGATAATTAACATTTTTATATTGCTAATTTCTGCACTTATAATCGTTTCTTAAAATGAAGACAAACAATGTAGATAAAAGACGTTCAGATTTTCGTCGGTGTGGCAACTAGCCGTTTAGCGTTGGGGCTCTATGCGCGAATTTAAAAGACGTGGGTTCGATTCCCACAGCGGCGATAAACTTTTCGTCCTTTTTTTTCCACAAATTTGAATAGATTGTAACCTATAATAATTACAAGTAGTAGTCAATTAAGTGTTTATGTTACACATCCATAAAAGTAGACATAACTGTAACTAACACGAAAGTATTACCACGACCAAACGAAATGGCGCATCTTCCAACCTTACCCGTTCTATTTCAGCTGCTGTTCGTGCTCTACATGATCATAGTTGCGATACTGTTGGTGAACATGCTGATCGCTATGATGGGAAACACCTACCAGAAGATTGCCGAGACGCGGAACGAGTGGCAGCGGCAGTGGGCGCGGATCGTGCTCGTGGTGGAGAGGGGCGTGCCGCCGGAGCAGAGGCTGAAGCAGCTGCTGACATACAGCCAGCCGATGGCGAATGGGAAACGAGCATTGGTGCTGAGGATCAACCAGAAGGTTACAGTCACCGAAACGATAGATATTGACCTTAAACTAATGTTTCAGCTACCGCTAATGTGAAATTTCGCTATGTTTTTGAACTATTATCATCGTCATCATCCTTCTGCCCTTATCCTACCTAGGTGGGGCCAGCATGACATATGAATCATGTTGTGAGCGGTTTTGGCTAGGTTTTTACGACTGACCGTCTGCCTGACGTCAATTCTACTTGGATACAAATACCAGATCCGGAACAATTATCTGTGAGCACAAAAATACTTGACAACAAAATTACACGACCCCCGAACGTCGAGTCCTGATATTTTTGTTTTCGAAATATGATTCGAAAATACATGTTGTTGTGTTTTATCTCTGGGTCACACAAATACTGCTCCCATATAGGGAATTACTCGTGGCGCCGAAGCAAACGGCTTTGCAACAGCATCATTGAGTTATTCCATTCCATTCAGTCCACACGAAGGGCACAAATGTGTATGTAATCTATTAACAAATAGTTTTTTAGTAGTCAATTATATTGGTTTTACGGATATACATCAAGTAAAGGTAGCCTTTAGCAAGGACCTTTTTCGTAACTTATTTGAGCGGAGCAAAGTCTTTAAAATAGTTTCAACAATATGTCGAATTCGCATTAACGGTTTGTCATTTTAATCGATCTAGGACGAAGACAAGGAAGAGATGAAGGAGATCCTGGAAATGAAGCGAACCCACGATCGGATTGTGGCAAAGCGGAAGCAACGCGAGACGGAAATGATGGGATTGAAGGCACGTCCGCCAGCACCCGTACGGGACTATCCGACGAAGAAATAAATATAATACAACGAGATTTACTTGTTTATTGCTTTATTGTGAAATTACCCAAAGTTAGTTTTCAATGTCAACAATACGATAGAAGCTATTAAAATGGATATAAAAATTACCTGTTAAATTTACCGTATCTTTGGTGGGAATAAATATTTATTTCTCTTAAGCTTCCGGTATTGAATTCCAGAAAATAATTAGACGCTTTTAATATTAAGACTGATTCGTATTTTAAGAATGTAATAAAACATGAAACACAACAGAAGAGGTGATAAAATACGCATGTTCATTTTATTAATTTTTATTCAAATACGCAAGTTACGCAATAGTATTAGGGTGTTTTTCGTCGAGTGACCTCGTAACAATCGAATTCACATATGTTTTCGAAATTTTTTTTTCACACATGCATAAGTTTCGGCAATATGTTTCATAGTGGCAATTCGCACTTTAAGTTAGTTCTCGCTATAATATTTGGGCCACCGTTGAGATGTGAAAACATATTGACATGAAAATTTCATGAATAAACGTGTTTTGTTATTAGGAAAACACGTCTCCTATGACATTTACTCGTAACCTGTTAAATATTGAAAGAAATAAACGTTCCTAAAAACCCTATAAAACATCACAACTTAAAGGTTCTTGATTCTTGTTCCGTACTCAAAGGGTAAACGGGACCTTATTACTAGGAACCCGTTGTCTATCTGTCTGTCTGTTTGTCTGCCTGACCGTCTGTTACCAGACTTTATCTCATGAACCGTGATACTTACAGCTGAAATTTTCACAGATGATGTAATTCTGTTGCCGCTATAACAAAAAAGTGCTAAAAAACTTATTATAAAGCATAAAAAATATTTCAATGGAGATCCTATGCAAGAGATATAATGGTACGGAACCCATCGTGCACGAATCCGAATCGCACTTGGCCGGTTTTATTTAGTAAATTATACTTGTGTGTTGTATTCCAATTCTATTTCCATTGGGAATATACTCATCGAAACAGACAATTGAAGTCGTGTGAATTTCAAAATGATGTAAATTATTATCTAACAATGTCTGTTATGGCACTGATGCGTTTGTAACTACAATGAAATATGGAGGATAAACGGAGGTGTAAATTTGTGACCCAAGTCACCTTTACCCATTCAAATTTCTCTCTTATCTCATTGTTTGCACTTTAGCCTCTATATGGGCTGCTTGTGGTTAACCAAATAGTTGGCTACATTGCGTGTGTGTAGGGTTGTCGTTAACAAAAAAGGTAATGACGGAATTGTCACTGTTTTTGATTACATTTTACTATAAAGTAGGTATACTCGTAGATCTGTTTGAAACAATAAGTTAAGTAAAGTATGTACATCATTAAGCCCTTGTCTTATATCAAACAGCAGATTCAGACGTTCTAGAAAAACAAACTTGTATACAATAAAACGCGACTGTTGAGTTTTAAAAATCTTTATCGACAACCCTAGAATATTTTCAATATAGATGTTTGATCTTTTAATATTGACATTGAGATTACCTCTTCCAGCCACATAGGTGGACAAACACGTGTCCCACTAATCTGATATTTAATAATTCATTAGTATCTCAGGGGTCAATGCAATGCGCCTCCATTCACAAGTGCAAGGTTCTGTGTTGTCCTGTGTTGGAGGTTTAAGGATGTTTTACAAACATAAATTTCACTCGGACAAACACCCAGATCCGAAACAACTATCTGTGGGAGTAGAGAAGTGGATGTAGCAATGAAAAATCTATGCGGAAGTGGCGTTTGGTGTTGCCGTAACAGTGGGTAACACAAATAGTTGTCTCGTGTGGGAATCGAACCCATGACCCCCGACGCCGAAGCCGCGGAGTAATAATCATAATGAACAATATATTCTTTGTTAGATTACAAACACAGAACTCATTTTTGTGTCAATTCTGTTGGATTCTGTGAGATTTTTAAATTAGTTTAAATTAGGGTGGACGCTAAAGTATAAGATAAAGCTGCGCAAGTCTAAGGATTCAATTCCACCAGCCTAAATTACCACCCGAATATTTTTATAACACAGATAATTGTTTTGATAGATTTTTGGTCTATGTGCAATTTCATTGTCATTTCCATTACCAAGTCCCAGTTAATTTGTATTGGCTTATGTTATAGAGTTCTTAATAACGTAAATCATTTTATGTTTTATAATTATTCTTATTTTTTATTTGTATGAAATTGGACCTCTTGATTCGACTCGAAAAAAAGATAAACAAGTTAGGCTTATCAAGACTAGTGATAATTATGTTCCCTTATGTAATCCGTATTCTATTGTAACTGCATACCAAACATATTAAAACGCAAAAGCTATTTATATTGTAAAGAAAACTTTATTACTACCTATGTACCAAATTTGCTATGGTAAACATAAGCACGTTAAAGTAAAGTAACCGTCTATTATGTCCCACTGCTGGGCAAAGGCCTCCTCTGTACTGAGGGTATTAGAGCACAACCCACCAGGCAACCCCGCTGTGGATTGGCAGACTTCACATGTGTTCGAAATATTGGAAATAACTAGGAATAATAGAAATACAGTCACACATCACAGTTCTTTAAACGACTTTGTAATAGTTTCAGTACATTTTATTAGCTTGCAGAGCTAAAAACTGTTTAAGATGTGGCGTCGTTATTGAATTTGTTCGAATCCATTCATTTCATTTAATTTACTCATTAATAAAATTGGTAAAAACCGTGTGTGTATAAATTTGTGCTATGTTTGATTGTTTTCCAGTAGCTGTTAAATGCTATTAAAAGCTACCTGTACTAATTAACGCATTATTATTTAGTTCAACTGAGTGGCCTCGTGGCTGGGACGTTTGTTTTCCCTCTGAGATTGTAAGTTCGAAACCCAGCAGCATGACTGCACAAATTTCATTTTATCTATGGAACCTTGTGTACGTATATTGAGGATTAATCGCAAGTATCGTTTGAAACCGAAAAATCTCCGTGTGGAAAGAGGATATAAATATCTGTCTTCCTTGTCAGTCATATGGTGTAAGGCTGAGTTTATCATAGCAATAGCTCTCCTATTTGAGGAGGAGTAGTTCCTATTCAAATAAAATAGAAGCTTTCGATAACACATTATTCGTTGAATCCACTTCAAACCTGCGCCCACAGATGGGGAGTTTGTTTCCGCTGTTTTAGCTGTGGTAGGGCAACGCAAGACGTAATAGGGAAACACACAATAACAGGCAGGGGCGAATCATCCAGGGGAGTATCAGGGCTTCACAGAAGACAGGCGCGGAGTAGAAGTAAGCACATTTGCGTTTGGACTGTAAAGTTACCGATGCCCACTTTACAAAGGTTGGCAAAACATTTGGAATCCCTCAAGTTATGTCAAAGCTCATCGGTGAGGGTTACCACTTAATCAGGTGATCCATCTGCTCGCTAACTAAGGTTTCACATAAAAAAATCTCTGAGGCACAATGCACTGTCACTGATGTTTAATAAACTTGTTCGCACGTAAACGTTGTATTCTGAAAGGTTTATGGCGAAGCATATGTAATTGTTTTGTGCAATCGCATACAAAAGTAGGCGCGACCGCCGCTTCTGGAGTTGGTAGAGGTGGCGCGTATAAAGCTGTAGGATCAACGAACACGTCGACCACAACTCCGAATCAGCCATGAGAAACGCGGTGAGTAAGCACACGACGGGAAAGTGAAAATTGTGTGCACGTGCCCCAAAGTCAACAGTTAAACAGTTCTAGCTGATTTCTAATTCAACTCAAACAATGTGACCGGTGCCATTAGCGAGTGTAATGAGTTAAGAGTTTAATTATTCATACGACGTTTAACGGGCACATCTACGTAACAAACTGGTTAATTATGTGCTTATAGGGAAAACGTGTTCCTTCATTCAACTCTTGTTTAATATCAATAGAGTTTTGGATAAAACAGGCATTAAATAATAATCGAACTTTGTCATTTCAGGTTCTTATATTATCGCTGGTAGCTGCAGCAGTGGCTGAGGCGCCCTACCATTTGCCTCGTCCATCGTTCCACGCACCGGCCTTCAGTTACCCTCAACCAGCGCCGGCGCCACCACCACCAGCCCCGCCAGCAATACCACCTCATGTTAATTCCTTTCCGCAATTGCCACTTCAACATATACCACTGCAATCATTTAATCCCCAGTCCGTTCCCCAACTTAATTTAATCCAATCGGGTTATCATTACGCGCAACCATTACCGCAAATCCAATTTCAACCACAAATTCAAACTCAACAACAAGTTCCCGTGCACTCTATACCACAAATATCCTACTACGCATCCCCACAGCCGCAGCCGCTGCCAGTAAGCTTTCCTCGCCCACAACAAATTTATCAACAACCCAGTTCCTCTTACGGTCAACCCCAAGCACAGCTTCCGTTGATACACATACCCCAGCCTCCCGTAGAGCCAGTGAGACCGCTCCCTGCTCTCCCTATACCGGATCAGTCAAGGCCCATCGCGTTTTCCCACCAGCCTCATCAGTTCAGTTCAGGGCAAGGTTATTCTTACCAGCAGCCACAATTTGCTCCGATCCCACGCATATCCCAGCTGCCGCTTCAATCCCAGTCATTGGGTAACTTATCTCCGTCATCTCTATCAAGTTACAACGCCGACTCCAGCCAGTACAACACGCCTGACCCCCCCCCCCCCCCCCCCCCCCCCCCCCCCCCCCCCCCCCCCCCCCCCCCCCGCAGAGTCAGACACATCGCGAAGCTCTTGATTCGATAGTGGTCAATCGAGTGCAGAACATTATAAAGGAGAACGAGCATACTTCTGCAAGAGATGCAGGATTCCTGTCGTTGGTGTCGGGCGTCTCTTTGGAAAATGCAAAACCGAGCGTGGAAATATCGTCGTTCGTGCAAAACTCGGCTCTACCAAGCATTGCTGATTCATCATCTTTCTCGTCCAGTTCCTCCAGCCAATCATCTTCAGCCATTGCGTCCAGCTCATCAGGAAGCTATGGTTTACCAACAATTAGTTCCAGTGGCCTCTCTAGTGCAGGTCACAGTAGCCTAAGTTTCTTGCCCCATACACAACCCGCAACTTCGTACGGTAGCCCGAATTGATTATATCAAATATATCAATGGTCATCAACAAATGTACAAATATTATAATTGTGTAAATACTCATATTACATATTTTTGTAAATAAAAGTGTTAATATAAAAAAATGTTTTAATAATTTTATTTTTTTCTCATAGACTTAAAAACATTTTTGTGGGAAAATTATAAATTTATTAATTTTGGATAATATTTATTAGATCAATAGATTCCTTTGTTCAATCCCTTGTTATCACAAAGTACTTTCACAAGTATCGCATCCTTTTCCTGAAAAATTTAAATACGATATTCACTAGTGAAATTTCGAGAACAAAAATGCAAAAAATGGGTAGGCAGAGTACTTACAAAGGTTATAGAATGGTCTGAGGTTTGAACGACTGTCTCTTTCAATAGGTTAGACGAGTATTTTGACGTATTACCGTTACTTTCATCCATTTTTTGGGATGCTACCAAATTTTGTTGTTGTTGTTTTTGGCACTGACAACACTTTGCATAAGAGTCTCCTTGGACGCATTCAACCTTTAATATAAAAATATTATACAATATCGGTATGGGGTTTGACTATCCTCTTCAATACTATAACTCGCTCAAAATTTTTAAATGTAAGAAAATTATTTTGAAAGTGTCATAAAACCACTACTCTCTCACAGTTACACAAATTTATCCAGTGTTGTAGAGGCAATACCTATTCAGTTATTAAAACTACTACATATAAAATAAATGACTACACAAAATTATTATAATACATAACATTAACTTATGTTTACCATAGCAAAAATAATCCTAAAATATCATCCGGCGAATATCACAATCAAAACGAAAGAGTGCTCGTAATTAAAACTCTGTACACACATTGCCACTTTATCGGAAAATGTATTTAATAACATCCAATCACGAACTATTAGTAAACGAGCTTTAAAAGATATTACGGTTACATTTTACGGCTGGGACCTTACCATAAGGGGGAATAGTACCAGCTGTAAAACTAGCCATTTTTCTGTAAAACCATTCTGCTCATTAAGTATGTAAATATCATGTTGTTAAAATAAAAATAAAAATAAAAGATTATTTGAATATCGTAAGAATGTGAGAGAATTCTAGATACTCTTTGTCTGTGCTAGGGCTACGCATTAATTTCTGCTGTTGCACGGATGCCCCCAGCGCGCAACAGAAATCCTGCCCAGGTTAGCCAGGGGAAATACCGTATGGTCCCAGAAGACACTTGTATATTGAAAGTTACCTCCGATTTGTCTGGTGAGTTAAGTAATCGGGGCATTTAAAGGTTAGCAATGCGTTAGTGACCGGGCGGCGGCCACCACTACACAGGTGAACCGCCTACTAGCCTACATACTTTTCACACAAAAACACTCTATTCATAGAATTCGCAATAAAATGAAGTTTTACCTTTTCAGGTATAAAATTAGGTGCGATTTCGCGACATTGGCAGATATTCTTTAGAATATCCTCCACTGAGCATTGGCAGGAGACCGTCACTTTTGTGTGACGTTTTCTTTCAGCTGTGATTTTGTGTTCCTCCTCCGATACGATGGCGTCTTTCATAACCTTTGCTTCGGCAAAACTGATTTCTTTAAAATCCTGTGTGAGAAAATACATGGCGTGGAACCTGTCATCTGTCTATGTGCACCAATTTTGGTAATCGCGTTGAAAATGTAGTACTGATATCTATTCATTTATTTATTAACATACTTTACACTATCATTACTGATAATTAACCTAATCCTTACTTATATCCTTACTAATATTATAACGCGAAAATTTGTATATATGGTTTACTCTTTCACGCAAATACTACTGAATGGATTTTAATGAATATATAGCTTAATACAATAACATAGCTTATACATCAGAATAACACATAGTTTATAATTTATATACATATTTTTTTATATATATCTGTCTTTTTGTTTGAATGTTACAACCTATTCACCGTCAACCTATTCTACGCAGATGTAGTAGCAAGCAGCAGCTAGTTTTTAATAACGCCAAACAACAACGGAAAATAAAGAAATTACATATTTATTTACAGTACATGAAAGACGCAATCTTTGTGAATTCACTCAGAGAATACAAAAAGGTCTACTAAATTCGTAACAATTATATTTTATTATAATTAATCATAAACATATACATATTAAATTGTTAAATTATTTTTATATTGTTTGTTACAACTTTTGCTTCAATTAAAGAAGTTAAAGATTTTTGATACAAATGGTAAGTTGTTGGATAATACCAAAATTTAACAATGAAAGACAAGGCAGTTCATAACATGCACAATATAATACGTAGCAAAACAAAGTGACTAAAAAGATGATGCTCCTCAAAACTGGTTCGTTTTTATACTATTAATGATATAGAACAATACTTTAATTCACTGAATTTTTTGAGCAAGATTTTCCCTAAATCGAGCTATATAATTGCAATTAAAGCGCAGTTTTCAATACGGCTTTGTTAATTCGAATAAGCTAATAGCTGTTTAAAAATTTTAACCTATAAACATAGTTCTACAACTTTATTCTTTTAATAAATGCATCAGCAATATTTACATTTAATAATTCTAACAATATGATACGCATAACACGTTATATAATATATATGATATGGGTATAACAAAGATTGTAAACTACAGCTACTTTATTTTAAGGAGATATTATTAACATAAGCACAGTACCCACTGAAAAGGTAAATTTACTATGTAAAATTTTTGAAAGTGTTCACGTTTCGTTTTCAATTTTTGACCTACCTTTTGAGAAATTGAATTCTCTTGCCAACATGCACAAGAAACATTCTTAACAGATAAATTCTTTTTTGTTTTCAGTTCGGCGTTTTGATTAATCATTTCAGAATCAATAACAGGGACGGCAGTTGTGTCTCTATTTATATTTCTATTGCTGTCGTAATTGGTAACATTCATTGGTTGTTCAAATGTAATACATATAGCACTATGGGATTTTTCTTTCATCTTCGTCGTGTACGCAATTTGGGAGGTCACAAAAGTCGCATCGGACCGTTTGCTGCACGATGACCTGTTTTACGATACGATCAGAAAAAACAAAAAGTTAAGAAATAAAATCGTTGTTATGTAACAAAAGTTTAAAAATAAAATTGTTATTTAAAAAAAAACTTAAATGTGCATAGTAATGGAAGGGGGAAGAACTACTACAAATTTATTAAAGATCAGCTCAATAAAATAAATATTACAAATATGTGTATTCAACACCTTGATGTGAGTTTAATCTAAAATAGAAGTATATTGTGACTATAAAAGTCTAATGTGGATATATGAAACACAAGACAATTGATTAACGATTAAATTTACTTTTGACAGCATTGGGAACCAGCGCGGGATACATCTTCTGGCCGCAAAATAAATTTGTAACTTCGTCTAAAAGGAAAGATATAAGTTGTAGTGGAATATTCTATGTAATCAACTTCGGTGGGAAAATTCCGAAAAGTGATCAAGAGTTGTACTAACGTTTCTCGCAATGCACACCTCTCTGTATCACTTGTGAAATGTCTCTTCTTTTTCCATGGGCTGCGGTAAAAACATTTGTTAAGTGAAATCTAAAATTGCAAGTTGAATGAATTTCACAGGAAGGCACCTTACCTTTTTAGTCTTTGAAACTTTTTTGTTTTCCGCGACGTTTGCTTCGCTCTATAGGGGAAAGAAATCTGTTATTTTATTCATATTGGGAACGTTGTAACTGCGCAGTAGGAAGAAACTGAGGCTTTTATTTACGTTTCTTCTTTTGGTACGTAGGACTATTAAAATATCCTAATATGTTAATCTTATACTAATTTACGATTATTTAAATTTTTACCTTTCAATAGTGTTATCACCCCCCGTTATGTAGCGCTCTTCGGATTTAAGGAGTAAACAGTTGTTTTCACATTTCCTATCACAAAGAAACTCCTCATATTTTTCATCAAGCCACGCCGCGAAGCCCGCAAGTTTCACATGGGTACCCGTAGACTCGCTTCGTGGCGACGGAAGTTCCTGATAGAAGAAATTGTTTAACTTCCGAAAGCAATGCTTCGTGTCCTCTATAAGTGAGTGTCCATCATAAAGTAGATTCAACTAAATTATCGAACCGTATCAAAGTTAAAATACTTTCTGTGACAGACCAATCACAGCGCATGCTGCACAAATAGTTCACCTTGACAGGGAAAGTGTTACAAATATTACGGGAAGCGTTACGTTATTATTCGTATAACGTATTTATAATTTTTTTTTGTATTTACGTGAATACTGTATGGTTCAATGAGACTATTTTACGGATTTCATCGCGTTTCTTTTTTATTTTAAATTTCCGATGTTCCGAACACTACAGCGTTCATGGTCATCAAGTGTCCGAGCACACCAACAAAGCTACACCTCAAGCTACCATAAATAATCTCTTTTTGCGAAGATCGGAATAAAATAAATCACGCTAGCTCAGCTTTGATATATAAGGTCTTTTAAAAGACGGGAATTTAAATCAAAATAAACGTGATAACATTCTTTAAATAGTTTAATATTACTATAAACGTAGTTCTACTGCAGGTTTTCTCACGATGTTTTCCTTCACTGCTGAACACGTGATAAATTAGTAATTTGATTATATATCGGTAAGTATTACAACAATCAAGTTGCTTTCATGATTGCTGCAAGAAGTATTACATATTTAATTAAAGTAAAATCTCGTACGTTCACGCAATTTTGAAGTTTGGATTAAACTGAAATCTTAGGACCATGCGCTGTATTTTAGGTAGGTAGAGCCACGCAGTAGTTTTTGTTGAATGGGAAAGTACCACGGCCTTTCAAATAACAGGCTAGAAGTGGAAGTTATAATTTTGCGTTTCGTCTTGTGAGGTCCATTCCTTTAAAGGTTAACTGTATCTGCAAGATGTGGATGTCCATGGATGGCGGTAATCACTTAACATCAGGTGAAATGCCTGCTCGTTTTATAACGTTTTGATTTGTTGTAGTCTATGATGAGATATTTGATATAAACTACTTGCCTGAGTGTACCAACGAAAAGCCTTCAGGAAGCAGTTGGGATTTTTCCTGTGGAATCTTTTTCTCTGACGTCGATCTTGTTGCTGTTTCGTCATAAATATGGAAATAGATGAAAAGAAAGACTAAACAAAAATGAGAGTGACACGACGAAAACAAAAATGAAAGAAACCATCAGTTATAGAAAGAATACCCTTGTAGAAAATTCTCATACTCTATGATTTACGTCAACGCTGTAAAAAAGGCAAACAAATGAGGCTCCCGTATAATAATTTATGTGTACCAGAGCATGTTTCTTTCAGCTGAAAATTGTAACTTGAAACGCTGAAACTCAGGCTGACTCAAGTTATTTCAAGAGACGCAGTCGTAAGTATTTGCCATTTTAAACAATACTCACGATGTGGGCATTATATACGAGGGGCCTTCGCCCGGCAAATGGATAAACAGGGTACTTTGGGCCCCCAAAATACGAGCTGGGAGGAGATTCGGAGTCGAATTCATTTTCACTTGTAGATGTTGAAGACACATAACATTGTTCCATAATTATAAATTTTGATTAAATCTTCGTTGCCAAGATTGATAATTTAAATGTCAAAGAATATTATTCATTTAGTGATCACCATAGAGCATAGAAACTGTATTTTTTGTTACTGAGAAGGATATGACATTTTATCTATATATGTAATAAAAATGTAATTGATATTTGTCTGTACATGAAAGATATTTGAGAAAAACTGTATGACCTTTATCAACGCAATAGAACAGAAAAACAATGATTGTTAAAATTTATGCCTGTTTGTCTGTGCGTTTGTGCGCCCTAATCACAGAAACAGCTTAACCATATTTTCATAAGCTTCACTTAACATTTAGTGTTAGTTTTATTGAAATCGGTTCATAAATAAAAAAAAAATTGTATCAACTTAAAGAACCACATTGAATATTTGTGCGATAAAATGCTATGTAATAGCTACAGTTGAATTAGATTAAACCGTAGTTAACATATAATTATGGTCTGTAAAATGATGAAGATTGTTAGTTTATATAAAGTTAAAAATGAACAGTTGACACTTCCAATGTACGTTGACCTCAGAAATATATCATCTATCATCTTTCACACGTAATAACACCTTGGCTAAACTCACATAAAATTATAAACTATTATAAACCATAATCTGGTGCGGCAGGGGGTCGAAATGCGTCACCAACGATATTTCCGCCAATGTGTGGCGGGTCTTTCTCGACCCACCAGTACTGGGTAGATTAAAATGCTATAACTTTGCGAATACATGATGTATACATTTTTTTGTGCTTTTGAGTGACTTTGAACCCAATTTCCTTAGGTTTGATTCGGCCCTGGACCTGCTAAATAAGAAATGAGCCAGGACCCAGGGAAAGTGTTGGGCCGATATCGAACCTGAACCGCACTAGAAAGTATTTTTAGTAGTGATGGGATGGACAAAAATAAGAGGATATTTATACTATAATATTATAAAACTGAAGAGTTTGTTTATTTAAATTCGCTAATTTCAGGCACTGCTGGTCCGATTTAAAAAATTCTTGCACTGTTAGTCTATAATTTATTGAGAAAGACACATTTTTTAAGGACAATATAAAATAAAATGTAGTACATGCGGACGGAGCCGAGGGCGGAAAGCAAGTTTTTTTTTTACATAAAAACCGATAAACATTTCATGGTCGTGTAAATTTTAATAAAAACGCAACTAATACATTTAATCCATCATGAAACATATGGATAATAATATATTAACCTCTTGGGGCTGCTTTTTGGAATACTTTAATGGATTTTTTTCATATTCCTAGCCTTAATCCACTTAAGTGGGGTTGGGAAAAAAAATAATATTGTTAGTGCTATTGGCTAGGTTTTTTACGATCGGCCGCCTGCTTAGCAAAATCCTAGATTGGGGACAATTTATCTTTGGGTCATAGAAACACCACTTCTATCTGAAACTCGAACACACGACCCTTGACACCGAAGACAATAGCTTAGTTGAGAACTGCCAACGAAAAGAGTCGGTACAAAATTTTATTATTTACCACTTGATTGTTAGTTTTCATAAGAATAATATTGTTTCCGAAAGATGTGTTTGGCGGAACGCCATAGTTTCCATAATTTTTCGTCAAAATTAATGATTTAAAAAAAACTTTAACTTATGTCTGCCGCTTGTTTTCATAAAAAAACTTTCATTTAAAAGTTTCTTATACAGATTTCATGATAATGAGAATAAATGAAAGAAAGTATAGCAAATAGAATTATACAATTATATTTGATGCGCGTTTTAGCACTGAAAATTTTCATAGCCGCATTGATTTGCAAATTGCATTTGATTATGTCGGAACGACGATAGGCTCCAAAAGGCTCCGTGATGTTGGTGACATATTTTCTGTTGATACTGAATTTGATTTTGGGTATAAAAGCCTACACCAACATTTTGTATTCGATTTCAGAACAGGTGGATCATAATATAAGCGGTTAAGTATTAATGCGTATTTAGTTGAAAAAATCCTTTTTAGTTTTGCCTTACTTGATACTGAGGTAGCCAGGGCCATGCTACACTTCACTATTGCACGAATGGGTAGGTCTGTCGGGTAAGTGACACGACCTCACAGAAGACCGGCGTGAAGTGGAAGTGACTTCTGCGTTTCGTCCGATAAGTGGGGTAGTCGGAGCTCAATTTTTAATAGGTGGCAACGCATCTGCAACCCTACGGGTGTTGCAAATGTCCACCGGAGGCGGTTATCACTTAACATCGGGTGCACCGCCACCTCGCTTGCCACCTTCCCACATTAAAAAAAAGACGTAAAATCGGTAAGCGGTATTGGTAAATAACGGTTCGACTTTGAAAATAATAGACATTTTTCTCTAAACAATCATTGTAATTACTATTTAATCTTGGACTTTTACTGTGTTGGAGCCTGCGTGGCTTCAACGGCAACTTCTGTTAATATTACATGAATGGGCCATCTCGTCTAGGGAAATACCACTGTCATCATTATTCTCATAATTTCAGCCTCTACTGTAAGTAGGTCTCCCTCACATTAGCGTCCATCGACTTTCCGTATATTAATTTGCACAGGTCATCAGTCTATCTACAGAGGGTCGTCCTACTCTGCGGTGGCTAATAAAAGGCTGCCACTACCACATTCACACTAAACTTCAGTACACAGTGAGGAATTTCGTAGTAAAGTGAAATTTATTAATCGTTTCAGATCTAAAATGCAAGGAATATGTCCAATCCGAATTCACCCCATACAAGTTCAATGAAAACGATACGATGCAGTTGACGATGTGGTCGACGACTACTACAAGGAAGATAGAAACTACTACAGTCGAGCGAGGTTAGCGGATTGGTGGTTATTGTTTTTAATATTCAGTTTTAACGACAAACATAATATTATGTTTCTTTCTCGCACTCGCTCCTCGATTTCAGATCCAATGGACACATTTCAAAACATTATGCGCAACTTTTTTTTCGGTAAACCATCGGATGATGATGGTAAGCCTCGATTTAAATAATCTACTGTAGCTAAGTTGTTTCAACCTGTCAAGTCGATAATCTACCTGACTTCCGTCTTGGATATTAAGTATTGTATTATCACATCAATGGTTTTTTCGTTTTTCGTATTATATAGCTATAAACAATAATATCTGACTCAATGTTCGCATCTGACGATAAAGCTCACGTTTGTAACTTATAGGAGTAACTATTAATATTAATAGCTGCGTATGTGTTGAATACGTGATAGTTTTTTCTTTTTATACACTGAATAGAAAACGTTGTTAAAACAGTGGAAGGGATGGAAACCGCAAAGAAGGTACTATCTAACGAACAGGAGTTGGCAAAATCTATTCCAGATCACTATCCGTCGGGAAATATATTAAGGTGAGATGTGTTTTTAATTTTAACCATTATTTTTAAACAAAAAAGAACAGTTCAATGTGGTGGCGCTGGAGCGAAGTCATTGGCTTCGGCACGGGGGATCATAGGTGCGATCGCCACACAGGACAAGTATTTTGGGGGACGAACACGCAGACTTGGGACACACAGATAAGACCAATTCTGCGTGTTTGTTCCCAAGAAGAGTCGACTTCAGGTAGTGGGATAGATCCCCAAACGGGACGAATATTTGTGTGACACACAGATTGTGGTTTACTCAATGAGTAACTCGGTTACTCGTAGATGCCCGGTCTAAAAAATCTAGACAAACCCACTTATAACATGATTCTCTGGTTGTGCCGCTCCACCGCACCTAGATGGGATAAGGGCAGAAGAAAGAACGATTAAATTTAAAGGTGATTGAACCAGTTCAGATTTGAGATTATTTTCGGTAAGCGGAGTAGCTGAATAAAAAGTATTGATATTTTTGATGTCAATTAACCAGTACCAAAAAAACCTTGTTTTTTTAAAACAAAAATGTAACCAAAAAGGTGCCTTATTGCATTTGTTTTATTGCCCAAAACTGTTGATAATCATAGTAATGCAATATATATATAATTATTATTATCATATAATGATGTACTGTTCAGTTTATGCTTTATTCAGAGGAGAGATATATCAGAATCGGAGCGGTGTACATTTGCCGATGCCAGAGCTTCTCCACCGCGGTCACTGCCGTCTTAAAGTCACCATGGACTTTATGCAGACGGCCGTCAACGCCTTCTCAATTTTTCTCGTCGGTGACTTGATAGACATTCTACAATTGCCCGCCTTGTATGTACTGCATTCGGTTAGTGTAATTCTGTCTGTTGTTTTAATTATTGTTGTTACCATCACACCAACTCTCATACAGTAATACAGTAAGTTTTAATGTAAGAAGATGGCGCGAGCTGGTGGTTCACCTGATGTTCAGTAATAACCACCGCCCATGGATATTTGCAACACCCGTTGTTTATAGATGTGTTGCCACCTTTTAATAAAGTGGGTCCGTCCCGGTTGCCTCACTCATGAGACGAAACGCAGAATTATACTTCTGCGTTTCACTTCAACTTCACGCCAGTCTTCTTTGAGGTCGTGGTACTTCTGCGTCCTACCCATTCGTGCAACAGCTAAGACTGTTGCCCTACCACAAGCAACGATTAAAGGGTCACTCCAAAGACTTCTGGTTAGCCCAATCTGCTTTTAGCTTCCTGTAACCGTTGCTTATTGGTCAGTTTGACGCTATTAATTGTAATAAGGCCCGGAGCATTTCCATGATGAACATTGCCCGGGAGAAGCTGGCAGCTACATGGACTGTAGTCAAAGACAACAAGCGAACGGATGAAGTGACCATTGAAACGCTGGAACTGTACCGTCCCTTGTTCAAGTATCTAAACGGAAAGGAAATTGCGAAGCTCAATTTGACCAATCCGAGGATTTTAGTTTACGTCGGGACGCACGCTGAATTGAATAGGCATCAGGTGAATAAAACATCAATCCACTACTATCCAATTACTAATAAAACCAACAGGAGTCCAACCAGAGACCGACGAGTCGAATCGTCGTAACCTTAACTTCTACCGGTTCACTCATTAACTTAACGCCGTATTGAGTCTATGAGTGAAAGTGGCATACGAACGGGGCGTTACGATCTCGCGTGATTTCCGCCGTCTAAGAAGGTCTAGTACACCCGTGCCAACGTTTAAAAGATCGCATCCAAAATATGAATATCAATCACAAATACCTAGACAAAAAAAAAAATAACGTAGAAAAAATTTACTTCTGTCCACACCAGTGTTACACCATAACGATTAATACCTACCTCTACCCTAAATGGTTGTACAAAGGCAAAACAGCATGTCATCTGTTTTACATAGTACTCGTAAGTTTAAAATGACCCATTCATCCTTTCTTAAGCCTTCGAATATAATTATAAAAGGATTATATAGTCAAATCTAATTTCGAGGGACTTTAAAAAATCTTTCCTTATAACAGTAACACTCCTAGGCAAAGGCGTCCTCTGTGCAAAGGGTATTGGGGCACACTTCATATCGTCGAAATTCTATTTTCCAGAGGAGCATCAAATTCGTTAAATTTTATATAAATTTAATCACATTACCTGCTACCTATCTAAAGTATCTTTGAGCACCTCTAAAGTATATCTCAGACGTAATTCAACTTCCTGCGACACTTCAGTTTTTTACCTTTCCCATCCACCTGTACAAAGGTGCTCGTAGAAGTCGTAGATAGGCTCTACGTACGCTGCCATTTACGCGAACGGTCTTATTATTATAACGATATAAAAAGTAGTAAATAACGTTCTTATAAGGTCGGAGTGGTTGCCAGTAGGTACATAAAAATCAATAAGCGCTGGTCCGAACCGAAGTATCTGAATATGATGAATAATTTGCTCTGTGGAGTTCCAATGACGTTTATGCGAAAAATTCCTGAAAACACATATCTTCAGCTATCTCATCAGGTAACATATAATATATTGCATATTAGATTGAATTGTGGTTTAAATAATAAATATCCTAATTTGCTAATATCAAATTATATTGTAAATAATTCTTAAATAATTTACAATTTACCGTTGCTTTGATATATTTTTTTTATATCGATGTTTATCAAGTCATCAAACTCATCGACAATGATTGTAGCAGTTTATAAGTTTTATTAAATTTTTGACAGGTGTTTTATCATATTCAGGCCTGTGATCCCTTGCAAAGAAGATTTTATTTAGCTATGATGACGAAAAGTCAGGTACACATATTTCTTCTACTTTTCAACGACATAGTAGTATTGAGAATTAATAATTAATAAAAATATTTATTATCAAGGACTATACAGAGGCAGTCAGAGGCAGGCTAATAAATAATACTTTAAACTTTTAGCTAATCTTTTTTTTTTACCATAAGATAAAAAATGTGTGACAACGAAATTTTAAGGGAATCCTAGCTTTTTCAAATTGGCTTAATAAGCAAAGAACTTAGCAAAGGGTTATCATTTTCAATAGAAATTTTATTTCTTTTGAAAACAGTTCTCATCCAAAGCTGTTAAATCTCCTATAGTGAATCTAGAAAACTGGAGTTAAATTTTAAAACAGTATAATTGCTACGAATAATTGTGTAGGCGCTGGGAAAGTCATATAGTTGGAATGCACGTGACGTATCGCGGTTAGGCCTTCTTCTGGCAGAAGTTGAGGGACCCGACTTGAGCGCAATCAATCCGGAAGCCATGGCAGGGATAACCGCACATGTAAATAAATAATTATTATATAATTTATTGAATTTCGTTACAACGAAATTGTTAAGAGGAAAGAATATACAAACCGGGTCCATTATTTCAGGTGATGTCGACGATGGATCCGCAGAATTTAATATATTTTACAGACTCGCAACTGAAGTTTTTGCCACAAAAACCTTTGAATATTTTGACCAGGAAACTCAAGACTTACGAGGATCGAATGAAAATTTATAATGGAAATTCGGTGGGAATGAGATCAGCGATAATAACATCTCCGTTTACTTTATTGTATTTATTATTTAAGTAAATTCTGTACGGTTAGTTTTATTATATCATAAAAATAAATACATATCACAATATATTATTGTCTGAATTATCATTCGTTGGTATATTTTTTATTGTTTTAAGCGGTGGCAAATGAAAGGAATATTTTCCATCTTCATGATGTGCGGCTTTTAACTGTAAGATATGAAATTGTTGTTAAATCAACATCATTATTTTACCTGCACTATCTCAGTAAAACCCATATGTTTATGGTGAAAAATATGAGACGTATCTTCACCATGATCATATGAGTTCCGAATACAATGAAGAAACATTATTATTTAGTAATAAGAAAGTTAAGATCATTACTATTATAAAGCAATAGGAAATCATAATTGATAGCTCGGTCCTCCTTAAGCACTGGTCCGAACAGCAGCGTGCGAATTTTATGACAAGCTTCTCGTAATCAAGGAGAATATGTTTGGAGGCATATGCCCTCTTTAAAAAGGCGTTAAATGTTTCAATTTTACTTATATTAAAATATATTAATTTAAATTTTTTATCGAAACAAATTATCAACAATTAACAATGAAAAAACAAAACAAAACCCTCGAATGGGCTTGTTAGTCCGGGTAAGTACCACGTCCTCACAGAAGATCGGCGTGAAGTGAAAGTATTGTACTTTCGCGGTTCGTCTGGTGAGTGAGGTAACCAGGGCCTACTTTTTCAAATGATGAAGCATCTGCAACTCCTCACGTAATTCAGATTTCCACGGGCGGCGTTAATCACTCAACATCAGGTGAACCGCCAGGCTTGCTTGCTAACTTTTCACATAAAAAGGTAAGCATTTAAAGGATTCGGTTTTGACTTGAATCTACTTAAAAGAATATCTTTTTATACCAATGTATTGCACCAACTTGTTTGCGTATGCCTGCTGATAAAGATTTGCAATTTATTGTCTTCCGACGATGGATGTGTTAACGATTCTCTCTGGAACCAATATTGTTCACGTTGTACTTAATTCCAATCCTCTGTCATACATTAACTTTCAAATGTATTGTAAACATAATTATTTACCTTTCCACTGTTCATTGTGGAAGTACAATTGACCAATTCAGTTTTCGATGTAGTAAGTTTATGAACAGATGTTATAGATACGTTTTTTTCCACAGAGGTAACGGAGTGCTTGAAGTTTGGCATATCAATAAATTCGGTCACACGAATATTTTCTTCAACATTTAATAGTTGCGCCCCGCATTCACATCTAAAAATATATGATTTTTGGATATTTAAAAAAAAACCTAATGGGGATACTCATATTCTATACTCATCAATTGAATATAATATTTATTTAATATAATGTATTTATTTTTATTTATTTTTTTCGCGAGCAACCTGTGGATGCAAATGACAGTGTCGTTCGTTGTGGCGTTATAAGGGGGAGGCCTATGTTCAACAGTGGACGTCTTACGGCTGATGATGATGATGATGATTGTATTTTTTTTAATTTCAAATTAATTTACGAATTAGATATTAACTTGAATATTTAAATAGTAAATTTTATAATTTCTTTAACCTGATTGCCTCTTGTTCAAAGCCAGGTATTACTCCTAAGTCCGGCGCATTTTCATGTTGATTACATATTATGTTGGAATGCAAAAAGTTATTAAGATCCACATTATCACAGCATGAACAGTGTATAAGTATAATTTTTCCTTTATCGTTGAGTGCATTTTTCACACCGTCGCTTTTTGGAAAAGCACAATGAACCACATTATCTTTATTTGATTGTTCATTCATATTAACTTGTGTCTCTTTTTCTTCTCTCATTATGGTCTTGATTGATTGTGATTCCCTGACATTATTATGTCCACTATTTATAGAAAAATCACAATTTTTAATTTCTAGATTGAGCTGAAGTTTAAATGTTTTATCATTATTGACAACAGTAATAAAATTGTCGAATGTTTTCTGTTTTGAACTACACTTTTGACATCTGATTACAGATGACCTTTGCTCAAAGCCCAAGTCTGGTTCTTTTCCTAACGTAGAATGTGTCTCGAAATTACATAAATGGACGATTTTTTTATTTTCGTTATCGATTAAAGACATTTTACTGCTGTTTCTTTTTATAGAGCCAAGGGACGTATTGGGGCCTAAATTATCAGGCATAGATACAGCTTCATTATCTAAGCCATCATTAAAACTTTCATTTAATGTTTCATCACATTTTACTTCAGAGATTGATGAAATTTCGTTTTGGGTGTTATTGTAAATGTTAGAGATAATCTTTTCCTCATTTATTAAAGAGTTTTTTCTTTCAATGCCTTGTATTTGTTTTGCTTCTGAGGAATTACCGTCTTTAGAAATGAATTTGTTTTCTAACTTACTCTCTAGTACATTTAAACTTGTAATAGTGGCAGATGCTGCTTTTAATTCATCCATTTTTTTATTTGTTATAAACATCTTTTTGCTTTGTAAAGGTTTCTTTTGTAAACTTTCTTTCGTTTTAATTATGGACCTTTTAGCAGCCGATGATATTTTGAAGGGAGTGAACATTTGTGTCTTTAGCGTCGTCGTTTCAGGTGTAAAAGATGTTTTCTTTGTTTCGTTACTTGCTAGAGGCCTTTTAAGAACTTTTTTACTTTCTTGTAATTTCTTTGCTTTTACAGGGTCGGGTTTTACAATAGTTCGATTAGACTTAATAACATTATTTCCCTTTGTCTGTAAAAAAAGTATTTGAGAGAAACTTATTTCATAAATTTCATACATATGTATTAGTGACATACTTCATATTTCTCATCGTTTTGCTTGAGTGCTTTGTTTTCATTGAACTTTACATTAAATTCCAATTTTGGTAATATTATTTGCGTGTGATCTGTACGAAAACGAATATTTTTCATTATTAAAAATTTAAAAATAAATTGTGTGTACAATGATAACTTCAGACCTTTTGTTGCTGATTCCACACTGTTAGTACTTTTCAACAATCTCTTCTCCCATGACCTAAAAGTATTAATTCTTTTACAAATACGAGTGAATAATTTTAAAAGTG